ACAGATCGCTTCGCCAGCGCTGAGGGGTGACAGTTAGTTAGGGACAGAGAAGGCGGTGGTGAGTTACAGATCGCTTCGCCAGCACTGAGGAGTGACTTAGTTTTCAGCTCTGCGGAGGTGTAACTGACATAAAAGCACAGGACAGGACTGACTCCTGAGAGGTCACGCTGGAGGCAAGATGGAAGTCTGTTCAGGCTGCTCTAACAAAGATGCCATCCACCAGGTGCCTTATAAGCAAAAACAATGTGTTTCTTACAGTTCTGGAGGCGGGCGGTCCAAGCTCGTGGTGCCTGCTGTCTGGAGGGCTCTTCGCCGGGACCTCGCGTGGTGCCGGGGGCAAGGCAGCCATCTGGGCCCTTCTGTAGGAACCTGCTCCTCGCATGAGGCTCTGCCCTCAAGACCTGATCACCTCCCACAGGCCCCACCTCCTAACACTGTGGACTTGGGCATGACGTCTCAACATGGGAGTCTGGAGGGAACTCCAACATTCAGACCACAGCAGCTGCGGAGAGTCCGAAAGCAGGTCGTATGACTCTATAGGAACCATGAAGACAGGAGGGGTTATTACAAGGCATTTCAAGAGGACAGCGTTAGCAAATAAATGGAAAGTGACAAAACGTGAGAGGATAATGACTGCAAGACGAATACAGGAAAGAGAGGCCGTTTGTCCTGGGGTCTGCAGAAGGGCCTGCGTTCCACCTAGGACTCTCCGAAGCGAGACTCAGGAGGCGGTCCTGATCCCGAAGACCACGTGTCTGGAAGCCACAGCGCCTTCAAGATCACGGCTCAGGAAATGTAGAATAAGAGTAGAAACAACAAACATGGCACCTGGCCTTTCCCAGGTCACGGCAGTGCTGGAGGTGACGACGGGTCACAGCACACGGCAGACGGGGCGCCCGGGTCACGGCAGTGCTGGAGGTGACGACGGGTCACAGCACACGGCAGACGGGGCGCCCGGGTCACGGCAGTGCTGGAGGGGACGACGGGTCACAGCACACGGCAGACGGGGCGCCCGGGTCACGGCAGTGCTGGAGGTGACGACGGGTCACAGCACACGGCAGACGGGGCGCCCGGGTCACGGCAGTGCTGGAGGTGACGACGGGTCACAGCACACGGCAGAGAGGACGCCCGGGTCACGGCAGTGCTGGAGGTGACGACAGGTCACAGCACACGGCAGACGGGGCGCCCGGGTCACGGCAGTGCTGGAGGTGACGACGGGTCACAGCACACGGCAGAGAGGACGCCCGGGTCACGGCAGTGCTGGAGGTGACGACAGGTCACAGCACACGGCAGACGGGGCGCCCGGGTCACGGCAGTGCTGGAGGTGACGACGGGTCACAGCACACGGCAGAGAGGACGCCCGGGTCACGGCAGTGCTGGAGGTGACGACAGGTCACAGCACACGGCAGAGAGGACGCCCGGGTCACGGCAGTGCTGGAGGTGACGACGGGTCACAGCACACGGCAGAGAGGACGCCCGGGTCACGGCAGTGCTGGAGGTGACGACGGGTCACAGCACACGGCAGAGAGGGCGCCCGGGTCACGGCAGTGCTGGAGGTGACGACGGGTCACAGCACACGGCAGACGGGGCGCCCGGGTCACGGCAGTGCTGGAGGTGACGACAGGTCACAGCACACGGCAGACGGGGCGCCCGGGTCACGGCAGTGCTGGAGGTGACGACGGGTCACAGCACACGGCAGACGGGGCGCCCGGGTCACGGCAGTGCTGGAGGTGACGACGGGTCACAGCACACGGCAGACGGGGCGCCCGGGTCACGGCAGTGCTGGAGGTGACGACGGGTCACAGCACACGGCAGACGGGGCGCCCGGGTCACGGCAGTGCTGGAGGTGACGACGGGTCACAGCACACGGCAGACGGGGCGCCCGGGTCACGGCAGTGCTGGAGGTGACGACGGGTCACAGCACACGGCAGACGGGGCGCCCGGGTCACGGCAGTGCTGGAGGTGACGACGGGTCACAGCACACGGCAGACGGGGCGCCCGGGTCACGGCAGTGCTGGAGGTGACGACGGGTCACAGCACACGGCAGACGGGGCGCCCGGGTCACGGCAGTGCTGGAGGTGACGACGGGTCACAGCACACGGCAGACGGGGCGCCCGGGTCACGGCAGTGCTGGAGGTGACGACGGGTCACAGCACACGGCAGACAGGGCGCCCGGGTCACGGCAGTGCTGGAGGTGACGACGGGTCACAGCACACGGCAGACGGGGCGCCTGGGTCACGGCAGTGCTGGAGGTGACGACAGGTCACAGCACACGGCAGACGGGGCGCCCAGGTCACGGCAGTGCTGGAGGTGACGACGGGTCACAGCACACGGCAGAGAGGACACCCGGGTCACGGCAGTGCTGGAGGTGACGACAGGTCACAGCACACGGCAGACAGGGCGCCCGGGTCACGGCAGTGCTGGAGGTGACGACGGGTCACAGCACACGGCAGACAGGGCGCCCGGGTCACGGCAGTGCTGGAGGTGACGACGGGTCACAGCACACGGCAGAGAGGGCACCCGGGTCACGGCAGTGCTGGAGGTGACGACGGGTCACAGCACACGGCAGACGGGGCGCCCGGGTCACGGCAGTGCTGGAGGTGACGACGGGTCACAGCACACGGCAGACGGGGCGCCCGGGTCACGGCAGTGCTGGAGGTGACGACGGGTCACAGCACACGGCAGACGGGGCGCCCGGGTCACGGCAGTGCTGGAGGTGACGACGGGTCACAGCACACGGCAGACAGGGCGCCCGGGTCACGGCAGTGCTGGAGGTGACGACGGGTCACAGCACACGGCAGACGGGGCGCCTGGGTCACGGCAGTGCTGGAGGTGACGACAGGTCACAGCACACGGCAGACGGGGCGCCCAGGTCACGGCAGTGCTGGAGGTGACGACGGGTCACAGCACACGGCAGAGAGGACACCCGGGTCACGGCAGTGCTGGAGGTGACGACAGGTCACAGCACACGGCAGACAGGGCGCCCAGGTCACGGCAGTGCTGGAGGTGACGACGGGTCACAGCACACGGCAGAGAGGGCACCCGGGTCACGGCAGTGCTGGAGGTGACGACGGGTCACAGCACACGGCAGAGAGGACACCCGGGTCATGGCAGTGCTGGAGGTGACGACGGGTCATAGCACACGGCAGACAGGGCGCCCGGGTCACGGCAGTGCTGGAGGTGACGACGGGTCACAGCACACGGCAGAGAGGGCGCCCGGGTCACGGCAGTGGTGGAGGTGACGACGGGTCACAGCACACGGCAGACAGGGCGCCCGGGTCACGGCAGTGCTGGAGGTGACGACGGGTCACAGCACTCGGGTCACGGCAGTGCTGGAGGTGACGACGGGTCACAGCACACGGCAGAGAGGACGCCCGGGTCACGGCAGTGCTGGAGGTGACGACGGGTCACAGCACTCGGGTCACGGCAGTGCTGGAGGTGACGACGGGTCACAGCACACGGCAGAGAGGACGCCCGGGTCACGGCAGTGCTGGAGGTGACGACGGGTCACAGCACACGGCAGACAGGGCGCCCGGGTCACGGCAGTGCTGGAGGTGACGACGGGTCACAGCACACGGCAGACAGGGCGCCCGGGTCACGGCAGTGCTGGAGGTGACGACGGGTCACAGCACTCGGGTCACGGCAGTGCTGGAGGTGACGACGGGTCACAGCACACGACAGAGAGGACGCCCGGGTCACGGCAGTGCTGGAGGTGACGACGGGTCACAGCACACGACAGAGAGGACGCCCGGGTCACGGCAGTGCTGGAGGTGACGACAGGTCACAGCACATGGCAGAGAGGACACCCGGGTCACGGCAGTGCTGGAGGTGACGACGGGTCCCCTCTGCAGTGCTCCCCAAAACCCACGCGTTTGCTGCATTGCCAGGAGAGGGGCCATGAGGTACACCCCTGTCCTTTCGCTTAAGGGAACTGAATGGCTCATACACAAAAAGATCTCAAAAGTTTATAGATTTGTGAGACAAATTTAAAACCGTGTGACCTCAAATCCATGGCTGAGATGGAATTGCTGAATTGCTGGTTTCTTTTCCTCCCCTCTATCATAAAAGCTAGCTTTCAGGGTGGGACAAAGAAGAGAAAGTCATAAGAAAAACAGATATATGTTTTTTTTTTTTATATATTGCCTTTCTATAAAACTGTTCCAGAAAGTCACAGAGTAGTAGATCGGGGGCTTTTAGATAAACTGGACAAAAGAGAGAGAGAGAGAGAGAAAAAAGAGAGACTAGTCCAAATCACTAATATGAAACCAACAATGATATTTAAAACCTACAATATATAAAACAAAGCAGAAGGAAAAAATGACATGGAGTCCACTTATATCTGCATTATCAAACCTAGAGAACACAGGAAATCTAAATACAAAACTAAACAGAGCCCTGGCCGGTTTTGCTCAGCAGTTAGAGCGTCGGCCTGTGGACTAGAGAGACTCAGGTTCGGTTCCCGCTAAGGGCACGTACCTCAGTTGCCGTTTGTCCCTGTGTGGGTGGCCGCCAGTCGAGGTGTCTCCCTCTCATCGATGTTTCCCTCTCCCTCTCTTCCTCCTGCTCTATCTGAAGATAAATGCAAAAAAAAAAAAAAAAAAGCCCTTGGGTGAGGATTAAAAAAAAAAATTAGCCGTGGCTGGTTTGGCTCAGCAGTTAGAGCGTCAGCCCACAGTCCAGAGAGACCCGGGTTCGGTTCCCACTAAGGGCATGTACCTCGGTTGCAGTTTGTCCCCGGCCCCAGTTGGGTCGTGCGGGAGGCAGCCACTCGCTGTGTCCCTTTCACGTCTCTCTCTCTCTCTTCCTCTCTCTTCCTCCCACTCTATCTGAACAAAAATGGAAAAATGTCCTTGAGTGAGGATAAAAAACAAAAAACTAAACAGAGTTGTGTTTATTAATTCAAGGGCAGAAAGAGGTTAAAGACAAATAAGAAGTGTACTGAGAGTCGATAGCTCACCTTGCAGGTGCATTTTAGGACATAAACAGTAATGGTTGTATGAGCGGAGTGTGCTGACCCAAACTATCCTTAAGACTTCCTTGCTCCAGAATGCCACCCCACAGCCTTCCTTTTGAGAGACGGAGAACAAATTCTTTCCTCTGGAAATAGCCACCGTGTCTCTTTTTAATAGAATTCTCCAACTGAATAGAAATTTTCTGCCTCAGTTATACAGACAATTTTTAGATTCTCTAACCAGCTTTTAAAGCTTCCAGAGGGTTTCTGGGAGGGATTCACACCCATTACTCTCCGGAAGGAGCACGGGAACTCACACAGGACTGGGGACAGTCAAGGTCAGGGTCTGACGTGAGCACGCGGACGAGGGTAAAACAGAACGGGGGTGATTCAGTTTCCTACTTAAACATTCCTCTAAAAGCCCACATCTATTTCCTCCGCTGTGATGGTCACGAACAGGTCTCCTTCACACGTGCTAGAAGAAAATGAGGCTTTTCGTGAAATATGTTCAGCAGGAAAGGTGGTCTTGGTCCTCTCTGGCCATGGCTTAGACCACCGATTTGGCACTTCTCACTTGACCTGAAAGGAAGCAGATTTTTAAAATTACATTTAATTAGTTTGCAATGTAAACCAAAAACTGAAACCAGGTTTGGAACTTTTATTAAATTGATTGGGGTGACACTGGTCAGTAAAATCATATAGGTTTCAAGTGCACAATTCTATGACACATCATCTGTATAATGCATTGTGTTCACCGCCCAAAGTCAAGTCTCCGTCTGTCACCATGTATCTGACCCCCTTTCCCCTCCCCCTCCCCCCTTTCCCTCTGGTAACCGCCACCCTGTTGTCTGTGTCTACGCGTTTTTATGTTTGTCTTGTTTGTTCAACGGCTGCTTTCAGTTTTATATCCCACAGATGAGTGAAGTCGTGTGGTTCTTGACTTCTTCCATCTGACTCATTTTACTTAGCATGATACTCACAAGATCTCTCCCTGTCGTCGTAAATTGACGCCGGTTTGTAAAACAATAGGCGTGAAATAAAACCAGTGTGTCCCATCCCGAACCAGTCATTAATTAAACCTTGATGTTGGTAGGTCAATTCAAGTATTCTTCCCCCTGCCCCCCCCCACACACACTTTTTTAAAATATTTAAATCTGAAAGGTCATATTTCCCATACAATCAGTATTATTGTTCCTAATTCTGCCTCTAAATAGAGTAATTTTTTAGTAAATTGCTTAACCTCTCCTGCCTTCGCTTTTCTCACTATAAAATGAAGGGGCTCCATCAGATCTAACACTCCCACAAGATGCAGGTGCAAGCTAGTGGGGGCACGGGGGTCATGGGGACAAGGCCAGAGGCACGGTTGCCTCAGATGTGAACAGGGAAGCAGAGAGGGTTGCTGGGCCAGGGTAACCGTCGAGTGGAGCAGGAGGAGAAAGTGGGCATCAGGCTGTCCAGCCAGTAATACAGGTCTCAGCTCGCTCCCCTGGCTTCCTCTCCCTCCAACCCATGTTACAAAGAAAGCCCCACGATTCTCCCCTATTCATTCCCTCTGCGCCTACCCCACAGCCTAACGGCAACCCACGGCCCTGAGAATAAAGCCAAACTTTCGAAGCCTACAGCTCAGTCTCTTAATGAAACGATCACATTAGCTTTCTAACCGTATGCTCTGCTGTTTCTTAACGGAGACTCAACTACGATGAGCCAGATGCATGCTGAACACTGAGGTGTCCCCACAGTGAGCTCCGCTGAGCCCACACAGCCCTTAGTCTACCTCTTCAAGCGTGCATGTTGACTCCCAAGCCGGCGGCGGACTCCTCAGAGCCCGGGACGGTGCACGGTGTCTGTCTCCCTTTGGGAGCGCTGGGAGAGTGCCGTGCTTGCTCAGCGGAGGTCAGAGACAGGTGCAAGGGCGAATCCGCCACGCTGCCTAGACTAGACGAAGTGTCTGAACTTCGGAAAACCACAGCCCACCTTTTCATCCACTTAAGAATCGTAGATACTGGATATCCACCTTCAAAGGGATAAAGTTGAATCCCTACCTCACATCACATACAAAAAATAACTCACGCCCTGGCTGGTTTGGCTCAGCGGTTAGAGCGTTGGCCTGCAGTCCAGAGAGACCCGGGTTCGGTTCCCGCTAAGGGCGCGTACCTCAGTTGCAGTTTGTCCCCGGCCCTGGATGGTCGTGCGGGTGGCAGCCACTCGATGTGTCTCTTTCACGTCGATGTTTCTCTCTCTCTCTCTCTCTCTCTCTCTCTCTCTCTCCCCCTCCCACTCTAATCTGAACAAAAAATGGAAAAACGTCCTCGGGCGAGGATAAAAAAATTAAATAAAATAAAAAATAACTCACAATGAAGAATAGAACTGAATGTAAGAGTTAAAATACAAAACTCTTACAAAAAAACCATGAAGGTAAATGTTGGTGATCTTGGACTAGGCAAGGCTTCTTAGATATCACACTGAAAAGCACAAGCAACTGAAGAAAAAAAACAGATAAATTGGACCAAACTGAGAGCCTTTTGTGTTTCAAAGGACACAGTTAATAAAATGAAAAGCTAATCCACAGAATGAGAGAAAATATTTGCAAATCATATATCTGATAAGGAACTTGTATCAGAAACACATAAAGAACTCTTTTTCAGTTCAGCAATAAAAAGACAACCCAATTTAAAAATGGGCCAAGGATTTAAATAGACATCTTTCCAAAGAGAATACACAAATGGCCAGTAAGCATATGAAAAGATGGTTAACACCATTAGTAAATAAAGAAATGCAATCAAAACTACATTAAGATACCACTTCATACCCACTCGGATGGCTAAAACAATTTTAAGATGAAAACAAATGTTGATAATGACTTGGAGAAACTAGAACCCTCAATTTTTACCACTGGAAATGGAAAACTGGAAACAGTTTGGTAGTTCCTCAAAAGGTTAGGCACGGAAGTACAATATGACCCAGCAATTCCTCTCCTAAGTATGCATGTACCCAAAGAAATGAAAACAGTCACAAAAGTTTGTTCACAAAAGTTCAGAGCAGCATTATTTACAATGGGCAAAGGAGTGGAAACTCAAATGTCCATCATTCATGAAAGAATACATTTGAATCCATACCATGGAATTCATCCATAAAAACAAACACTGATACATGTTACAACATGGGTGAACCTTGTAAACGCTATGGTAAGTGGAAGGAGCCAGGCACCACAGGCCACATGTTGTTAAATGTCCAGAACAGGCAAATCCATAGAGATAGAAAGTAGATTAGTGGTTGCCAGGGGCCTGGAGGGAGGAGTAGGAAGTGATGGCTAAGGGGTATGGCGTTTCTTTTTGGGGTGGTAAAATGTTCTAAAATTAGACAGTGGTGATGATGATACATCTCTGTAAATATACTGAAAACCACTACTGTACTTACTTAAGTAGTGAATTTTATGGTATGAGAATTGTATCTCAATAAAGGTGATATTTTTTTAAATCTTAGGTACACCTGCCACCAAAATCTGATAGTGTACCTTCCCCTTTCACAGGACCATATTACCACAATAGGTTTTTCAAAATATAGTTATAATGCTGAAAATGCTTTTTCAAATTCTGCCACTCTGTCTCCTAGGAGATCCTGCCTTCCTAGCTAAAAATCATTGGTCAAAATCAAGGCATAGTGAATTATATAAAAGTAAATGATTAATGAAGATAATAACATTAAGATTAGTATTAGACATTCTCTATAGGAATAATTCAGTTATTATTTTAAGTTCTCAGTATTAAAACTATTACTAAAACTCAGGAGGGTATCACAGGTCAGTACTTGTAACTGCTCATGAACACTGTTAAACAGCGGAGTGTCTCAGAAATGACAACATTGAGCCCGGAATGTCTCGTTTCTGACATTCAGACCACTTTGTGCCCCACACTTACGTGGTGTGGCCATTTTTGTGAAGATAGGAGTCACGATGTCTTCCAGTTGTTGCTTCTGCTCAAGAAGCTCGTTCACAGAAGCTTCCAGGTGGGTCTCAAACCACTCGTTTTTCATACGGCAGGCACTGAGGATGTTATTCTGGAGACAGACACAGAAAATGTACTTTCCACTTATTTGCTGGAGAACGAAACTGCAGTATCTCTAAAGCAGCCCTGCCCAACGGAACTTTCTATGATGATCTATGTCTGCAGCGTCCGACACGGCCACGTACAGGGCGCTTATGTCCACTGAGTGCCGAGAGAGTGGCTACTGCTTCCAGGGGTGGGGGACATCCAGCCCGCGGGCCGCACACTACTTGCAAAATCACACGCCACAGCAAGTGAGCACGACCAAATTGAGCAGGCTGATTTTTAAGTTGAAAATGTTGTATGGCCCTCGAGTGATGTCATAAATATCCAAGTGGCCCTTGGCAGCAAAAAGGCCCTGCCTGTGAGTTTAATTCTGCCGATATTTTGTGTGTTTCATAAGAGATCTTGTAAAGTGCTTTACAAGCCGCCAGTGAAATGTGTGACGTCTCGCGTTCCCAGACGTAGTGACGTCTATGCTTAGCACTATCGAATTCCTTTTCATCAGAAAGTTGCAAGAAAATTCACAGAACATCCTGCGGGAAATAACTTGAAACCCAAACACATTCCTGATACCTTGAGTGTATCTTTTGCGTGTGTGTACATCCAAAGCAGTTCACTGGTCCACACGCAGCACTCGGTACACGGGAAGTAGGGCAGGCTGGCTTTCGATGAGCTACCATTACATCTGTGCATCTTTTTCACCATTATGTAAAATTCAATACGTTAAAAATACGTAATGTATATATACATATACACTAAAATATATTATGTATATCTAAGATTCGAAGCAAAATAATGAGTATCAGTGGACCTCTCTAATCAACAGAAGACCCAGGCAGAATACCTCCAGTGCTATGAACCTACTTCTGTGCCCCTCCTGACTCCATCCCCCTGCCCACCTCTGAGAGGTCGTCACAATCTGTGCTTATACCTCGACTTCCCTTTTTAAAATAGTTTAACCTCAAATGCAGGCATCCACACTAAACAATATAGTTTGATTTTGCCTGCTTTTGAGCTTTATAAAAATCTTTGGCAATTTTTTTTCACTCAACACTACATTCTTATGATTCATTCATGTTGTTGGGTGAGATACTTAGTACATCTCTATGTCACGCGTTAATATGACTTCACTCATTTGTATTAGTTCACTTCTTAACAGTAGTTGATTAAGAAAGAAAGGGAGGAAGAGGAGGCAGGAAGAAAAACATCAGAAGAGAGCAGTAAGGACCACCACCTACTTCTAGAGCATTAGTGTAGAAATTAAAGATAGAAAACAAAAATCTCAGAAGATGTCAGAACACGCAATGATCACAACATAGTACCTTGTCTTCTTTCAAGAGTCTCCCTGGTCCCTTTTCTGACTCTGCAACAGTTGCAGAGACCTTTGTGATGTATTTCTTCAGAGCCAGCCTTGCAGCTGAAAGAACAGGACAGTAAATGTACAAAATAAGACGAAGACCAAAAAAATGTCCTCAGCTGTTTGAAATGTACTATTTCACATCCAAAGCTTCAAAGAGATTGTGGAGGAGATGTTTTTGTTTGTTTTCACTGAATTTCAAGAAAGTTAACAACTCAACCAGCACCACACTTTGGGGTGCTCACCATGTTCCTAGAATTTTGCTAAAATGTTTAAAGAACAAACAACATAAAATGTGATACTTGATCCCACAGGGACCTTATTCTATTGAAATATCTGCTCTAGAGAAAGTAACAAAACAGACATTTCCAATACAAAAACTGCCCCTTGCTTTACCTGTCTTGAGCCTTCCAAATAAATTTAAAAATTGCTTTCCTCTTTTTTAAAATAAGTGTTAAGCCCGGCTGGTGTGGCTCAGTGGTTGAGCGTCAACCCCTGCACTGGGTCTCTGGTTTGATTCCCGGTCAGGACACATGCCCAGCTTGTGGGCCCGATCCCCAGTAGGAGGGGCGTGCAGGAGGCAGCCAGTCGATGTTCTTGCTCATCGATGTTTCTATCACTATCTCCCTCTCCCTTCCTCTCTCTCTAAAATCAATAAAGAAAAAAAAATTTTTAAGGGTAAAATAATTCCACTTACTATATAGCACCCATAGTAATGTCATTGCAAGATCTGTTTGAATAAAATTGTAACACTCTGAGAAATAAAAGACTCAATAAACTGAAAGGCTTACCATATACCTAAATGGAACAACTGAATATCATAAATTATAGATTGGCCCACATTAACCTAAGGTTGATACCTTTGTTTCCCGTGACTGCTATAACAAATTGTCACAAGTTGAGTGGCTTAAAACAACACAAATTTGTCTTCTTAACAGTTCTCAAAGCCAGAATCTGAACTCAGTTTTGCTGGGCTCAAGGTGTTGGCAGGGCGAATTCTTTCTCGGGGCTCTAGCAGGAGAACCCCTTTTCTGGCCTTTCTAGTGGCCACCTGTACTCCTTGCTGGGTGGAGCACATCCAGGTAATCACTCCCCTCTGCTCGCATCACTAGGCCTCCTCCTGCCTCTCACTTAGGATAAGGACACTTGTGATTACATTTAGGTCCCAGCTGGATGATCCGGGATAATCTCTCCATCTCAAGATCTTTCGTTTAAGGATCTGCAAGTCCCTTTTGCAAAAGCAAGTAACATTCAATGATTGCAGGGAGTAGGACCTACCTCTCTTTGGTAGCCCTTTTTCAGCCGACCCCAGTCTGCCCTCCGGCCTTCCAAAATCCACAGCTACCCCACATGCAAAATCCATCCGCCCCATCCCAGCATCCAAAAGTCTCAACCATTACATCAATCATGCCCTAATGTTCACTGAAAACATTATCAGCTCAAAAGTCTCAAATCCCATCAGGGTGAGATGTCGGTATGATCCTTCCACCCTGGGGTAGAATTCCTCTCTATCTGCAGACCTGTGAAACTAGAAAACAAGTTCTCTACTCCCAAATACAGTGGTGGGACAGGCAGAGTGACAGTTGTAGACACTGCCATTCAAAAAGGGAGAAAATGGGAGAAGGAAAAGGAGTCACCCGTCCCAAGCAATGTCGAAATCCCACGTGGCAAACTGCACTGGCGCCCAGGCCTGGGAACAACCCTGTGTGGAGCAGGGCGCCCTCCTCTGGGCCTGCGGCTCCAGCGGGCCGCCCCTCCCGCTTCGCGAAAGGCGGCGAGTTTCTGCAGCTGACAGTTTCATCGGTCATTTCCTGCCTGTACAGCTTGGGAGTCCGGCAGCCTTTTTCCATTTTGTCCTCTCTCCGGCCCTTTGTCCAAACTGGCAGTGTTTCTACTAGTATAACATCCTCAGAAACCTTGAGTCTCCCTGCCTGTCACGGACATTCATTCCATTAGACAGGAGGCTCCTCCCCGGGTCCTTTCGGACAGTCCCGGTTCTGTCCTGACTTCTGCAGAGACAGCGGAGGGGACCCGTGAGGAGCCTGCACCAGCAGGACACTGGATAGCCACCGCCTTGGCTTTCTCTCCAGAGCACACTGTCCTGACAGTGAATCCCGATTTTAGCACTTTGCCAATTCGGATAGGCTGAGCAGTTCCCAAATCAAGCCCTGTTTCCCTTTGGCATAACAGGTTCTTCCCTCGGTTTATCTTCCTCCTCTCACATTTAACGGGAAGCAACAAGAAGAAATCAGGCCAGGTCTTCAACACCTGGCTTGGAAAGCTCTTCGGCTAACTGGCCAAGTTCATCACTTACCCCTCAGCTAAGCTTCCTGCCACAATGTAACGAGATCGCCTTTCCTCTGGTTTCCAGTAGCAGTTCCCAGTTCCTCCGGGGCCCTCACTGGCAGCATCTCTGATGCCCGTATTTCTACCAACAGTCTACTCAAGTCTTTTTTCATCACGCCCCTCAGAGTTCCTCCGTGTGCCCATTACCCAATGCCAAAGCTACCTCCACCTTGGAAGGCATTTGTTGTAGCTTCACCGCACTTCCGGGCACCAAAATCTGTATGCGTTTCCTACAGCTGCTGTAACAAATTACCCCCAACTCGATGGCCTCATACAACAGTAACTGATTCTTCCCCAGTTCTGGAGGCCAGAAGTCCGGAATCAGCCTCCCCGGACTGAAGGCAAGGCTGATTCCTCTGGAGGCCCTGGGAGGAAACCCACTCCTCATCTTTTTCAGCTTCCAGCTCTGTCCTTTCCCAGCTCTGGCCCCACATCTTCAAAGTGCATCATCTCGGTCTCTGCTTCCAGCCCCACCCCTTCTACTCCTCTTCTGTATCCAACACCCACCCTCCTCTCCCTCCTACAGGGCACTCGTGGTTGTACTTAGGGCCCAACTGGACACTCTCCCAATGTAAGATCCTTAGCTTAATCATATGCAAAGTTCCCTTGGACCCGTACCATCAGGGCCTGGATGTCTCTGGGGCCCATGATCCAGCCTGCCGCGGTCAGCACACACAATCTGGTAAAACTCCAAAGAGGAACTTTGGGGAGACTTAATTAAATCACTCTGAAGCTCGATCGGATCATCTATAGCACCTAACAATCTCTCTAAGCTTCGTGCCTATCTGTGAACATAGTAAAGTACCTTCCAGAGTCCAATTCAGACCCACTCGTGGAATAGTACTGATGTGTATGGACAGCTCACTGGCCTTCTTGCCTCCAGCGCGTCACGATTTCAAACCCATCACTCAGGTTGCGAGCAGCATGAGCCACCTAAACGGGACTCCGAGGACTGGGTTTCAGCTCCACTAGTCGGGAGTCCTGGAGTCAGTGGTGTTCCCACAATTTCAGTGTAGGATGGAGTCTAGGGAAGGGATTAGTTGAAAGAGGGAACTCAGGGACTTATCATGAAGCTGCTTTTGTATAATAAGCAAACTGGCTTTACGTATTTATTTATTTGTTTATTTATTTTAAGCACATTGATTCTGTTGAGAGCACATTTATTTTGGGTGGCTTGGTAGAGAAAGGAGCTTATTCGAGCATCTTCTTAATGCCACCATGCCTGTCTTAGTCCATTCAGGCTGCCACAGCAAAACACACCACAGACTGGGAAGCTTATAAGCAACAGAAATGCATTGCTCACAGTTCTGGGGACTGGGAAGGCCAAGGTCAAGGCAGCAAAGTGTTTGCAGTCTGGTGAGAACCCTCTTCCTTCACAACTAGGGACGTCTTACTGTGTCCTCACAAGGTGGAAGGGGCTAGGGAGCTCTGTGGGGACGCTTTTAAAAGAACACTAATCCCACCCTGGCCAGTTATTCTCAGTGGTTAGAGCGTCGGCCTGCAGTCCAGAGACTTGGGTTCGGTTCCCGCTGAGGGCACATAGCTCAGTTGCAGTTCGTCCCCGGCCCTGGTTGGGGTCTTGTGGGTGGCAGCCACTCGATGTGTCTCTCTCACATTGATGTTTCTCTCTCCCTCCTTTCCACTCTATCTGAAGATAAATGCAAAAATGTCCTCGGGTGAGGAAAAAATAAAACAAACAAACAAGCACTAAGCCCATTCATGAGGGTTCCACCTGCACATCCTAATTACTCCCCAAAGACTCCACCTCCAAGTATCATCACACTGGGCATTAGGACTTCAACATTTGTAGGGATGCAAACATTCAGACCACAGCAATTCCTTTACCCGTCTAACCTTGGTTTCCTCATCCATAAACTGTAATGTAGTACAGTCTTCATGGGGTTGTCATAAGGGTTAAACAACCTCATGAGGATAAGACGTGCAAATATCTTGGCACAGTGCCCGGCACACCGTAAACACTCAGTACGTTTCCTGTGTCATATGGCTCCTCAAAACTATGACTCCCTACCGGCCACTGGAGGAAATGCAGGGCCCTCCTCCAACGTCCACCTGGCCACAAGCTACCTTTCCAGCCTAGTCCTTCCAGTGTTCATCCAGAGAGTCCAGCCTCTGTTTGTCTCCTGTTCCCTCTGTCCCCAGATGTCAGCATGACTCGTTCCTTCCGTTCCCCGGGGCTCTGCTCAAGCATCACCTTATCGGAGGCCTTTCCCAACGGCCCTCTGTAACTAACACACATGCACGTGTTCCTTCAATGCTGGCTGCTTCATAACTTTCACAACTGTTGTCGTCCACAGCACTCCACAGACACACAGGTTTAGACAGACTTTCTACATCTCCCACTAGAAAGGGAACTCCATGAACATCAAGATTTTGCTTTATGCCTGGTTGTATAGGCATGAGTTCCCAGAACAGTATTTAGTACACTGAAGGTGCTCAGGAAATATTTGTTGTATGAATGTTTACACAGAATTTCTTTGTTATTATGTTTCCTCAACCTAAGATGCCTTGTCCTACCAAAATTCTATGCCTTCGTCAAAGCTTGCTTACATACAATTCTGCGAAACTCCTGATTCCCCCAAGTGAAACTCACTGCTCTGTCAACTGTTGCATGATTATAATTTGATTTAGTTCTCATTTTATTCTACAATATCTTGGAATTTTTATTACTTTGTTTTTTGCTTCTACCTCTTGATTTTCAGATTCTTAAAGGCAGGGTCTCTGCCTCATCACTGTATCATATGCCATGTCCCCGCACCAACTCATCTTTTTTTCACCTACCATGTCAAATTCCCCACCCCTCACCCGCTACCTAATAGCACCACATTGCCACCAAAGGGGCACAGGTTAAAAGGGAGAGGCACTTTTTTTGCTTAATTATTTGGAACTAAGGATATTTCAGAGTGAAAAAAAAAAAAAACAGAAGCAGATTGTAGGTTGTGTGAAATGGTACAGCTACATATATTTTTGAAATAGATGTAAAATAGCCATACTTGAGAAGGGTTGGAAGGGGTATAGGTACATTGGTTCCATGAAAGTCCATTAATATGATTACAGTTTAAATTTATTAGCTAGCAAGACATTAGTAAAGTCTTCATTTTTCATAAAATTAAAGTAGCTCAAAGAATTCTGGTAAAAAGCAAAATAAAAAAAAAAATAAATATATATATATATATATATATATATATATATATCTCCTTACCTGAGAACATTTTTGCACTTATCTTAAGACAGAGCAGAAGAGATAGAGGGAGGGAGAGAGGGAGGAAGAGAGAGAAACATCGATGTGAGAGAGACACATCAAGTGGTTGCCACCCACACAATCCCAACCGGGGCAGGGGACAAACCACAACTGAGGTACATGCCCTTAGCAGGAACCGAACCCGGGCCTCTCTGGTCTGCAGGCCAACACTCTAACCACTGAGCCAAAATGGCCAGGGCTAAAATATATATATAAGATATATATATATATTTATTTATATATATATTTATATATATTTATTTATTTATATATATTTTTTCTTTATTGAGTTTAGCGGGAGAGAAAGGGAGAGGGAGATAGCGACAGAAGCATCGATAAGAGAGAACATCGATTGGCTGCCTCCTGTGTGCCCCCACTGGGGATCTGGCCCACAACCTGGGCATGTGCCCTGACCAGGAATTGAACTAGTGACCTCTTGACGCATAGGTCAATGCTCAACCACTGAACCACACCGGCCGTGCTATATATATTTACACACACACATCCCTGAGAAACTCGAGGTGCTGGCTAGGTGACACCTTTTAGTTCAATGTGGTTATGATGTCACTGACTCTATCCGTGAGTCACTATGACTGATGATGTAACAATGGCCACGGTGCATACTCAGCCGTGCAGAAAGACTACCGTCAGTGCGTTTACTGGAACACATACTAACTCGTACTCAGTGTCTGCTCGGTCTCCAGCTATATTTTTGGCCATTGATTTTATTTATTTTTTGTCCCAATTGAGACAGATGCCCGTTCAAGGACTACCCCCGATTTCTCTTCTGTTGTTCATCTGCTTATTAAGGGAAAGCGCCTGCATTTGTGATGGCACCGCCTGGGCCAAGGTGGGATGGGAGATTTTCCCGGAAGAGATGCCTTATCTGAAAGTTAAGCTTTCTCCATCTCAATGTCTACCTTACCCTTTGGACAAACTGTGCTGCAATTTTGCTAATAAGGATCTATTGCAGAGTTTTTTATATCTCGTGTATATTCTAGTACAGGCTATCTTTTTCATTCTGGTTGTTTTGTCTACATGTTACCTGTGGATGAAATGGAAGAAACACAAGAGAAAGGTAAATTAGTGATGCCAGTAGTAATAGTTATAGAATGTCAGAGTTTAAAACACAAGTTTCCCCACTTCTTGGAGAGAAAATACCACATCTCTCCTCTTTGCAACTTCCCGTTCCCGCCATTCACCCCCAGCATCGAGCAGTGTCTCGCACACACTAGGTGCTCAACCGATGAGCACTGAATGAAAAGGCCCTTAAAATAATGCAGTCCAATCCCCCTCTCGCAAGTTGCAAAACACACCCAGAAAGTAGTGAGCTACAAGGAGTCACTGCCTGGGCCTGGAGGTAAGCCACTCGACCTTCCTCAGCTGCCTCGCCCATACAGTGAAGGCTCTAGAACAAGATGTCTGTCAGGTTCCTTCCAGGTCTATCTAAGAAGGCTAAGTATAGAAAAGTTGGCATGTATCTTTTAAACAGACTGTAACCTAATGCCTAACGTTCACATAGCTTTCTGGGAAATGACAGTCGTGAAGTCACTTCCCACTTTGCCAATGACACCATGTTTTGAGATCATCTTAAAAGCTCACTGACTTTGACAACACTCAGACTGTTATAAAATGACCATGATTTTACTGCACTTTACCTTGAGGCTGTTTAGTAAAGGGAACTATTTTGCTGATGTTCAAATAATTCCTCCCCCCCAGCGGAATGCTCTGACCATAAACACTCTTGTCGATGGTGCTGATAATCACCAGCATCTTTCATGGGGGCACACACAAGAGACCATCGCTTCTGCCCCGGTAGCTGTTTTCTGTAGTGACCGTTCTTGTGTATACATAAGTAATACGTGGCGTTTAAGTATAGATATCCAGAAAACGTAACTTGAACTATAGTAAGAAGAAGAAAGAAAAAACACCTATGGTTTCATTTCCTTCCCCCCCTTTCAGCTGGAAAGACACGCCTCCCTAGACACGGTCGGGAACGAGCCAGAAGGCCGGCCCTTCAGTGACATAGACCAGCTGCTCTACAAACTGCTGGCCACCACGTCCATGATGACCGCGTACCTGGACCAGAAGTCCCGTCGGTCCACGGGCAGGAAATCCCAGCCAGGGAAACTGAAGAGGAAGAGCAGGGGAGGAGCCCGAAGACACCATCAGCCTGGGCCTCCCCCCAACGTGGAGACCACCCAGGAGGCCTGCTGAGGGGCCTCCGAGAAGGTTCAAGGGGCCTCTTTACATCTTTCTCATTTTTTTTTTTGGCCACATTCTTGACGGAAATCCTCCAGAGAAGTCCGGGTGGAGAGTGACTTCTGGTCAGTCAGAGAGACATCGGGACTTACTAAAGTACTGGCGAAAAGACGATCTAGCCACTGTCACTGCTTCAGATTTAAGCATCTCGTTCTATTTTTTTGCTTTTTGTATTACATGACGAATCGTTAACCGACCTCTAGAACAGAATTTTTCTATTTTAATACAGCTCTGATTTCAATGATATTTGAGACTTTTCTTCCTTTCCTGAGTAAATTTCATGGTCACAAGAGGTCATCGCTTCCCACCTCAGACGCCCTTTGCTGGAACAGCATGGACCCACTCGGGAATAGATTGATTTTTTTAATATATTTTTTTTCATTTTTAGTATACTTAATGATGAATTGAGTAGCAACATTTTTTTAATTTTCTGAGTTCTGTGGCTCAGTCACCTCAATTTAAAAAAATTTTTTTTTCCTTTATTGATTTTTTTAAGAGAGAGGGGAAGGGAGAGGGAGAGAGGGAGAGAAACATCAATGAGAGAACATCGATTGGCCGCCTCCTGCCTGCCCCCCACTGGGGATCGGGCCCACAACCTGGGCATGTGCCCTGACCGGGAATCGAACCAGCGACCTCTTGGTGCATGGGTTCAACCACTGAGCCACACTGGCTGGGCGCCACCTCAATTTTTAAAGAGTATTCTGCTGAGTGAAATAAGCCAATCAGAGAAAGACAAATACCACATGATCTCACGTACAAGTGGACTCTAATGAACATAATAAACTGAAGAACAAAGTAGGTCCAGAGGCATGAGGGTGGGGAGGGGCGGTGAGATTAACCAGAGAATTTACATACCTATTGCATGACCAATGGACACAAACGAGAGTGGAGAAGGCCTGGGGTGGGGGAGGGGTAAAAGGTGTGGGGGGGGAATTGGAAGACATCTGTAATACTGTCAACAATAAAAAAGAAAAAAAAAAGGCACGGTTACCCTATCTTCCCACAAATACCGGGAGACTGATCTGAGACCGGGACGGAAGGTTTGATTAAAACCATGAAAAATCCCAGAAATATAAGCCAGATCTGTAACACACTGTTAAAAAAAAAAAAAAAAACTTTAAAAAACAATCCTTGAAACAGAAAAAACTCTACAGATTTTACATGTAATAAAAAAACAACAACAGTGCCTCTCTTAGGTTACTGTGGATTATTGGAAGTTTATTCACGGTCCCGATTTCCAGACAGATTCTCCTCCTTCCTTCCACACTTCCTTGGCCCGTTTCCACAAATGTCTGTTCCTTCCCTTCGGAGCTCTGACTGTCAATCAATTCCCACTCAGAGAACGCAAATGTATTTTTCTTTTAATGGAGGACTCTTAAACACTTAGTGTTCAGACCTTGCCCTGGCTGGTTTGGCTCAGCGGTAGAGTGTTGGCCCACAAACCAATGAGTCGCGGGTTCGATTCCGGTCAAGGGCACGTACTTCAGCTGCGGTTTGTCCCCGGCTCTAGTCGGGGTCGTGCTGGAGGCAACCAGTCAATGTTTCTCTCTCTCTCCCTCCCATTCTATCTGAAGATAAATAGAAAAATATCCTCAGGTGAAGATTAAAAAAAAAAAAAAAAAGTGTTCAGACCTCAAAAACCGAAAGAATTTTCTAACAGTGGAATTTTAAGCAGTATGGAGAGGACTCTTTGGAGTAGGGGATCCTCAACCCCTTAAACCTCTCCAGATCCTCCGGCTCTAATCACTAAAACAAGGAATGGAAGTGGTTTACACACTTGTAAGTCTGAATTAAACAAATGTTAAATTTTACGCTTAGTAGTTTGTGTTTCTGACACTCCGGAGCTACTTTCACTTGAAGCTCCAATCCTTACCATCATCACTGGTCTGGAGCCAGAAAACCAGTGTACAGTCTGAGCATCTTCTTCTATCGTCATCACTAGGAAATGGTAGCTGTGATTCCCCCCAAAATGTAAAGACCCAAACTAAAAGAGATAGATATTAGGGAAAGGAAAACAATAAAACTCGGAAACCATAAGCCCAAAACTGTTTCTTTTCAGAAAAGTAACAGCAAAATTTGTCCCTGGATTGTGTTTCTTAAATCGTATGGGTCATTCTTCAAAAATGGGTCCTAAATTATATAATATGAATTTCACCTACAATAACTATTCATGGGGGATCAATTAAATTCTTTGTTATTTGTTTTCTTTTTACTTACAGATCTAATTATAAAACTGAAGGTATTGACAGAAATATTGCCCTGAGAAAACATTTAGCACAAGTGCACAATTACCTATAAAATAGTCCATGAAGTATAACTCATCTTTTTCTTCCCAAATGTGCTTCCTTCCCTCGATTTCCTTCTTTCTATTAATTGTCCAATTCCACCCTGGCCAGTTTGGCTCAGCGGTTAGAGCGTCGGCCGATGGACCAGAGAGACCCAGGTTCGGTTCCCGCTAAGGGCACGTACTTCGGTTGCAGTTTGTCCCCGGCCCTGGTTCGGGTTGTGTGGGTGGCAACCACTCAATGTGTCCCTTTCACGTCAATATTTCTCTCTTTCTCTCTCGCTCTATCTGAAGATAAATGCAAAAATGTCCTCGGGTGAGGATAAAAAGAAAATTGTCCAGTTCCTTCTCATCTTACTGGTAAGCAAGATCATTATTGCTACCAGATGAATCTCCTAAATGTCACGCTCATCCATTTTCTCTGCTACATAAAAAGTTTCATCCTGCCCTGGCCGGTTTGGCTCAGCGGTTAGAGCGTCGGCCTGCGGTCCAGACAGACCCGGGTTCGGTTCCCCCTAAGGGCATGTACCTCGGTTGCAGTTTGTCCCGGCCCTGGTTGGTCGAGCGGGTGGCAGCCACTCGATGTGTCCCTTTCATGTTGATGTTTCTCTCTCTCTCTCTCTCTGTCTCTGTCTCTCTCTCTCTCTCTCTCTCTTCCTCTCCCTCCCTCCCACTCTATCTGTACAAAAATTGGAAAAATGTCCTCGGGTGAGGATAAAAAAAAAAAAAAATTTTTAAAGTTTCATCAGTTCCTAATGGCTACAGAGATGAAAAGAAAACCCTGGCTTGGCACAAGGGTGCCATCTGGCTGTAGTAATAGCAGCAGCACTTTCAAGCATTGATCACACACCGAGCAGTGTGCTAAGTGCTTCGTATCACCTCATTTCACCCTCACAACAACCCCCAAGAGGTCCGAACTGTCAGTGGCCCCTTTTTCTGAAAAACGAAACTGAGGTATAAAGAACTTAAGCACCTTGTCCGAGGTCACACAGGTTTCAAAGTGGAGATACCCATACGTAAACTCAAGCAATCTGAGGCAGGAGCCCATATACTTGTTTTCTTACTCTGCAGCTTACCTGTGCAGACTGGGACTTGTCGTTCCAGGAAGACAATCTCGTCACTGTCCCTCAACATGCCACTTTCACGCCCAGCTCTGAGAGTTAGCTCGTGCCCTTTTTCCCTTCTATGTGTTTTCAAAGCCCACCTATTCTTCAAAGCCCAGCTCAACTCCAGCATGCTCTGACTTCATGCCCTCCGTCCACTTCATAGCGTGTACAACCTGCTCTGCTGATTTTCACCTTCACCACAGTCTTTCCGATCGTGTCACTTAATGGTAGGATGTGCCTATAGTTTATCATCCCCCACCTAACGAATGGCCAGAGGGCAGGAACAACCGACTGTACCTACAACAAGGCTCGGTGAGCATTTAATAAATGCCTGCTAAAAAACACGAATGCAAATCACTACACAAAATGAATGCCGTGAACGTCCCATTTACTCATTTCTCAACCATTCTTTGTACACCTGCAAATCTCTAAGCCATATTCTACAGGGCTGTGGAAATGACATGTGCAAACTGTTAGTGAAACTCCGAGCAGCCCATGGGTTTTTGAGCTTCGATGGAAGCATCACATAGGTCCAGGGAAGCGCACAGAGGAGGCAGTCGGCTTGCTGCTGCCTGTGCGTGTCCTTACCTGACCAGTCCAGGAATTCAACGCACTCGGTCTGCGCGTAGCGAGCAGCAACATCCCGGGCACTCTCCTGCCGGAAGTTCAGAGCTTCCACGTCGACATCCAGTTCCACCAGCGTTTTCAACGTCTCCAGACGACCCCAGGCTGCAGCACAGTGCAAGAGTGTATAACCTGACAAACAGAGTGAAGGCGGCCAGGTCAAATGGACTACACACGTCAAGACTTGTCATTGCAATATCACATATGTTTACCAACTTACTATGTGCCAAGGACTATGAGATATTTCTCTCATTTGATCATTACCTACTATGAGGAAAATATTTATTAGCCCCATTTTGCAGACGAAGTAACAGACACAAAATGATCAGGTAACTTACCCAAGTCACACAGCAAATAGTAAAGTCTGTGTTCTTAACTACTATGCTATACCGTACAAACACATATACACACACACATACATTCCTATATATGTGTACATACATTATAAATGTAAAATGTAAAGCTGGTGCATCCAACTTATCCAACTTTAGGTAGTCATAAGTAATACTGATGAGAGAAAAAAGACAAAATACCTCTGGCAGTTTTTTCATTCAGATCCACACCATATTTGGCCAAAGCTCTAATCACATCACTTTGCCCAGCCATGCAAGCTGCATATAACAAATTTCTCCCAACAATGTCCTCTTCCAAGAGGAGATTCATGGCCTGGTCATAATGAGGGTTCTCTGGGTCTTCAAAAATCTTCTGCAAACCTTCTACATCCCCTGTAAGAACAGGTTGTAAGAGAGGGTTAAGGGAGCCTGGTTCCTCTTCCTCTTCCTCCTCTTCCTCCTCCTCCTCCTCCTCCTCCTCCTCCTCCTCTTCTTCTTCTTCAACGTCTTCTTCTTCTTGCTGTGAGAAAAATTCTGATTTTTCTGAACTTTCTGATTCTGGGGGTCCTTCTGACTCCATTGACTCCCAAAATACCTGAGACAAAAAAAAAAAAAAAAAAGAAAGGAATAGAAATCTACTCAGACAAATTGGTAGTATTTATTTATTCAGACCATCCGCTGACAATACAGATGAAATGAAGATTCTTCACTGGTTGAAAGTCATTATAAAATAAAATATTTCATCCATTCAGTTCACGAAGTTCACTGTGCATCTTTCATAAGTCAATGCCGTCAACACACTGCCTGAACACACACTGAAATGCTGAGTACGTGACATGAAGAGTAAACTCAATAGGCGTGGGACAGCAGTGTGGGCTAGATTCCCCGGGAAAAGATGGAAAAGGGAATGTTAGAGAGCTTCACCTGCCTAAACATGGGTCCGTATTGGGGCAAAGTGAGAAATACAGTTGGATCTTTGGAACCAGGTTATTAAGACCTTAAAAAATTAGGCGCTGGTGTTTAAACAGAATTCACTCACTCAGTAATGCTTACTGAAAGCTTAGTAATATACTAAGCACTGTGTAGGCAGGTTTTATGTAAATTACAGAGAAGAGTCGCATTTCTTTCCTGCACTCAACAACTTATTTTTTCAAGGGAGAAAAGGCGACATGTGCAAAATAAGTGTAATAAAAGGTGCAAGTGTAAGTGTCAGAAGAGATGAAGTGTTATGGCAATTTGGAAGGGACAAGATTAATTCCAGATGGAACTAATCAAGGAAGTCTCATTAGTGCTCACTCTGGCATTACATATTAAACTGGGAATGATTCAGAGAAGAGGGGCATGGTCCCCTATGCAAGTGAGAACGCTTGTAGTATCACTGTTCGTACAGCAAAAATCCGGGGTGGGGGAAAAAACAATGCCCATTAACAGGAGCATTATTTTACGTTTTTGCAAATCTCTTTAATGGCTGGCTTATTAAAAGACAGATGGATTCTCCTATCTGCTTCTGTATTCACTGTAATGACGTGATGTTGTGGTATCACATCATGTAGCCTCTGGAAGACCACAGTAACGTGAGACAATTAGCACAAAGGCACTTTCCATCTAAGAATATGAAGACAATTTGACTGGGAGAGTCCATGGAAATATGTTAGGGATCCCCAGGGATTCCTCAGACCACACTTGGAGAACCACAGGACACCATCTCAAAGAAGAGAATGAGAGGAGACGTAACCTGAGAATCTAAACATTTGTGTATAAGAGAAATTAAACACGAGTCACAGATTGAGCTAAACTTGAAAACCAATGGAACATTTCCATTATTTTTTCCCTAAGAGCCAATGGTTGAGAGCTCATGGAAGAAACAAGATCTGTCATAGACAAAAATAAATTACATTTTTCTTTGCCCATAAAAGCTGTAGCATGAATCAAAAGTACAACCCCATTACTTACAACCAAACGTGCATGGAGAGTCTGAGCGAGGGCGCAGGGAGGGCTGGACTAGAAGGCAGAAGGCCCATGCCTCAGTTCGGACTCGGATAGTTATGAACCAGGTGACTTTGCTGAGCTCACGCTCCTCATTTGTGAAATGAGAACAGCACCTGCTCCGCCTTCCTGAATTGTAGGAAACCTGCCTGTCAACTTTTCCTTTGAACTATAAAGCGTGAACTCTCTTGGGCTGCGAAGGCACTAGCAGTAGAAAACCACACACACAGGTCGAGGTCCCTACCTGGTCCCTACCTGGCCAGCCTAGTGGGGAGGACAGTCAATCGGCAATGACAGCGTGAGCCGCGGCTCTAAGGGAGGTGAGCAAAGTGCTTTGAGGGTCGAGAACGGACATCCAGAGCAGACCCGGAGTCGGGAGGTCCGGGAAAGGCTTTCCAGAAGAGGGGACACCTCAGTGTCGAAGAGCGGGAGTCTTAAAAGGAGGCGAAGAGGACAGCCCGGGAGACGGGAGGGGCACCAACCAAGGGCGAGGAGTCAGGCGCAGCGCGAGGCTGCAGCAGAGGAACAGATCTCACGGGTCTTTTCAGCCCATTGGGTTTTTTGAGGACGTGGTCCCTTGTGGTCCCAGCTCTGGAAGGTCCCCAAGAGCGGCCCTAGGCCCCCGGGGTGAACAAGGGGGAGGCCCGAGGAAGAGGATCCAGACCGGCAGCCCCGCTGCGCCACCCAAAAGGTCCGGGGGAGGGGGCACCAGGGTTCGCCCTCCGGCTGGAATCCCGCAGGGCCTCCCGGATCCCGACGCTGCCCCGAGGCGGGACCCGCCACGCACGGCTCGGGCAGAGGCAAAGCCCCCTCCCCCCAGCCCCCGCCGAGCAGCCGGCCTGGTGATGCCCATTCCGCCTCGCCGACCCCTGCCCGGCCTCCGGGCCCCAGCACTCACCGCTCCCGCGGCGCCGGCTTCCGCGGTTACCTTGGCGACGACGCGCCCGGGCGGTAGCCCCGCCCCGGGAGCTGCGCTCGCCGGGCGCTGTGTGCGCAGGTCAAAGGCGCAGGGTGCAGGGTGCAGGGTGCAAGGAGGAGCTGGAGGACCCAGAGGGGTGAATAAAATCCGAATGATTACATGGCTGTGTTTGGAAGGTGGTGTGCAGGTCTTGTCTTGATTTTGTAAGTTTTCTTGTAATAAGGTCTATATTTGCTTTACACTGTCAAGAATAAAGGTGTACACATTGGTAGCCGCTCATCCTAGTCTTATCTTTGGCCTATTTTAAATGGAAGAATTTTCCAGAAATGGGAAGATACATTCTAAACACTACACAAGATTGTAATTGTATGGACAGCTTAATTTTCTAGTCTATTGGAGCTCTTTCTCCTGTGGCTTATGGTCACTGTCACCAACAAGCAGCCTTTCCTGAGACCTCCTAAGTGCCAACTACTGCTGAGTGGAAGGAACTTGGAAACTCTCTCTCTCTCTGATTCAGGAATTTAAGATCCAAAACAGACGACTTTTTAAAGGGAGGTGGGGGTGGGGCAGGGGTATCAAAAGAAACCAGCAGAGAAGGGCCAAGCTTACCCAGAAATTATATATAAACGTTCACATAGATCAGAGAGAGTGAAGACGAGGAAGTTTTTGTACTGAAGAAAAAGTAACACTCATTTCGTTACTATTTCTGCAAGAAAACTGTTCAGGAGGAGATGGTATTTTATTTTATTTATTTTTTCATATATATGTATTTTTTCTATTACCATTTAAGGAGAAGATAGTATTTTTTAAATTTATTTTAATTGTTGAAAGTACTACAGATGCCCCCTTCTTCCCCCCATTGAACCCCTGCACCCCACTCCCGACTCCACCCTCATGCCTTCACCACATTATTGTCTGTGTCCACTGGTTATGTACATATGTATATAAGTTCTTTGGTTAATCTCTTCCCCCCTTCCCTCTGAGATTCATCAGTCTGTTCCCTGCCTCCAGGTCTCTAGATCTATTTTGCTTGTCAGTTTATTTTGTTCATTAGATTCCACATATAAGTGAGATCATGTGATACTTGTCTTTCTTTGACTGGCTTATTTCGCCTAGCATAATACTCTTCAGATGCCTTCAGGCTGTCTCAAAGAGAAAGAGAGCCTTCTTTTTAGTATTCCATAAATGTACCACAGCTTTTTTAACCACTTATCTACTGATGGGCTCTTGGGCTGTTTCCAGATTTTAGCTATTGTAAAGAGTGCTGCTATGAATGGAAGATGGTATTTTAGAGGAGCTCAGAACATTTGAGCTGGAGGCTGAGCAGCCTAGTTTTCAAATGAACATTTGGCCTAAAACCCAAGCAAAGTATAACTATCATACATCTGCATTTCTAGAATACAAGAATAAATTTGAAATGTTAAAAACTACAATTATTAAATGTTTCTTATTCAAATAGATTGGGGTAGTCAACACTTTAGAGTTTGACATTACAGTATCAACAAAAGGTTGCTGCCACAATCTAATGCCAACAGGAGTCCCCAATGGGGTGTGGTAAAAGGAGAAACTTTATTCAGGCAAATAGTTTACAAACCTGGGACACCTAACCTCTTAGGAGGAGACATAGCCTCCTGAAGTATTTCACTTTCACTATGTTCTCTTAAAATGTTAGAAAGAAATAAGATATCTGAATATTTAATACCCCCATTGCAGTCAGTGAGCCCAGTACTCTATCAGTTTCTCCTACCATCAACCTGATCTACAGAGACCCACTACTGAACTCATTAGTGATTCTGAGTACCCCTCTCACCAGCACTTTACTTTACTTTGGTGTATCCTCTGGTCCCTCCCGTGGATTATAACTGCTTTGTGGGTTTCCCAGGCTTACATTGTATATCTAGCTTGCTCACTTTTTAAACTTTTTAACCCCTTGTTCCACTGCCTTCCATGGCAATCCTGGCATCTTGACCTCACTTAGTATGGGCTATCACTCTCCGTACTTATGAAACCACTGTAGCGGCATATTTGCACCATCTCTTGAGATCCTTGCCAGGCTGTTAAATCCCGTATCCCAGGAGAGTGCTTCAAAATTAAGTCTCCCCTATTCAACTTTGTATTCTGCCTTCCTTGTTCAGCACCCTCCAAATTAAGTCCTGTGTGTACTCAGCCAGATATCTCCTTCCCATATGTCAAGGTTCCTCTCTTTCCCAACTAGCATCCTGTCCATGGCAGAGCAGACTAGCCGGTATTGAGAGTGTAATCTTCTCTGAGGCTCTCCCACTCTTATAATTAAGTTCTGGACTTAGTCCTCAGCTTTTCCTGCTCTCCAGTTGCAGAAAAGGAGACCCTCTGTATTTGTTACCTTGGAAATCCTTTGGCTTTCCTGCTTAGGGTTTAATAGCCAATCTATCCATCTATTTCATTAAATAGCATCAAATGAGCTTAGCAACAGCCTACCCGTATTTCTTCTACATATCTCTACATCTGATACATTGCACCCAATAGAGTGTTTCCTCCCTTCAGAATATATAGTTTGCTGAGGGAAGAGCACCAAGAAATTGGACCAAGATCACAAAGCTAGTCTGTCACAGAACTAGGATTTGAATCTAGTGTCTGGACCTAAAGGCCATGCATTCCCCCCTACAGGCTACTTCACAAAAGGTATTCTTTTCCTTTCAGAACCAAGTGGACAAACCTTTGTAGATCCCACATGAAGAGCCACTAAAGAAAATCTGGTTAAGTTCATGCATAGTTATTAGAAAACCAGCAACAGTCTTTCCCTTATATTACTGAAATGTATCCCCTACACTATCACTTGTTTGTTTTCTAAATATATAGTAAAAATCAGGTGGCTTTGTGTTGTGGGAAAATCGGGGAAAAGGACAAATTGCAAGGATCTTCCTCCCCCCCCCCCCACCCCCAATAGTAAAGTAAGTTCACAAAAGTGTTTGCTTAAGTGTCTGGTGGTTAATATTAAGTGAAAGGACAAGCCGACATAGCCTTGGAACCTGGATAAAACTCTAGTGTCCTGAAAGCTAAAGTGTGGGAAATCCGGATGGTCGGGTCTATTTAGAGTTTGGCTGTGTAGCCTTAGCAGTCTGCACATAGTGTGGGCCTAACAGATATATGTCGACCCCATGTATGCATGCGTCCGTCAGTCATTCAATCCACAAGTAGGAACAAGGCTGTGCCAACAGGAGACTCACCTGCTACAAACAAATCAAAGTTCCTAGCTTTCCAGGCCTACTGCCATCTTTCCGTCGCCTTCTGCGGGGGGAAACAAGGAAGAAATGAGGAGTCTTCGGTATTCAAACACTGCCAGTTCAGCAGTGAGCTCGCAGAGTGACCAGCAGTGACCTCGGGACACAAGGACCTGATCGAGGACAGGCAGTGCTTGACGTGACCTGGTGCCCAGCAGAGAGAGCGGCACCGTCCTGAGCCGCGCCGGAACCTCTTGGCGGAATAAGTGGGCTCCGGGGGAAGGATTTAAGGTGAGGACCACTTCCTGCTGCTGAGCCGGGGCGCGGGACGGGGCGGAAGTGGCTCGAGGAGCGGCATCCTGCTGGCGCTAGCGGCTGCGGAGGAGGAGGCAGAGAGGAGGCGGCGGGCGGAGGAGGCAGGGGAGGCTGCGGCCAAGAAAAAGAAAAGTGTCGGAGCGGGTGAGTTAGCCGCCTTAGAGCAGGGACAGTGGGGAGCGCCCCGGGCTCGCCTTGCAAATCTGGGCGCCCGAGTCGCCGGGTCGCCGGGTCGGGTAAGGGCCGGGCTTCGCCCCGCCTGTCAGTGGGCGCCGGGAAGGGCTGTGGGGGCGCTGGGGCTGGGGCTGGGCCTCGCGGGGCACCAGACTGCGCTGCAGGCGGCTGACAGCCCCGCCCGGAGCCCGGGGAGCGCTGGGCTGTCCTGCCTGGGGGCTTTGGGCTTGGCTGGGCAGCCTCCCCAGGCAGGGCTGGAAGTCGGGAGAGCGTCCCATTTCCTCCTGGGGACCTAGCGAGATCTTGCCCAATGGGTGGGGGACATCGTTCCGGGGACAGAGAAGGGCTGGTAAGGAGAATGTTAACCTGGAGCCTTGGTTTTTCTGCGCTGTTCAAGCTGCCTGGCCGTCGGGAGCAGTGTTGTTTGTAAAGGCAAATGCCTCCCCTGCTTCTGTCACTTTGGGACAAGCTCATCGCTTTCAGATCCGCTGTGAACCCTGCCCACTCCCGGTGCGACCTGCCGTGTCCGGGCTGCTGTGGGTAGCTGGTGGACGCTGCGTCGGTATACTTGACGGTGCGGTCAGAGTGAAATGTCTCCGAGCACCTTTTGGAGAGAGACGGCACCAACCCAGCAGGCGGGACTGTTTAACGCACTTTCCCTCACCTTCACTTACAACCGTTTTAGCTTTCAGAGTAAGGAGAGTCAGCCTAAAGGTAGTAGGTAAAGGTTATGTTTGTGCATCTGCAAGAAACCTCAGACATACCAGGGCATGAAATTGCGTATCACTGAACGAAAAGGTAATATAGAGATTATTGCTGGAAAGATCAGAAATCGTTTTTATTAAGTTACTGCGTTTCTGTTGTCTTAGGTTCGGCATAGAGTGTGGCGAAGGGTACTTTTCATGGTGCATGGAAGGAAAGCCAATGCGCAGGTAGGCAATCGGAAGAAAACCTTCGGCTTCACCGATTGAAATCCAGCGAGTTAATAACTCAGGGCTTCATTTACATTTTTTTAAAAAATGTTTACATATCTTACCAAATTCTGCATGGAACTAGTGATTCTTGGTCTAAAATAAATAAAAAGTAATATCAGGAATTAGTAGCTTTTAAAACAGAGTAATATATAGAACTTAAATGTCTAAAGAGTGCTCTGAATTTAGTGTATTTGTTAACATTTAAATTTTCCTTTTTGTGTGGTAATTTTTTGTGATAATCATGAAGTGTACTATGATATATGGGTTTATTATAGTCTTCAATTTCCTGTAGAATGCAGAGGGTTCTCTTGCCAGATAAGTATAATGATTATTTATACTACACTAAACTAAATGTCTAATTATGGTTAGGGTTATTGCATTGATGTTCAGTAATACAGTTGTTCTGTTAATTAGAATAGCTGCATTGCAGGGAAGATTGAGGAGGAAAAAAGGTATTGGACACAATAACTTAGTCTATAGAAAAGCAGAACAGTGTGTGGGAAAATGTAGACAATTATAGGTCCTCTCAATCCTAAAATTAGTAACGCTTTTTCTCAACCTGTTCTAACAAATAGGACTAGAGTCCTTATTGAAACAAAATCAGCCCAGTTCAATTTCTTCATTTTTTATAACTCATTTTACATTAATTGAACTATATTTAATCATTTCTTATTTAACATCAAAGATTAACAACTGTGGTCGACCCTTTTAAGAAAAACATTTCATGATGGGGGTGTGGCTTATAACTTAAAACCAGAGCAAGAACCAGAATATATCTTTTTCCAGATCTGTTACTGATTTTTTTAAATTGACCTCGAGCTGTTCAACATTCTGTTCGCGTTTACTTCTCTAATGTATCTGACCAGGATATTGGGAATTAATGATTGCTTGCAAATGCTTTGAGATCTCCAGATGAAAAGATGTTATGGATATAAGAAATGTCATTATTTATATCTTACTCTATAGTAGCAATATTTGACTGAAAGTACATGAAATTAACAACACATATTAATACTTCATCACTTCAGTGTTTACAGTGGTTGCTTCTCATCCTCAGCTGTCATAAATGTTATATCTTATGCAGTTGCTAAAATAAGAGCTTATTATTCTTAAAAAGAAAAGGCATAGCGTGGGAATGTTTTTATTGGTACTTTCTATAAAAAATATTCATTTAATTACTCATACCTTTTTTTTCTGCTTTATTATATAATACTGCCAGTCATTCAGAATCATCTTGGAGAATTCTGGTGCCATTAAGTTACAGCTCTTTCTTCATCACCATCACTTGGCCAAAGCCTGGCCTACGCATTGTTCTCTGGTTTCACTTTCACCTGACGCCTACATTAAGTTATGATCACACTCCCAAAGGGTATTTCCTTTTGCTACTGCCAGCCAGAAAGCAGTCTCTAGAAAGTGAAGTTGAGTTTATACTTGGTTGCTATTGGAGAACCTTTGAATGAGAAGTAACACTTTATATTGAGATTATTTGGGTACATAGTCATTCTCCTACAAGAGTGTGAGCTCTTTGAGTCTCATGTGCCTCCTCTATACTTGTATCCCTGGAACCTAATGATCACTGAATAATTGTTTGAATGACTGAACAGTATCTGCAGACATTTCCACTGGGGGCAGGGACTATGAACAAGAATACCTTGTTGAAGGTATTCTAATGCATAATTACAAAGTTTGGTGAAACTAATTGGCATTTTATTAGTAAAGCTTTATTGCATTCATTTATTTAACTAGCTATTATGTGTACGAGACATAATTTTAGAAAAAGATAAAATAGGGTATTCAATGAAAAGTATCCCAATGCTGACCCCAGCTCTCGAGAGGCAACTGCTGTAAACGGTTTCTGTGCACCCTTTCACAGACATTGTAAGGCATATGCAAACATATACAGACTATCTCCGCCTTTTTAAAAACACTAATGTCAGCATATCATGCATATTCTTCTGTATCTGTCTTGTTTTCCCTTCACAAATTATCCTGTACTTTGTGACAGATGCATCCAGACCTACCTTATTCTTTTCAATAGTTACATAATATTCCATTATATGTAGTTAACCAGTCCTTTTGAGAGACATTTAAGTTATTTCAGATGTTTTGCTGTTACAACCAATTCTGTGATGAATATCCAAAAGTGTAAGTATAGAATAAATTCTTAGAGGTAAAATTGCCCACAGAGTATATGCATTTTAAAATTTTGGTAGGTATTGACTACTTCCCCTCCCTAGATGTTATACTAATCTACAGTCTCACAAATGATGTGCCTATTTCCCAGGCTATTGTTTTTAATCATTTATGTCATTTAGAGACACTAAAATATTTATACTATAGTTCTTCTATCTTTCCTTAAATATATAAATAGGAAACTGAGCCTGACTTTATTAGGAATTGGTTTATTCACTCACCAAGCATTTATATGGTACCTGGTCTATGCCTGTATACTGCACATATGCAGATGAAGTGATGGAAAGACATGTAAACAAACACCATAGTACAACATGAACAGGATTTAAATAGAGATGTAAACACAGAGGGAACCTCTGCTCTGTGCTATTCGATCTGGATCTTATAGAAAGGATAAGAACTTACTTTTTTTTTTTAAATCCTCATCTGAGGATTTTTTTTTTTCCATTCAGACAGAGTGGGAGGGAAAGAGAGAGAGAGAGAGAAACATCGATGCAAGAGAGACACATCGACTGGTTGCCTTCCTCACAACCCTGACTAAGGCCATGGACTGAACCAAAACCAATGTACGTGCCCTTGACCCGAATCTAACCTGTGACTCTTTGATCCACGGACCAAAGCTCTAACTGCTTAGCCAAACTGGCCAGGGCAGAATTTACTTTCAAGTAAAATGTATTTTAAAGAAGAGAGGTAATAAAAGATACAATTGAAAGAAAGAACAGCTGTGCCAAAAAAGATACAAGACCTGGAAGTATGTGGCATGTGTGGAATGGTAAGTATATCTGGAGTGTAGAGTGTGTGGGGGAAGAAGAAGGGGAAAGAGGAGGGGGAAAGTCATGGAAGATGAGGCTGCAACCATGGGAAAGACTTTGGCTTTAGCCATTAGGTATTTAAGAGCCAATGGACATTGTTGTACAGATCAGATCCGTCCTTTGGGCTGATATTTAGTAAGCCAGGGCATGGGCTAGAAAGAAGGGATATATATATATGAAGAGGAATGGGTTTCAGTAAGCCAAAAATAGATTCTCTCTCATACACTTTCAGGTTATTATTGTCCAGGAAACAGCCAGGTAGAGATGCCAGCATGTAATTGGAATCTGGGTCGGGGGCAGAAGAGCAGTTTGGTGCGTCATCAGTGCACAGGCGTCGTAGGCATGAACAAGGGCAGAGCAGAAAAGAAGAACGCCAAAGACAGAACCTAGGGAGTACCAGGGGTATTTAAGGTGTGGCCTAAGATGAAAAGCCTGTAAAGATTCTAAAATGGGTAAGAAGCTTTAGGGTTCTTTGGGTCTTGTTTGGCTTAATTGTATCTAGAGTTTCATCAGTAATTTTCACTCATGGTGAAGATTAGATGAGCTTCAAGTTCAACTTGAAAAACAAAAAAAAAACCCATTCACATCTCCTATCTAGAATTTCCTATTTGTTCTAGTCAATCTAAAATGTATGCTTAAAAATAGCAGTATAGGTATACTGCTTGGTCTGGGTGCTCCTTGCTCAACACTGCACTTTCCTTTCCTCCCTCTGATGTAGACACAGGAAATTAAATATTTTGCTTGATATCTTAATCCTTGCATTTTGTGACATCTCAGCTATGTGACAGCTGCCAATGAGATGTCAGCGAAGTTGCCAAGGGGTGTCCTAGGAAGGCTTTTGCTTTCCTGACCTATAGGGAGACCAGCTGGCTTGCATGGCCCTTTGCCCCGCCTCCTTCACCTTGCTTTGACTGCCACGCCAAGGCACCCAGTGCTGACTCTCATTTTATCCAAGAAGCAGTGATAGATGTCTTGAGGCTGAAGCATTCATGACCTATTTTCAGAGTAAGGGTTAACAGCCTGGCTTTCTGGTATGGAATTAGGTATGGGATGTAGAGCCTAGCGGGTGCCCTTCTAGAAGGCAGAACTGGCACTTAGAATAACAGATGTTATTTCTGTTTTAAGGATTTCTATACTCAAACCTCTAGCTCTTTCTATTCAAGTGTATTTAAATAAAAGTCAAGTCAGCTGAATCTTTTTTCTAAGTGCAGACTGTTAATTTCCAAATTAAAACAAAATGTTTGAAGTATAAAAGGAGAGATGTTCATTTAGCCCTGGCCAGTGTGGCTCGGTTTATTGGGCGTCATCTCGTGCACCAAGAGGTCACTGGTTTGATTTTCTGTCAGGGAACATGCCGGGATTTCGGCTCGATCCCCAGAGGGGGGCATGCAGGAGGCAGCCAATTGATGGTTCTCTCTCTCTCTCTCTGATGTTTCTCTCTCTCTCTGATGTTTCTCTCTCTCTCTCCCCCCCCTCTCTCTTTCTCCCTCTCCCTCTCTCCCTCTCCCTCCCTCTCTCCCTCTTCTTTCCCCTCTCTCTCTCTAAAATAAATTTAAAAAAAGGGAGCTCTTTGGGGGCACTTAGTTCTGTCTTTTGGTTACCTGAAGGTTTCCCTCTCTCTTGACTTAGGAACACTGTTATGGCAGGAGTGAGCTTCTGGTAAAATCACCATCTTCTCTTCCTTCTCCCCCCACCATTCCTGTAGGTGTACCAACATTCGACCAGGAGAGACTGGAATGGATGTAACAAGCCGCTGCACCCTTGGAGACCCCAACAAACTGCCAGAAGGGGTTCCCCAACCTGCCCGCATGCCCTATATCTCAGACAAGCACCCTCGACAAACCTTGGAAGTGATTAACCTCCTGAGAAAGCACCGGGAGCTGTGCGATGTGGTGCTGGTTGTGGGCGCTAAGAAGATATATGCCCATCGAGTCATTCTGTCGGCCTGTAGCCCCTACTTCCGAGCTATGTTTACAGGAGAGTTGGCAGAGAGCCGGCAGACAGAAGTAGTGATCCGAGACATAGATGAGAGGGCTATGGAGCTGCTCATTGACTTTGCGTATACCTCCCAGATAACCGTGGAAGAGGGCAACGTTCAGACCCTTCTGCCAGCTGCTTGCCTCCTCCAGCTGGCAGAAATACAGGAAGCCTGCTGTGAATTCTTAAAGAGGCAATTAGATCCGTCTAACTGCCTTGGTATTCGGGCTTTTGCTGACACACATTCATGTCGTGAGTTGCTAAGGATAGCAGACAAGTTCACTCAACATAATTTTCAAGAGGTGAGTTGTACTTAGTGGTTTGAATGTATTCATGTCTTTGTCAGGAGAGCATATGGGTTCACTCTCTGCTAACTAACACGTACGTACCTGCTTGGGTGTTTACCGCTGATTCTAACTCATAACATTAAAGAAGTAAGTTGTTATAAATTCTAAACCTGGTTTTTATTTTAGAGGCCAATTTTGTGTTTTATCAATAAAAGTTAAACTTCTAGGCTTGACTGTCCTTAGTCATATGTCATATTCATAGAAGGCTGATTTATAAGCCAGGATACAGTTTATTCACAAAGAGATTTGTGTCTGATAGGGTACCTGGTATCAGTCATTTACATGAAGCATGTCCTTCCCGATTACATGGATTATTCAGTAGAATAAATGATCGATCAGGGGTTATTTGGTGAATTGTCAGAAAAAATGAAGTTAGATAGTATCAAAAGAAGTTTTCATTAAACCTGTTATTTTTCATTCATTCATTTAATATTTTTAAAGCCACTGTGCTTGGGAACAAAGGCTGCAATAGTGAACAAGACTCTGGAGTGTATCTTTTCATGGAGTTTATAATCCTGCAGAGAAGATAGCCATTGAATGGACAATTACACAAATAACTAATTACAGCAATAGGCGCTACAAAGAAGCAATCTTAGATGACTTAACGGGTGTATTACAGGGATTTAACTTTGGTTCTAGAACAGCTCATGCAAAATTCTGAGACATGAAGAAGCATTACTAGTTTGAGGAACAAAGAAACCTAGTGAGACCTAGAGAGTAAAAGGGAGGATGCTACGCAATGATTTTATAGAAAGAATAAAGCCAGATTGCACTGGAGTTAATAGACCATGTTAAGAATTTGAAATTTAACCATGAAAGTGTTTTGAGCAAAGGAAAGACATGGTCCACTTTAATATTATTCTTCTGTTCACCAGGATAACCTCCAATGGATCAAAGACTTAAAAATACAAAATGAGCCCTGGCAGGTTTGGCTCAGCAGTTAGAGCGTCGGCCTGCAGACCAGAGAGTCCTGGGTTCAGTTCCCACTAAGGGCACATATCTTGGTTGCAGTTTGTCCCCGGCTCTGGTTGGGGTCATGTGGGTGGCAACCAGTCAATGTGTCTCACATCAATGTCTCTCTCTTCCTCCCTCTCTCCCTTCCGCTCTAGCTGAAGATAAATGCAAAAATGTCCTCGGGTGAGGATTAAAAAATAATAATACAAAATGAAACCATGAAAATATTAGATGGCACGGAACTATTCCTTTCTAATCTTGAAGCAAAGAAGGCCTAATTGACTAACCCAGAAGGCATAGGAGAAAATGTTGATAAATTTCACTGTATAAAAATTAAAAATTTATTCATGGTAAAACAATAAGTCAAAGAAAAACTGGGGGCAAATGCTTGCAATTCATATCACAGTAATAATCTCCTTACTATATCAAGAGCTCTTATTGGTCAGTAACCTGGACTGATAGAATGAGCAGTCAACAGGAAATTCAGATCGCCCCTCAACATGAAAATCTGTTCAAGCTGGTTCATAATAACTGAAACATGAATCAGAACTATACAAAGTACTATTTTTTTATCTGTCAGATTACAAATATCCAGACGTTTGATTGCACACCCTGTTGACAAAGCAGGCAATGGAGAAAACAGCTACATTGCTAGTGAGTATAAATCAATACAACCCCTTTGAAAGGAAATTTGGTAGTATCTATCAAAATTGCACACGTCTTGCACAAACTTGACTCAGCAATCCCATTTCTGGAAATTTGTACTACAAATGTACTGGAGAGGGGAACATTTGAGGAGGTAAAATCATGGGTTTCAATTTAGATATGTTCAGTTTGAGACACTTGCAAAATATCTAAACAGATATTGAGCAGACCACTTCATCTGAATCTGAATCTTAGAAACAGATGAGGCTGGGATGAAAATTTAGGAGTCATCAACTTAGTAATTAAGTCACAGTAATTAAACTATGGCTTAATCCTTTTAGGCAGGTTATAATCTAGAAGCCACACAAGAATGGACTGATAAACTTGATTGAATAAAAATTTTAAACTTTTAATAAAAAGCACCATAAACAAGGCGGGAGAAATCAGTGCCAATGAAAATCAGTGCTAGTGGGGAGAGAGAAGAAAAGAGCCCTGAATTATCCCAATATGAAGGACGGGCCGAGCAGCTGCAGAGGAAAGCTCGGACTGTGGGGTTGTTTCACAAAGAAGGAGATACATAAACTTACAAACTTTAATTTTGTAAATACAAAAACTAACTCAAGAAACAAAACCATAATTATATCTATGAAAGAAATTCCCATAGTAGTGTGGGACTTAAAACTCAGATCTCCTGTAAACTCGTATTGAAAAAGCAGGTACTTTGAGGCATTATTTTCTTAACCTGGTTGTTTGGTTCAAGGATAGATATCAGTGCTAGATTTGCCCTAATGGTAAACCATTAATATCTTTTTCTTAGAGAGAGAGGAAGGGAGAGAGATAGAAACGTCGATGTGAGAGAGACACATCGATCAGCTGCCTCCTGCACGCCCCCATCAGGGATCGATCCTGCAACCCAGGCATGTACCCTGACCGGGAATCGAACCAGGACCTCTCAGTCCATGGGACGATGCTCAATCCACTGAGCCACACCGGCCAGGTAATATCTTTTCCTTGGTGGTGGAAAAGAAGAAGTGACATTTTAACCATATTTTGTTTATCAAAAGTATTATTCTTACTCTTTATCCTTAGTGCCAAAAAATTTTCTCACATAAATTTTCATGTCTTTTTGCCATCTAATGTTTCCAGTAAGGATATTGTATTTAATATCATAGTGGTCCACTTATAAACTTTAATCCTAGTGATCACTGATACTCACATAACATTTGGTTTATAATCACTAAGCTGGGGAGAAGTTTATGCTGTGACCAGATCCGTAAAGCAGGCTAAGGCACGGGATACACGACACCTTGCTGGTGCTTAGGGAATGGGGGTGAGGGGGGAAGCGGGCGCAGCCGCGGCTTCCACACTGCACATCGTGAAGGCGGCGCGCTTGCTTTGCACCCAGGCCCCAGACCTGGCTCTGGACTTTCTAGCCCCCAACATAAGGTTGCCAGAGTAAATACAGGGAGTCCAATGAAATTTAAATTTCAAATAAAAAACAATTGTTAGTGTACGTCCTGTATCTTTATTTGTAAATCTGACGACTGCCACAGAGAGTACAGTGCAGTCACTCTGAGTACTAAGCTACTTGGCTAGGCAGCCTAGCTAAAATGTAAAGTTACCTGTTTAAATTCCTGACCCAGAAGGTCTCCCACTCAGATGATTTGAAAACCTTTGCCATAAAAATTAAACTGCTCATTAGTATTTTCTGCTATAAGTATAGCTGACTTATGGCCCTAAACTGTTTTATTTTTAGATGCATTTTTTTTTTCTAATGGACTTGGGAAAACATTCTTGATCAAATATTCAAATTTCTCTGGCTTGTCTCATATCCTGGTAAATATTCTGACTTTTTTGAGGAGCATGAGAATAACCTGTCCCAAGAGAATACATCACCTGCATCAGAGTTCACACTGTAGGCGCTGAGCTCTTCCCAGATCCTTCCTGTAGTCATGGACATCACCTGCAGCACGTGTTCTGCATGAGAGAGCAAACCACATGGAGTGTAGCAGTTAACTGTTCCCCTCCCACAATGCACCTTGTCCCTGCTACTCTGCAGAGTCATGGCAAGACCCACAAGCTCTTGGGGTTTGGGATGGCATGGACGACGGGGTGATACTCTTGTTATCGTCTCCCCTCCATCCTGACAGTGCCCTGGCCCTGGCGAAAAATAAATGGTTGGTGTGCTCTAGTGCATGTATATGTTTTACACACACACGTGTCAGTCAGATAGACGTGTGGATAAATACAAGAATGCTTCGGTCCTCAGGTTTTCCTGGTGTGACTCCTCGTTATACTCATTCTTGCTTGTAAAGTTGCTGATGCCCGTGTTGCCTTTTTAAACTGGCCCTTGGTGTTTCTGCCCTAGACATTGCCCTGTCAGTACTAACCTTCCTCTGGAAACGACTTTTGAATTTTTTTTATATGCCTCTTAACATTTCTGGAGTTATACTTTGGTATAGTTTAGTTTACTTTGAATATAAATTTTTATTTTGATACTTCATTTTAGGAAAAAAAGACATCATTTGTCTTAAATTACTTGAATCATGAATTACTATTTTTCCTAAATTTTGTGTCTCCTGTACTCTTTTGTTTCCTTTTTAAAATTAATAAAGATTATTTATTAGGGCACTTTTAGGTTCCAGCAAAACTGAGCAAAAAGTAGAGTTCTCATATACCACACACACACACACACACACACACACTTCCCCACTATCAACACTGCTCACCTGAGGGATACATGTGTCACAACTGATGAACCTACGTTGACATGTTACTGTCACCCAAAGCCCATAGTTTACATTCTGTGCATTTTGTGTAATGACATGTAGCCACCATTTTAGTATTGTACACCAGTTTCATTGTCCTAAAAATAGCTCTGTGTATTTGGTTTTTTTGTTTGTTTTTTTGTTAATCCTTACCCAAGGATATTTTTTTAGATAGAGTGGAAGGGAGGGAGGGAGGGAGGGAGAGAGAGAGAGAAACATCGATGTGAGAGAGAGACATTGATGGGTTGCCTCCTGCCCAGCCCCCATCGGAGTCCGGGGATTGAACCTGCAACCCAGGTACATGCCCTTGACCAGGAATCACACCTGTGACCCTTCGGTCCAAGGCTGATACCCTATCTGCTGAGCCAAACTGGTCAGGGCTCATCTGTTTCTTTTTAAACTTTTCTCCTCTGGTGCTGTTTCAAACTTCAGCTCTATTCTGGAATGGAGCTTTGCTTCATAACCCTTAAGAAAAATACTGAGACACTAAATTATGATCACAAGTTTTTTCTTTTATTCTTACCTCACTTTGAACAGGTGATGGAAAGTGAAGAGTTCATGTTGCTTCCAGCCAATCAGCTCATTGATATAATATCTAGTGATGAGCTAAATGTTCGCAGTGAAGAGCAGGTGTTCAATGCAGTGATGGCCTGGGTCAAATACAGCATCCAAGAAAGACGTCCTCAGTTACCCCAGGTATAACAGAAGTGCTTCTCTGTAACCGCTTGTACTGGACAAGATCAAATGTATTTGACTTGCAAAAGAACAGGTATCACTGTCCCTTATCTTAAACTATAAGAAAGACCATCTGTTTCCAAATAATTAAGGAGATAAGTGTTTTATCATTTTGAACGTCTTGCTCCTTTGCTTCCTCTCCATTTTGCTTCAGCTCTGAGTTGGGGCTATAACACAGGTCCAAACCTAAATGGTACAAACGGAACAAAAAAAAGCAAGGATGGCGCCTGTCATGCTTCTCGTCCCTGTGGCCTGGAAATCCCACAGCATTTTGAAGAATAAAGGGGCGGTATGGGGCATAAGTGGTCACTAAATGAAATGTTTGATGTTCTTGCTATTATGACTGTAGTATTTAGCAGTTTAATAGGGAATTCTAGATTTGTAATAAGAGTCCAGTTATATAAGCCAATTATAGGAGAGCTTAAAGTATATTGCTGAAAGCGTAAAGTAGCATTCTAAAGTGATATTTGTATGCTTTGTTTTCTGATTATTCTGATTATTAAATTGGTGGTCAGAATAAATTTAATTTAGTAGTATTTATGCCTCCCCTCCCTCTTCATTATATATTAATTAGAGCAATCAATAAATTCAGTTAGATCCCAAAACAACTGAAATACAATAGGGAAGCACCTGTTTTCTTAAATACCTGGCAGATGGGCACTCGAGCCTTTAAGCACATTCATTATCTCGTAGGTGCTACAGCACGTTCGTCTGCCTCTGCTTAGTCCCAAGTTCTTGGTGGGCACCGTGGGCTCTGACCCCCTCATCAAGAGTGATGAAGAATGCAGGTATGAATGCCCTGGGTGGGAAAGATCAACAACCAAGCGTTCCTGTTTTCTCCTAATTTCCTTGTTTGTATTGCTTCCTAAATACCGTGTTTCGTGGTGCTGGATGCAGGACAGTATTTAACAGGTGTTTCTTCTGGGCTAGGGTCAAGAAGAGATGGAAGGAGAGAGGCCTGAACTTCCAGGGTTCTGTCCTATTAGTTTTTTTGTGTGGTGTTATTGGTATAGAAGTGCCAATAAAGAGCTAGGTTTCTAAGATTTTAACGCAAGCTTGAATTTGAAGAGCCAATTCTCTGCTAATATATGTTTTCTTGAGATAAATTAAATAATGCTATTGATTCTGTCAAAAAGTGTGTCCAGAGCACTTTTTCCGTCCATCTCATATGCCCAGTTAGGGAATAGTACCGCCCTTGCTCCCTGAGGCTGGAAGGAGCTAAAGATCCCCGCACTCCTCAGTAGCTGTGAGAGGGTTTCCACGAGCGTTTCTGAGTGTTCATTGATGGGAGAAATGCTAGACACTTTTACAAAGCAGACGAACAAAACACCTACTTTACGGGGCTGTCTCTCTAATGTATAGAAAGTTTAAGAAATTACCCCAGTTTGACAGATTTTAAGATTTAGGTTCAAATCTGAAACCGTATGGTAGTTTTAATAATTTTTTTCCTGTCCAGACAGGGTGGCTCAGTGGTTGAGTGTCGACCCAAGCACCAAGAGGTCACCGGTTTTATTTTGGGTCAGGACACATGCCCAGGTTATGGACCAGATCCCCAGTGGGAGGCATGCAGGAGGTGGCTAATCGATGTTCTCTCTCATCGATGTTTCTATCTCTCTCTCCCTCTCCCTTCCTCTCTAAAGCCAATAAACAAAAAAGAAAATAATAATAATAATTTTTTCCTAGCATGGTCCAGATGTAAAAATTAAGTTTTTTTTTTTTAGAACTCCTTAAACACAATGAAGAAACACGTTCTAAAATCAAGAATCCCTAGAACAGAGGAAGGACATGCAGATTCATTTGCATTTCTTCTGTAATCTGAGTCTGTCCCTTTAACAGATGTTAGAGGAGGCTTTAGACGTTTGTCTTTTAAATTTAAAAAATAGATAAATAGCAGGTTTTCCCCCAGGTATTTACAGTACCAGAAGGAAAACCATAGGAATTATGGATGCAGAAATCTGAAGAAACAGTCCAAAGGTGCCCCTCCTGCATCAAACAAATCAGATTGTACTGATTCTGATGCAGAAAGTAAAGGTCTTTATGAAGTCACTTGTTAAAGAAGTCACTTCTGATACCCTGACCAGACCATTTACCAACAGTGTGACTTTAGGCAAGTTACTTTAACCTCTTTCTGCTATGGTTTCTTCATCTATAAAGTTGGGATAGTGACAGTACCTATTTCATAGGCTGTGGTGGGGATTAATGAGTTTATCCCTACAACACATGGCTGTAAGTGTTATTTATTTTTTAATCCTCACCAAGGACATTTTTCCAATTTTGTTCAGACAGAGTGGGAGGGAGAAAGAGGAAGAGAGAGAGAGAGAAACATCGACGTGAAAGGGACACATCGAGTGGCTGCCACCCACACGACTGACCAGGGCCGGGGACAAACTGTAACCGAGGTACATGCCCTTAGCAGGAACCGAATGGGTCTCTCTGGACCGCAGGTGGACGCTCTAACCACTGAACCAAACTGGCCAGGACTGTAACTGTTATTATTACTATTAATTATGGCTTGGCTTTCTGAGTATCAGCTCTACAGTACTCTTTCTAGGAACCCTGAACAACTTAATTAAAAGCCAGCTATTAGGCCCTGGCCGGTTTGGCTCAGCTGTTACAGCGTAGGCCGGGGACTGAAGAGTCCCAGGTTTGGTTCCCACTAAGGGCACATGCCTTGGTTGCAGTTTGTCTCCAGCCCCAGTTGGGGTTGTGTGGGTGATGACCACTGATGTCTCTCTCACATCGATGTTCCTCTCACATCGATGTTCCTCTCTCTCTTCCTCACTCTCTCCCTCCCGCTCTCTCTGAAGATTCCTAAAAACAGCTATTTGGAGATCAGTGTTTGTTTTTAAGGTTGGTGAAGCTAGAAAAAGCTCTTTGTCTTTGGTTTGGGTATTTTTTGTTTGTTTTTTGTTTTTGTTTTTAAGATAAATAAACTCAGAAGAGGCCTAGCAAGTCATGTGTTGGAAGTGCGCTACTGGGTCACGCCCGCACACTGGTCCAGAGCAGGAAAAAATCCCTCTTTGTAACATAAAATGACTAGAGAAGTGAAAATATGTGACTTAGGAAACCCTCTTAGCATTGACAGCAGAGTAACAGAGGGACAAGCACCAGGCAGGCACTGCGTCGCGCGAAGGACTCGGGTGAAATAAGTACATACAGAAGCCGTGCGCATGCGGTACTGTTTGTAACAGGCAGTTACTGGGTTTTCTCATAAAATACCTTAATAGAAAAAAAAAAAACGTTTTGTTCATCCTCAGTAGGCATGTTGAGAGTAACCATTCGGACAATACCAGATAGCAAATCAATATTAAATGATGGTATAGTGTTTCTTTTTAGCAATCCAATTTTTTACCTAATTTTTTATTACTTTAATTAATTTTGCAAATATCTAGTGCCATGGCTGATGTACTACTTTGCTGGTATCCTACAGAATCTAATAAAATTTATGAGAAAGGGATACCTCTGTAGATAATCGAGTTGTAATTTTTAGTTTCCCATAAGGTATTATTGGCCCCAAGCGCGTTGAGTTTTAGGCTAGACTTGCACTAAGATATGAAGTCATGATGGAAATACCAATCAATCCATGACTCCTAGTGTGACTGGCATCACTGCTCTCATGTTTGTGACCCTTTTAATATGGACTCCCTCCCCTTGGCCAACTTACATACTCCTAAACCACATTGGGATTTGACTAACAGTGTTATTTAGGCATTTGGAATAAAGGCAGAATTTTCTCCACAGAGACTTGGTAGATGAGGCTAAAAACTATCTCCTATTGCCCCAAGAACGACCTCTAATGCAAGGACCAAGGACAAGACCACGGAAGCCTATCCGCTGTGGAGAAGTCCTTTTTGCAGGTTTGGATCTTAATATACTGTGACTAAGCTGAACATTTTCCTACACGAGAACTGTGTTGTGAGCAGTCCTTTGGAGTTGTGATACCCACTGTCATAAGAAACGCACATGTTGTCATATAACTTGTCTCTTACCTCTTGGTCCAACACTGGTGTTCCACAGAACAGTGCTCTAGCTATAACCCTAACCTGCACTGCAGTGGCGTTGGCTAAAATGAGTCATGTGCCTTAACTAGTATATTACATGCAACTGTCAGAAAACATTACCTCACATGAAAGTTATACTCTGTCCTAGCTTTATTGAGTTAGAGTGAGCCCAAGTCAACCTGCTGTTTCATTTTGCTCCTGTTGTCTCCCCTGAATCTGTTGATCCTGAGGAAGACCATTGAGAAATTATCACCCACCCATCATGGTTAATGGAAAATCAGGTTTCTTTTAAATCAGGATATTCAACTAATATTAAATGACAGTAAGATTTGTATATATTGATTTGCTTAAATTTGAATTCTGTCCTAAGATATATGCCAGCAGTTTCAGTATCAGAGAAAACATCTTAAATTCCAAAATAAAATCTGGCTCCAAATGTGAGGGTTATGAGCATTTGAGACAAATCAAATAGCATAATCATTAAACCTCAGGCACAATTTTATAATGGAAACCATTAAAACCTGCCTTTAATTGGATTACATGGTTCCAAATGAAATTACTATCACTTCATAAACTTTGTTCTTTTATCCTTACCTGAGGATATTTTTCCATTATCATCAGATAGAGTGGGAGGGAGGGAGATAGAGAAACATCGATGTGAGAGAGACACATCAATTGGCTGCCTTCCTCATGACCCGACCAGGGCCGAGGACGAATCGCAACCGAGGTACATGCCCTTGACCAGAATCGAACCCGTCACTCATTGGTCCACAGGCTGACTCTCTAACCGCTGAGTCAGACTGGCCAGCGCTAAACTTTGTTCTTTTATACTAAAGAAAAATAGAGGCCTTTAGGGAACCAGTGTGCCTAAGGAAAAATATTGCTTAAAAGGGACCTATAGTATTCGTTGAATATCCTGATTCATTTATTTTTTAGTGCCCTTGACTGGAATCGAACCTGAGACTCTCTGGTCCACGGGCTGACACTCTGACTGCTGAGCCAATCTGACCAAGGCTGAATATCCTGATTTAGACCATAATAAAATAAAGCGCATTGAGATTTGAAATAAAGAAATGAATTTTCGCCCTGGCCAGTTTGGCTCAGCGGTTAGAGCGTCGGCCTGCGGTCCGGAGAGACCCGGGTTCGGTTCCCGCTAAGGGCACGTACCTCGGTTGCAGTTTGTCCCCGGCCCTGGTTGGTCGTGCGGGTGGCAGCCACTCGATGTGTCCCTTCACGTCGATGTTTCTCTCTCTCTCTCCCTTCCTCTCTCTCCCTCCCACTCTATCTGTACAAAAAATGGAAAAATATCCTCTGGTGAGGATAAAAAAAAAAAAAAAAAAAGAAATGAATTTTCACCCTGGTGGGTGTGGCTTAGTTGGTTGAGTATCGTCCTGTGCACTGAAAGGCTGCTGGTTAGATTCCCAGTCAGGGCACATGCCCAGGTTGTGGGCTCAGTCCCTAGTGAAGGGCATACAGGAGGCAGCCAGTTGATGTTTCCCTCTCATATCCATATTTCTCTCTGGAGACATTCGGTCAGTCCAAGCACTGGGTCACAGTGTAGAGGTTAGCAGTGAGTACGGCCTGTGCTTTAGGACAGGCCCTCTCCTAACCACTTCGTTGTTTCCCCAGTTGGTGGTTGGTGCAGTGGAGATGCCATTTCCAGTGTAGAACGATATGACCCACAGACCAACGAATGGCGAATGGTAGCTTCAATGAGCAAAAGGCGATGTGGAGTTGGGGTCAGTGTGCTTGATGACCTGTTATATGCAGTAGGAGGCCATGATGGATCCTCTTATCTCAATAGTGTTGAGAGGTAAGTAAGGTCAATGTGAAAATTTCTTCTCTACTGTTCATATAGCTTCATTTGGGATGTTCACTGGGAAACCTCTGGGGCACTCATTGGCAGCCAAGGCACCTAGCCTGACGTGCAAGTCCTTTCTGCTCTGACCTCCGCCTTTTGTCCAGTCTGTCTTCCCTGGCACATAGCTGTTCCCTGAACACGCTGCTGCAGACTCACTCCATTGCTTGCTGATCCTTGGACACGCTGTGCTCGTTCATGTCTCTTTCTCTGTGGGTATGCGCTGTCCTTTCTGGAAAACAGTGCCTACTGTTAGTATTTATGTAACAAAAACATGCTTGCATATAATGAATAAATATGTGGATAGATATATACCTGTTTAAAAGTATTTTACTGGCAAGTCTTGTAAGATATACACCAAATAAGACCAGAAATCAGGTGTAACTCAAAGGGAACTTTAGTTTTATATATAACATTCTGAAAAATTGTTCAGAAAAATGTTATATTCATATATAACTTCTTTAAGTAAAAATGAATTTTAAAAAATAAAAACATAAATCACACTTTCATATGCTTTAGTTATTAGTCATATTTAGAGGAAAGAATATATATGTGCCATGTGTCAGTGAATATGTAGACGTAGCCATACTTTTTTTGCATAATACAGACTCTGCTCTTGGTGTTCTCGCAGGTATGACCCTAAGACAAACCAGTGGAGCAGCGACGTGGCCCCCACGAGCACCTGCAGGACCAGTGTCGGTGTGGCGGTGCTTGGGGGCTTTCTCTACGCTGTTGGTGGCCAGGATGGCGTGTCTTGCCTCAACATTGTTGAGAGGTGATTTTGTCGAGTCATTTTCAATCTTTTAAACGCATATAGAGGGCTCTTTCAAAGAAACAATTTAGGACACTAGGGACTCCAAAATTTGGTAGATTTCCCATGGGCTCTAAGGAAAACGTTTTCAGTTGATCTTCAAGTCTAGGAAGGTGAAAGAACCTCATTTTTTAGCCTATGCTCCACTGACTGAGCCTAACATTAAAGTGCAAGAATCATTTTTAAATTGCATTCTATATAGATCAAGTATACCACTTCTGAAATCTGTACTGACTTTTCCCCCAGTATTTGGAGTGTACTTAATGTAAGACTGCCCAGACTTCTTCCAGAAAAAAATGATTAAAGTGATCATTCTTTCTAGCACGTCTTATATGGACTCCAGGTATTTTACATATGGAGTCTCATTAATTCTTAAAGTGTACATAGGGAAATCTGGATGGGCTGCCAAGGTTTACTGTATACTTTTACAAATCAGTTAACTTTGGTGAAATAGATTCTGTTCTTAATATCCAGCCCTGTCAGTTTTTGTCATTCTAACCTAGAGGTTGGATTTTGTAGTCTCGTGCTATGGTTGCTGGCAGGAACATACCGTATTTCATCGGCACTTCCTAAAAAAGAAATGTCCATGACTCCAGAGTGTTTGAAATGGCACTTACTAGGTGGGTTACCTTGTTTAAGTTGCAGAGTTTAACTGTCTTAAATAGAGTTAAAATTGTAGTTAACTCTTGAAGCTATGCTAGCGCCCTCTTATCCAGCTAAGAAACTTATTTTTCCAATTTCAAAATTCTGTGCAGGAGAATTCTGCGAAGATAACAGTAGCAACAGCATACTTTTTTAATCTCTCCATATTCCCACATAAAAACAAACATAGCAGTAGATCGCAAAGCTATAAACCTATGGAAAAGCTGTGGAGCTTGGCTGCATGATAATGTGAATGTTCTCAACACTTTAAAGTGATTGCAATGGGCCCTGGCCGGTTTGGCTCAGCGGTTAGAGCTTCAGCTTGTGGTCCAGAGAGACCCGGATTTGGTTCCCGCTAAGGGCACGTACCTTGGTTGCAGTTTGGCCCTGGCCCTGGTTGGGTTGTGCAGGTGGCAACCACTCGATGTGTCCCTTTCACGTCGATATTTCTCTCTTTTTCTCTCCCTCCCACTCTATCCGAACAAAAAATGGAAAAATGTCCTCGGGTGAGGATAAAGAAAAAAAAAAAGTGATTACAATGGAAAATTCTGTGTTTATTTTACCACAATTGAAAAAAAAAAAACACCTATGAACATTTAAAATAAACTAGAGGAAAGCGTATCCCTATGAACTCCCTAACACACAGGCAAAGACAAACCACCCCTAGGCAACAAGACCTGCATGACATCATTGCCTGCAGGACAAAACAGAGAGAAGCAGCTGCTGAAGTCCGACAGATCTGAGAACAGAAAAACCCTAAGTAGCCGATACATGTTTACTAGAAAGTGTGAGGGAAGTTTATGAACAGCTGGAACTAAGAAGGTTCTGCTCGTTCCCAATACAGAGCAAGCGCAAGGGACCCACAATAAGATCTGAAGGACTTAGAATGGGCTTTCTCAGCCTCAGCACTTACCAACATTTGGGGCCAGATACTTCTTAGCTGTGAGGGGCTGTCCTATGCATTGTAGGAAGTTTAACAGAACCTTTGGCCTCTACCCACTGAGTGCCTGTAGCACATGCCTGTTGTGACTACAAATGTCCCCAGACTTGACCAGATGTCCTTGTGGGGCAAGGGGGTGCAAAATCACCCCAATTGAGAACTAGCCAGAATGACCTTCCAGGACAGAGCCCGCACTTTGGGTGTAGAATCAAAATCAAGTAGGATAAGGACAACAGATAAAATGAAAAGAGCCCAGTCGGTGTGGCTCAGTGGATTGAGCGTTGTCCCATGGACTGAGAGGTCCCAGTTCGATTCCCAGTCAGGGCACATGCCTAGGTTGCAGGCTCGATCCCCAGTGCGGGGCATGCAGGAGGCAGCCCATTGATGTTTCTCTCATCTGTGTTTGTTTTTTTTAATCCTCACCCGAGGACACTTCTTCCATTTTTCGTTAAGATAGAGTGGGAGGGAGAGAGAGAGAGAGAGAGAGAGAAACATCAACGTGAAAGGGACACATCGAGTGGCTGTCACCCATACAACCCAACCAGGGCCGGGGACAAACTGCAACCGAGATAGGTGCCTTTAGTGGGAACCGAAACCTGGGTCTCTCTGGACCGCAGACCAACACTCTTGACTGCTGAGCCAAACTGGCCAGGGCTCTCTCATCTGTTTCTAATCTCTCATTCCCTTCCTCTCTCTCTAAAAAACATCAATAAAACATATTTTTTTAATGAAAAAAATTTTTAAATAAAATGAAAAGAGAAGACCAAGATAAAAGTAGGAGCAGTGAATAAATCCAGTACATCTCAGGAGGCAACCACTGTTTTTTTAATGTACATGAAAACAAGAGGGAGCTTCCTGAAGTTAGAAAAATTATCATGACTCAGCCCTTCTAAAAGTTCAGGAAACCTCCTTGCATATAAATAGCAGCACAGCAAAGTGCTGAGGTTAGATCCCATACCAAGTCAACATAAGAAAGCAGCAGCCGCACAGCACATCTCTGTAGACAGTAAAACACCAGAAAGACACCCACAGAACAGACCAGAGCTGTAATCAGCTCTTTCGAAATGTGCTCGAAGATACTAGGAAAGTTATGCAAGATCTGAAAACACTACGTAAGGCAGAAGTAGCCCAGGGAAACAAAAGCAAAAATGAAAAAGTGGGACTACATCAAACTAAAAACTTTTGCACAGCAAAAGAAACCCATCATCAAAATGAAAAAGTAACTTACCAAATGGGAGAAGGTATTTGCAAATCATATATTCGACGAGGAGTTAATATCCAAAATACCCGGAGGGGCGAAATGCGAAAATGCATTTCCAGCTGTTTCAAGTGGCTGAGCGCTGGGTGGCTTGTCCCCAGCAGCTGGAAACGAACACTCAGAGGAGGGGCTCAGAGGCACAGCACAGCCCATTGTGGGAGCGCCTGGGAGGGCGAGGAACAGAAACCAACAGAGAGGACCACTGCCGACACAAGTGACGGTAGCAAGCCAGCAGAAGGGAGCGGGTTCCTGTTCCTCCCCTTGATACCCAGTGGCCAGTCCTTCCTTTGGGCAGAATCTAATCGAGAGGCAGCTTGGCAAAAAAGTGGTATTTTCAGAGCACCAGCCGTATCAGAGTCAGTGCAAAACAGCTCATAACTGACACGGGCAGAGTCTAAGAGCTTTTTTCTCAAAAAGCTAAGTAAAGTGTTAGATTCTCACTGTGTGTTTGACCATTGTACGGTGAGTCTCCAGCATCTTTAGGTGATCTCAGGCCTCCTGAAAAGGTGTCACTTACTGAAAACATGTCTGTGGCTTCTTTTCACTGTAGGTATGATCCAAAGGAGAACAAGTGGACCCGAGTGGCGTCTATGAGCACCCGAAGGCTAGGCGTGGCCGTCGCCGTGTTAGGCGGCTTCTTATATGCTGTGGGCGGCTCTGACGGGACATCGCCACTCAACACAGGTTAGTTCCTTCCAGAGTCGCTCTGCTTCCCCCAGAGCAACCCATCTTCCTTGGAGAGTCCCCCTAGAAAAGTATGAGGAGTACAGCTTACCCTGAAATTTCCTAGGAAAGTTATTTTTCCTCTAGGAGAGGGCGGCTCCCAGCTCTCCCTCAGCTCCCTGGGCAGCCAGTCCTCCAGTACATTCCCAGAAGACTTCAGTTCCCTCTGCTTTACAAGCTGCTGGGATTTTATAATGAATACAATATCTGTTTCCTTAATATTATTTCCCTCCCCACAACCATCTCTCCTTAGAAAACAAAAAAACAAATAACCTCTAGCCCTGGCCAGTGTGGCTTAGTTGGTTGGAGCATCATCCCATCCCGTCCCCCAAAAGGTGGCAGGTTTGATTCCTGGTCGGGCGTGTGCATCGATGTTTTTTCTTTCTTTGTTTTTCTCCCTTTCCCTCTATGTAAAAATTTTTTAAAAAAGGGAAAAACACCCCACTCTATTATAATGTAGGAACAAATAAAAACGAGTCGCTGTAAGCTGGCGCTCAGAGCAGATCATCGTCAAGTCTTCTCAGTGGCTTAGAGTGCAGCAGGCACACAGCCAGGGAAGAGTGAGAGTTGTCTCTCACAACAGTAAATTATCAGCACAAAGCGGTGCTTCCAGATCATATACTCTACTCCCCCCTCTTAGAGGTGAGGAGGAGGCCTGGAGTCACCCAGCTAATGAACCCTACAGTCAGAACTAGAACTGGGTGCTTGACTCCAACACGGCCCTTTCCACCCATCACACCTGGAGAAAGCAGACCCTGCTGAGAGTATAGCGATGTTGTCCAAGGTGTGCGAGTCCTTCCCAGAAGCAGAACAGTCAGCGTCCTCACTGAAGGTGTCACCACAAAGCTGTGAAGCCGCCTCGACGTGGGGCGCCAGCCGAAGGGCACTCGGCTTTCTTTCCCTGCAGTGGAGCGCTACAGCCCTCAGGAAAACAGGTGGCACGCCATCGCGCCCATGGGCACCCGGAGGAAACACCTGGGCTGCGCCGTGTACCAGGACATGATCTATGCCGTGGGCGGCAGGGACGACACTACAGAGCTCAGCAGTGCGGAGAGATACAACCCCAGAACCAACCAGTGGTCCCCGGTGGTGGCGATGACGTCCCGCCGCAGTGGAGTAAGTGCCGGCCACGGACACCCAGCCCAGGGGGGCTGTGCGGAAGGCAGCCCTGCCTGTAAGAGAGTCGCGCAGTGAGCAGGGCCGTGTAGGCCAGATGCCCTGCCAAGTTCCTTTTGATTGCTGTTGTCTCAAGTGGTCAAGTATCTTATATCCACTCATACCTTAGAGAATTATTTTTTTATGATTTATTTAGTATAAGTTGCTTCTCTGAAAGGCAGCTTCCTGTTTTATCTAACTTCACCCATATTCATCCATCTCTGTTAGAGCTAAATATCCCTACCTAATGTTTCTAGGTAATATGCTAAGGGGTCGGCAGACCAGGATAAATGTTCAGGTAGAAACCCACCGGGCCCCACCACCAGTCTCCATGTTAGAGTATAGGCCAGATCAGGCTGCCTATGTCATATTCTACACCATGGATGGATGACCAGTGACAGGTGACTTCCAGGGTGGGGTATAGACTTCACCCATCCTGGGACATTGGCTCAGTGAGGTGTAACCCATAAAGCAGATCCTGTCGGGCCCAACTATGTAGCACAATAGGTGGGAGAACCTAGGAGCCGCTGAAGGCTCCAAACCCGAGGATCAAGGCAGTGGGTCTGGGGTGCACAGCCCAGGGACCGCCCTGCACGGCATCAACAAGTCCGAGCATTCAGGTGGCTGTGGCTCTTGATCACTGATGCCCAACAGCACACCACATTCCTGCTGTTTCACTGCTGCCAGCTGTTGATTATATTTTCACTCGCTTAGCAAATGTTTACTAAGTGCTTACTGCGTGCTGGGAAATCAAAGACATGATTCCTCTCCTCCCAGTTTAGTGAAAGAAAATGTATACAGCTAACGATAAAAAACAAATTCTACTGTAGAGGCCTATGCATTAAAAAAGAACGGGAGCCCAGCCGGTGTGGCTCAGAGTTTGAGCGTCGACCCAGGCACCAAGAGGTCACCAGTTCGGTTCCTGGTCAGGGCACAAGCCCGGGTTGTGGGCCTGATCCCCACTGTGGGACATGCAGGAGGCGGCCCATTGATGTTCTCTCTCATTGATGTTTCTCTCTCTCTCTCCCTCTCCCTTCCTCTCTAAAATCAATAAAGAAGAAAAAATATATACTAAAAAAAAAAAACACCATGGGAGAATAGGCTTAATGCTTTGGGGGTGGTGAAGGGACTTGTCAGAAAGTCGTACGTCAGCTAGGTCATAAAAGAGATTTTCTAGAAGGGGGAAGAAAACGCCAGCCAGGGAACACCACGTGCAGAGTACAGAGATGTGACTAAAGTTCAGCACCTTCTGGGGCGGCCAGTCTAGCATGACCGCAGCACTGAGGGCCCTGGGCAGGGGACACATGGGCTCCGGGGCTTTCTGGACAGCCTCAGCGACGTGAGGAGGACTTGCAACTCCCCCGAGGTGGCAGGACGCCTTAGACAGCTTTTAGAGGAAACTGACCACATGGTTAGACGTGTGTTTTTAAAATAATTTTTGTGGCAATTTTGACAGTAGATTAGAAGAGGCAACTACCAAAAGAAGTAAAAGCAGTTTAGAGGTTCTTGCTCACTGCCAGTGAGTGCTTTTCCTAAAACTTAATACATGTGTTGACTCTGAAAATATTCTAATTGAATATATAATTGTATAGTTCCCATAATTTAATAGATTTTTGTTTTTTCCCCTGTAATATAGAAATCTATTAAATAATCAAATAATCCAGAATGTAAGACCATAAAGATTTATCTAGAAACCCTTCTACACTTTCCCAGAGATTGTCAGTTTCTTTAGCAGCCACTGTGTCTTGGTCCTATAGGTTGGCCTGGCAGTGGTGAATGGACAGCTTATGGCTGTAGGAGGTTTTGATGGCACAACATACTTGAAGACCATTGAAGTTTTTGATCCTGATGCCAATACATGGAGGTAACCGTTCAACTATATTGTAAAGCACCCAATTGCTGCCTTGAAAACAATGGGCTTGAGGTAGCCCATGACAGTCACAATCAGGGTGGTCAGCACTGAATTACCTCTGCAGTACTTTGAAGAGGGGTGAAGTTACCCAAATTTGATGGTTTATTTTGACTTAATTGCTTTTAAGTGGCTGACATCTTAAAAAATTCTTCCCCTTGATAACTACCTGTCCAGTTTTATCATTGAGATGACAAAAATGGGGAGGGGGTCATCTCTGTAGGCCCATCATATTTAGTGGAGAAAACGGAGGCACAGAGAAATAAAATGACTTGCCTAAGCAAGTTAGTGACCGAGTTCGAAGGTTATATCTTCCTATTGGATAAATCCTTTCAATATTATGTGGACGCCTCCTTTGTCTCTAGGTGAGGCCTTCATTTTGAAGTCTGTTTTATTGGATATGAGTGTTACAGCTCCGACTCTTTAGAAGTGAGATATAAGCCTGGCCAGTGTGATGCAGTGGACTGAGCATCAGCCAACGGACTGAGAGGTCCTGGTTCAATTCCAGGTCAGGGCACATGCCCAGGTTTCAGGCTTGATCCCCAGTAGGAGGCATGCAGAAGGCAGCCGATCAATGTTTCTCTTTCACATCTCTCTCTAAAAAAACAAATCCATAAAAACATATTAAAATGATATATGAAAGCTAGAAATATTAGCTGTGATATAAAACATAGAAATGTTTTAGTAATGTCTTAGTTACGGAAGGAAGAAACGGTGTTTCTTTCCAGTTAGAAATCTGATTTTATTTTGTTTCTTTGCAGGTTATATGGTGGGATGAATTACCGGCGGCTGGGGGGTGGGGTAGGAGTTATTAAAATGACACATTGTGAATCCCATATATGGTGACCATCTAGAAGACATCTGTGTGTATGCCCCTCTGTATTCTGGAGTGCTTCAACTCTGGAGCTTTCTACAGTTCAAGAAAACCCTAGAACAAATGTTATTCTTTGCCGGTGCCTCAACATCTGGAAATACAAACACAACGAAAGTACTTTACCTGTAGGATGCCATCTTTGCACAATAATTTCCAGTTCTGTGCAGAAGAATATTTATTTTTGGTTTTAATTTATCATGTTATTTTTTTAGCTTTCCTCCCAGCCAAAATTAAAAAGAAAAAATTCCAAGCAGTAAAACTTTATTTTATTTTTAAGATACTAAGCTTGAAAATGCTAATAAGGGGAGAAGGGCTATATATGATCTAGCTGTTATTTCTAGGCACTCCATCCACATGACACCACTCCTTACAAGGACTACCAGTGACAAAGATCAGTATGCAAAGCATATAAGTTAGCCATCCTTCTTGCACTAAGCATCAGAAGACTTGAAAATCTTTTTTAAAAGGAAGCATCTCATTTTAAAGAATACAACTCAAAGTATTAAATCAGTAAAACCAGGACTCTAAAAGTTTTCATCAGTGAAACTTTCTATCTCGTTTTCTTCCATGTGAACTTGTTTTCTGCTATATTTAAAGTCTTTCTTTCACAGTCTTTTCATAGAGCTTCTGCTAGATCTAGAGCCCTGCTTGAGTGCCTCTCCAGAAACAGGATGTGATTCTCATGTACTGTCTTGAGAATCCCCCAGTGGAATCATGCAACTCTGCGCGTTTGTACTCAAAAACATTACTGACTGAGTGAAGCAACCTCCCATTTTCGTATTGCTACCAAGGACCAGCAGGGAGAAATGTCCTCTCCCCAGCAGTGAATTCTGTTATGCAATTTACACTTGATGCTCAGGCCTGCTGAAACTGAGGCTGACCTGTAACCACAGCCTCCAAGGAATGAATTCTTCAGTTCATGTGCTAGTACATGGGAATGGGTGTGAAGCCAACTGAAGCATTTTATTAACATCCTGGTTCTTTTCTACGACCATATCTCATTATCCTCATTCTATACAGCCACTATTACTACTTCGCTCACATTGCACTTTTTGGAGAAAAGTTAAAAAGTTATAAGGAGAAAATGATTAAAATTTTTGTCACTGTGTTCACAGACTTTTTGCAGAAAAATCTTTAAGACTTTATCCACAACAAAAGGAATAACCTTCTCCTTTACCCCCCACCCCCACCCCCAAAAAAATATTTGGCAACTTTTGTGTTTACATTTAAAAATCATTTGCACCTTTACAAGGAAAGAAAATAAGTATTTGGTAAACAATTGTTTACGTGTATCATTTATGCTTTTTTCTAGCATGTATAACTTTTTAAAATAAAGACAGTACTTACATTAAAAATTTGGGTTAGTGCTAAATGTTTCTATCTTTACTATTTGGATTTTCTGTTTCTATATCATTTATATTTCCTTCATATAAAGTTGTCAGTACTTTCACAAACCTGAAGGAATAAAAGGATTGCTAGCTAGAATTATAAATTATTATATTTTATATAAGAATTTTATATAAAAGCTTAATGTGTAACATTAATACTTATATTAATACATTTAATTCTTTTATATCATTTAGTTATATTGACTATAATATTACCTAACCACTAAACTTATTTTCTGGGACAGGACTTAGAATCATAGAATTTTGAGATAGAAGGACTCAACACATCTGGTCCAAACCCACTGGTTTCTTTGCTCTAAGACCGAAAACCCAGGAAGCCCTTCCTTAGAGCAAACAGTCAGGGGTGGAACCAGCATTAGAAATCAGTTGACCAAACTGCCAAGTCCTCTCTTTCTGAGCCCCACCAGCACTGCAGGCCGGCCTGAAGCTGACTACACTGAAAACCTTACACTGAAGTAGCCTGGTTAGTAACACTGGGATCCTTACAGTGCTGCATCATTAACAGCCTGTCTTTAAGGCAAAATCACGTATTTGTCAAGGCTCCAGTATTACCTGTACTGGAAGAAAAGGAGGCAAATAACAAAATTCTAGAGATGAGACTCTCCATAAACAGGGAAGTACCCAGTGGGACCTATTCACCTGGCTGTGGCTCAAGAATAGAGACCCAGGAACTACATACTTACTGGCCAAAGTGCTCATTGGAGCCAGTTTATTCCTGAAGGAAATCAAGACAGCTGTGAAACAATATTTTGTTCACTTCTTTGCATAGTGATTTCAACTCTAAACTGGGCCCCAGGAGTTTTTAACTCTCAGATTTGTCTGCACTGAGCCTCCAGCGCTGCACCGATTACAGTTCTGGTTTGCTTACCCTGGCACTGCTTCCCACGCGGTTTCTGCTCCAGTAAGCTGTAACTCGCTGTATTCTGTTTGTCTCTCCAATCCGGGCACCAGTTTTGCCGTGTCCTCCCCTCTCACAGATCTAAGAAGAGTTGTTGATGTTTCCATCTGTTCACCTTTTTACTTGTTGCTAGGACAGAGTACAACTTCCAACTTCCTTCCAGATGAAACTGGAAACCGGAAGTGAAGTGTGTTTTTAGTAAAAAAAAATTTTAAAAAATTATGAATCATCTCAGTAGATGCAGAAAAGTTAATTTCACAAGATTCAACATTCATTCATAATAACCCCTCAACAAATAAGGAATAGAAGAGAACCTCTTTAACCTGATAAAGGGCATCGAGGAAGCACCTACAGCTAACATCATTTTTCATGGTGAAAAATGCTTTTCCATTAAAATCAGGAACAAGATGTACATTCTCATCATTTCTATTTCTTCTTGTACTAAAGATTCTAGCCAAGGCAATTTAGCACGAAAAAAGAAATAAAAAGCATACGTATTGCAATGAAAAAGTAAAACTACCTTTATTCACAAATGACACCAATCTTGTATATAGAAAATCCTAAGGAATTCACTGAAAATACTAAAGTAAACAAGTTCAGTGAGGTCAGGATACACGAGCAATATACAAAATCAATTGTATTTCTGAGCACTAATAACAGTCCAAAAATGAAATTTAGAAAACAATTCTATTCTTGATAGCATAACAAAGAATAAGGTAGGAATAAATTTAATAATAAATTTAATAAAGTGCAATATTTGTATGCTGAAAACTATAAAACACTGAAGGAAATTTTGAAAGATTTAAATAAATGTTCATAGATGGAAGACTTAATGTAATTATGATGATAATACTCCCCAAATTGATCTACAGATTCAACACAATCTTTATCAAAATCCCAGGTAACTTTTTAATAGAAACTGACCAATAAATGCTAAATTCTTATACATATACAAAAAGCCCAGAATAGCCAAAACAATCTTGAAAAAAGAATCAAGCTAGGAAAGTCATACTTTCTGATTTTAAAACACATTACAAATCTATAGTAATCAAGACAGTGTGGTACTGGCATAAGAACTGACTTATTCAAGATCAATGAAATAGAATGGAGAATTCAGAAATAAACATCAATAGTCCATCAATTTTTAAGAAAGGTGACAGAAAATTTCACTTTTTTCAATAAATGGTGCTGGAACAAATGAATATCCATATGCAAAATGATGAATTTGGATGCTTACCTCAAACCATACGTAAAAATTCAAAATGGATTACAGACCTAAATTTAAGAACTAAAATTATAAAATCCTTAGATGAAAACCTAAGAGTAAATCTTCAGGATTTAAGATTAAGCAATAATTTATTCCTTAGATCTAACACCAAAAAAACTGATAACTGGATCTCATCAAAATTTAAAAGTTTTGCATTTCAAAAATAAATGAGCTCATTCTGATATTTCCAATTAAAATTTAGTATTACATTTCTACTTAGCTTACCTGATTTTATAATTGTTTATCTTTTCTCTTATACTGTAAATATTGGTTCCTAACATTGTTATAATTACATTTCTTATTAGAAATAGTAAATTAATACCAATATTATTAATAAAAATATAACTGAATGCAACTTAAGATTCCTTTGCTGCTCTTCTTTTCCTTGGATACAGACCACTAACGATGTACAATCAAAATAGTAGTAAAGATACTAAAAGTAATTCTTGGTGTGAATATAGCATGAAACTTCACATGTTTAGGTTCATTTGTTTTCAATTTTTAAGGACTGCTTTTTTTATTTTGGATCTAATTTTGTTTCATAATTATATAAACTAGTTATATGATTCCAAACAGGGAACATTCAGATAAGCTTTAACTTTCGTTCCTGTCCCCTCTACCCAATTCCTTGCCTCTATTAGTAACCACTTTTATTCATTTTTGGTTTGTCCTTTCATTGTTTTTTTAATAACTTAAGGAAATACACACACATATTCCCCCATTCGTTCCATGAAAGACAGCATACTATACACTCTGCCCACGTTTTGCTCTTTCACATAACACGTCCTAGAGATCATCAGTATTAGAAACCTTCCTCAAACTTTTTTATAGCTGTAGAGTAATTCATTGGGAGCTACCGCATAATTTACTCAACCAATCCCCCTCTGATGGGCATCTGGATTGTTTTCAGCCTTCTTGTTGAAATATGTAGCCTTGTACAGGTTTCACTTTGTATTTCTGCCAGTAAATTTTGGGGACAGAATCCTACAAGTGGAATTGGTGGTCAATCACATATAATTTTGACAGGCATTGCTAACTTCTCCATAGAGGTTACACCATTTCTAATAACCTTTTAACTGTTTTCCCCCTTCCACTCTTGTCCACCTACAACTCATTCTATATCTTATATAATACAAAGTGGTTCATATTACTCTCCTACTTAAACTTCAGAGGCTTCCCATTGCATTGAGAATAAAACTAATGTCTTCACAGTACCTATGAAAACTTAGATGGTGGGAATCCTGCCTCACATCAGGATTAGGTTTGGCTATGAGCAAGAGACCCAAAACATTAGCTCAAACAAGATGGATGTTTACTTCTCTGACACAGTTCAGCTTCAAGAAGTCCTCAGGGCACAAACTCCTTCCAGGCCATGTTCCCTGATCCTTAGGACCTGACCCTAATCCCTGTGACTTAAAAGCAGCTAGAGTACCATTCTATGTGTGTTCCAAATAGCAAAGCTGGAAGAAAAAGAAGGCAAGAGGTATATGGCTGCTGTGTTGTCAGGAAGATTTCTAGAAGCTCTACATAACACTTCCACCAATATGCCATGGGTCAGAACTCAGAGACCTAAGAGAAAGGATGGAAAATGTCATCCTTATTCCGGGCAGCCACGTGCCCAGCCACAGCTGGGAGACAGAACCCATGGAAGAAGTTTCTGCTGCACGATCTCTTCAGCTCCATCTCACACTTCTCCTCTCTCACTCACTGTGCTCCAGCCAGATTCCCTTTGCTCTTCAAACAAATCGAGCCCTTGCCTGTCCCGAGGTCTTCCCTCCTGCAATGTCACCTGCCTAGCACACTCATCCTCAGATCTTCATGTGGCTGGTTCCTGCTCCTCACCCAGGACTCAGCTCAACTGTCACTTCCTCAGAGAGCCCTTCTTTAATAACTGCATGTACAGTCGGCCTACCCGTCACCCTCTTTCCTACTGCACTGCCTTCTTTTCTGTAGACATTCCTCTCATATCTTCTGCTTTCCTCCATTACGATACAATGTCCACAGGACAGGGGTCCTTTTTTGTCTTCACTGTTCTATCCCTGTTACCCAGTATAATTCTAAGTACACAGTGGAACTTAATACTAGTTGAGTGAATGAATGTCTGACTCCAAAGCCCATGTTTTTTGTACTACTTCTGCTATTCCTAATATATGTGAAATAATACCACACTCCAGAAGCTTGTTTTTATTTTTAGAATGACAGCTTACTGAAGTTCTTTTTCTCCAAACAAGATTTTAAAAAACATGGTTTCTAAAGTAAACAAAACTTTCCTATGCTCAGTTAGTAAAAAGAAGAGATTTAGATATAGCCTCTTGAGCAAGTCTCTAACATTGGTAGATTTCATAGTTTTCATCTGTAAAATGGAAGAGTTGGTTAAAATTCATTCATTTTATCTACAGGTATTTACCAAGCACTGTGCTAAAGCAAATTAGGGACATGAAAATTAAACAAGAAAATCTTTGCCCTCAAAAAAGGTTCACAGGTGCCTTTAAAATGTACAGTCTGTATAACTCTTGTAATTGGTGGTTTGTAACCTTTGAGAAAAAGCCCATGACTTCCCATTCCTGAGACATTTATTAAACATCTGTCACCAAGACACTGATAAACACACTGCTTCATTTTAAAAGTGAGTATTTAATTCAACATTGCAATAGGAATTAAATAATATTAAAAACAGAAGCATATTAGTGGCTTTAAAAATCTGTACTCATCTTTAGTTTCCTTTGCAGAGGATTTTCTGATGGCTAATTCTCTACACCAAGATGGTGCTAGGAAAATGTCTTCACGAGACAGAAACCCTCTTTGAATGCAAGTCTAAAATGCTTGCAAGGGATGCAAGGTTTTAGAGACCCAAATCAGAAATACTGAATATTAGAGATATCTCATTTGGATCCTAAAAGTTTGACATAATAAACATTACGTATTTTTTAGAAAGATAGCCAATAACAACTCAGCATTTCTGGAGACTGGCACCCCCCGATCATCATGACTATTACAGGAGCACCTGGCTGTTCATTCCTACCACCTTCTGTTCTTCTAGATCCTTCTTGGCGTCCACCTGGGAACCTCCAAAGGCTCTGTGAGGAAACAGGTGCAGAGATGGGTGCCCATTTCTCCTGTAGTCCCTTCTCAGCATAGCGACTAAGCAAATAATCAATGAGGAAAAGGTATATAATCCATAACGTAGTCCCCACAAGTCCTCACTCAATTTGAAAAATTGCCAGTTCTGTCAAATATGCCAACACTCCAATAAGGTATTTATGACACAGAATCTGAAAAGAAAAAAGAAAAAAAGGACAATATTTAAAATAGAATTATGATGATAAACAGTTTGTACTTGATAAATATTCCAGGCTTATTTTCAATTCCATATCTGCAAGCTAAGATATGAATATGAACCCAAACCATTGCTGCTCTAAGTCAAATAGATTTTATCTAATGAAGACTTTAATAAATTCACAACTATAGTCAATGGTGCTTAGAAGTAGACTACAGTTCTCATTTATCCTGGCTTCCATGCTTGGGCTATCTGCCTAAACAGTGAGGGGAGGCCCTGGCTGGTTTGGCTCAGCGGTTAGAGCGTCAGCCTGCGGACCAGAGTGTCCCGGGTTCGGTTCCCACTAAGGGCATGTACCTCAGTTGCAGTTTGTCCCCGCACCGGTTGGGGTTGTGTGGGTGGCAACCAGTCAATGTTTCTCTCCCTCTCTTCCCCCGTCTCTCCCTCCCGCTATCTGAAGATAAATGCAAAAATGTCCTTGGGTGAGGATTAAAAAAAAAGAAAAGTAGTGAGGGGAGGAAGGGCATCTATGAACCCCTTGGACTTATATGCAAATTGATTATCTACATTTTCCAGAAGGAGGTTCCATAGCTTCTTTCTTCTCAAAGGGATATACAAGTCCAAAATATCTGGTAGAAACAAAACGGCTAATATATTAATTTCGAACTTTCGAGAGGCAGTACAGTGTTGCAGTCGAAAGCATAAGCTTTTGAGACAAATGACTAGGTTCAAATTCCGACTCCACTAATTAGCTGTGTGATCTTAGGGAGCCTACTTATCTTCTGTGTTCTAGTTTTCTCTTTATAGGCCATCTAAGTGTATACACTATTTACATAGGTTGTTGTGAAGGCTAAAGGAGACAATATGTGTACAATGCTTACTAATGCCTGGCACAATTTAGTGCTTAATACATGTGAGCTATCATCAGGGCACTATTTGAACCTCAGAGCCAGTTAGTGTCTCACATCAAGACAGGTCCTTGGATAGAGAATAGACCAGATAAATTAATGTGTTTAAGGACCATCATCATATATATAGATGGATAACAACACATTGTATAAAATAGTTTTTAAATGTAGTTTACTAATAGAGTATATGCATATGGAAACAAAATTTAAAAATATATAAGGACATCATAAATATTGAACTTCTGAGGTGCTAAAATTGCATTTTCCTTTATCATGTCAAAATAAATTTAACATCATGACCCAGTACAAACAAATGTGATAGAATTTCTATTTCTTTGTTTTTAAAGCTGGCCTCTTACCAAAATTGTTTCCCAAACTCCTGTTGCACTGTGACCTCCAGCTTGAAAAGCACTAATACAGTGCTTATAGGCAGAGTCTGGACTTCTTGGAACCTCAGCAACAAGCATTCAAGTCTGGGTTTTTCTTTTTTAATTTTAGATAGAGTGGGAGGAAGAGAGAGAGAGAGAAACATCGATGTGAAAAGGACACATCGAATGGTTGCCAACCACACCACCCAACCAGGGCCGGGGACCAACTGCAACTGAGGTACGTGCCCTTAGTGGGAACCGAACCCGAGTCTCTCTGGACCACAGGCTGACGCTCTAACCGCTGAGCCAAACCAGCCAGGGCAAGCATTCAAGTCTTGATCCCTCCCCTTACTAAGCAATCTTGCACATGTCAACCCTATCTTGGCCTCAGTTTCATTGTTTTAAAAATAAAATGCAGCCCTGGCCAGTTTGGCTCAGCGGTTAGAGCGTCGGCCTGCAGTCTGGAGAGACCTGGGTTCGGTTCCCGCTAAGGGCACGTACCTCGGTTGCAGTTTGTCCCCGGCCCTGGTTGGGTCGTGTGGGTGGCAACCACTCGATGTGTCCCTTTCACATCGATCTTTCTCTCTCTCTCTCTCTCTCTCTCTCTCTCTCTCTCTCTCTCTCCCCCACTCTATCTGAACAAAATATCAAAAAATGTCCTCGGGTGAGGATAAAAATAAATAAATAAATAAAATAAAATGCAAAGAAAAACACCTAACAGGAGTAACTCTAAAGATTACAATTAATGTATGTTAAACTCCTAGCACAGTGACAAAACCAATATTCACTGTTTATGGTGATTGTATTTTAACATATTTTAAATATATTAACTGGTATATTTTAATATATTTAAGGGCCTACTCTCAGTTGATTTCTGATACTTCCTCTAATAAGGACTTCATAAACAGTAAAATAATGTCTCTATTATTTCTTTTCCAGCAGGGATAGAAAAGCCTAAAATATAAAGATGATATCTTAGTTATGTGTTTCTGGCTATAATTTTCTTATCTAACATACAAAATCGTTTGTTATCTGATTCATATTTCTTTTTTTTTTCTTTATTGATTTGGAGAGAGAGAAAGGGAGCAGGAGAGAGTGAGATAGAAACATTGATGAGAGAGAACATCAACTGGCCACCTCCTGCATGCCCCCCAATGGGGATTTGGCCCACAACCTGGGCATGTGCCCTGACCGGGATCAAACCAGCGACCTCTTGGTGCATGGGTTGACACTCAACCACTCAGCCACACCAGCCGGGCTGATTAATATTTCAAAGTTTGACAAGAAACTTTTTTGAAGATTTCAAAGTTACTACAGAGTAATTCATATTACCAAAATCTGTAGCATACAGCATATAGTATCCTTCCATAATAAAGGTGAATCGAGCCTTGACCTATGTGGCTCATTTGGTTGGGCGTTGTCCTGTGTACTGAAAAGTTGCCAGTTCAATTCCTGGTCAGGGCACGTGCCCAGGTTTCGGGCTTGATCTCCAATAATGGGTATGCAAGAGGCAGCTGATCGATGTTTCATTCTCACATTGATGTTTCTCTCTCTCCCTCTCCCTTCCTCTCTCTCTAAAAATCAATTAAAAAAAAATAGCTGAATCAAGAAGGCTAAAGAATTTTTAGCAAATCTTTTATAAAGCATGAAATAAAATCTCTCTACTGTCTTGAATTGGCAGACATACAGTATATTTCTTCCACATGGAAAATGCAATCCATACATTTTGGAAACCATGTATCAATAAAAATTACTTAACTAGATTTGTTCAAACTAACCTTTATTTTCCCATTAGTATGTGCTGAAGCTACAGATGTTGAAACACGAACCAATCTTGTGGCTGATAAATGAATTTTGAAATGCCTATAAAAATGTGAACAAAGGCAGTCCATGAACAAGTCAACTTCCTCCTGGGTAACTTCCCCAGTTGCTTTGTGGACACTGTCCCACAAGGCTTTTGCGTCCTCTGGGTGTATGGCATAAGAAATATCCAGACTTTGAGGGCTACAGGGTACAGACCAAAGAAATTCAGTAGTAGCCACATAATGATCCACTTTGCATGCAGTCCACATAGCCGCCATCCAGGAAAGATTAAATGCGTTGATTGCTAAGGGACTAAAATGACAGTCAAAAGTTTGCTGAAACCAGGTTCCAATTAAGGCCGTATTAGTCTCTGCTCCATTTGCAAGGAATAAGGGTAGACAGGTGAAATCTTCTGAAACAGTCTCCAAAAGACTGTCTCCAAATATACAACAGAACCAACCAGTCCACAACACTTTACCTTCTCTGTTCTCAGATGGCAATTGAGATTTTGACAGAATCTACAAAGAAAGAAAATAAAATAGGTTCATTAATTTCAAAAGTATACCTACTACTAAATTACATCATCTCAAAATTAACTAGTACATTTAAAAATAAGAAGATATGTTATATCACTTATAAAAAACCAAAGAATAGTGTCCTTAATCATTAGGGTTTATCAAGTTCATAGACTTTTTTCCTACTATTCTTATATACTAACTAGAGACATGGTCTATGGAAAGATTTTCATACAACCAAAATGCAAAATAAAGGATACCAATATGGTACAACCAGGTACAATATAGGGGAAAACACTCTCAACTTTAGAAGGGGCAGTAAAAGGTCACCAAATGCAATGTTCTTGAACTCTTGCACTGAGGAAGACTTCAGTGAATTCCTAAGGCAGCTTTCTATCAGCTTAAAATGTTCTTTCATGTGAGGCCCTCGAGTTTTCACCCGCTGGTCCTGCTTTCTTCCTTACATGCATGAAGAACAAATCAAAATCTCATGTCTCTTCTATAGGCAAAGCCCTTCAGATATCTGATGATGCCTATCATAGGTACTGCCAAGTTCAATGTCTCCAATATCTTCAACCATTCCTCCTATGACATACATTCAAGTCTCACATAATCCTGGTCACTCTTCTCTGATTCTTTTCTGTGGGTGAACATAAGTGAATATAATTTCTTCTGTCATCATCTTTAACCTAGATTATACGCCTATTAATACAATCTTAGATTGCAGCAGTTTTCTGGTTTTTAGTTGAAGCTTTACATAAATTAGCCCTAAATATTCAATTTTCCTGTAAATAGGTAAATCCCCTCATCCTATATTTCGATCTCTTTCAATTTGGTCCATTAAGCTAATCCACTGATATCTTTTAGAATCTTGATTATGTTTTCCAGTAGACTGACTACAAACTTTAAATTTGTAAATGACGCAACAAACGTGCCTACCAGATAGCCATAGATGTTTTCATTAACCTTGACCAGTACAGCCCAGTATCATATCCTTTTAGAGATGATCACTTAAACAGTTTTTAGTTCTCCTCCTTGTTCAAGAGATTATAAGAGACTCAAATATCTTAAAGCCCGCATATATTATGTCTACAACACTTTTTAAACTTAAAAGTCCTATAACCCTCTCAAGAAACAAAATTTAATTTGAAAACTACTAGGGCGCTATGCTAGAAATTCAAGAGGTCGCTTCTATTCCTCACAAGAACACCTGCTTGCCTGATGACACACAAAACCTGTAACTGCTCCAGGTATCAGCTGCTTGCTTCACTTCACAGACTGCTAATTGTCTGCCCGGCATCTATTTTTCCTTCCACAATAAAACGGTGCTTTTACTTGGTATTGGCAAAGTACCAACTGAAATGTAAAGAGAAGCTGCTGGGTCTCAGAAAGTTTCATTCAAGATTCACTCAGTGGCAGGCATGCTGTTATGTGCACATATTTAGGGCTCCAAAAGCCATCTCAGACTATAGGGGCCCTGAGGATGGAAGCTATGCTCCAGGGTGAGAGAAGAGAGGAGCCCAGATTATTAATAATATCATAAAGCACAGACCAGCCTTGAACAGCTTACCTACGGACACCTCTTTTATAAGGCAAATAACCCTCTATCTTATTTAATTCACTATCATTTAAGCTTTCTGTTGTATGCAGCTGAATCTAACCCAAGGCATCTTGAGATCCTTGTCAATACCATGACCTACATACACCATGGCGCAGCAAACTTTTCTGTCAAGGACCAGCTAGTAGAGATTTTAGGCTTTGTGGGCCACAGCAAATACCCAACTTTGTTGCTGTGGCACCAAAGCAGCCATAGGTAATTCATAAACAAATGAAAGAGGCTCTGCCCCAACAGAACCTCACTCACAGAAATAACAGCAAATTCAACTTGGCCCCGCAGGCCATGGTTTGCTGACCCCTGCTTTATAACAAACAAAATTATGCATGTTCAACTGTTTCAGAATTTAATTTACCAGTGACTAAGACAAATTAACTCAGAAACAGAAGTAGCAAGCATGAATCAAATAAATCCAGTTTTTTTATGAATTAACAGTCATATTACTTTTATTCATTGCCTACAGGAAGGAATGTAGAATGTTACATTTCTGAGATAACTTGACATGGTATCACACTATGTAAGACATGTTACATATTTTGTTAAAATTCTACTTCTAGGAATACAATTCTAGTAAAAACCACAGAACTGTAAAATTCCTAATGATATGAATAATTATCTTCAACACTGATTATTAGTAAATAAGCCTCAATGCAATTAAGTATGGACAATATGATCCCAATTTTAACAGATACAGAGAACCAAATAGATGTATCTATGTTCATGAGAAATACTGGTTTGTAGTTTTCTTTTCTTATACTGTGTTGGTCTGGTGTTGGTATTAGGGTAATGCTGGCCTCAGAATGAGTTAGCAAGCACTACTCTGCTTCTATCCTCTGAAAGAGAATATAGATAACTAGTAGACTTTCTTCCTTAAATGTTTGGTAGAACTCACCAATGAACCTATCTGGGCCTGGTGCTTTCTGTTTTGGAAGGTTATTATTGACCCAATTTCTTTAATAGATATCGGCCTATTCAGATTGTCTACCGCCAGAAAGGTGTATATACCAAAATGTTAAACTGTGGTTTTTAACTTTCTTTGTACTTGATGTATTTTCTAAGTTTTCTAAAATAAACATGATTATACAGGGCGGGGCAAAAGTAGGTTTACAGTTGTTCATATGGAAAACACAGTAATTAATAAATAATAATACAAGAATAAACTGTTTCACATACAACTGTAAACCTACTTTTGCCCCACTCTGCATTGTAATAGGAAATTTTTTTTTTAGGTATGCCATATTTAATTACTTTAATTTGATCAAATAAGAAATAAAAGAGGTTATAAACACAAGCTTAAGAATTTTAAAAACGGTAAAAATTACCACAATGTCCAAACCATAAGGCAGATTCTTTCCCCCAGGAAGCAAGCATTGCTTATATAGTATACCTGGACGAGAAATGCGTCAGGGTCTCTTTGTGTTCCTTTCATTCCCAGGAGAGTGGAGAAAATCACCTTGAAGTTCAAGTCTTCTCCCACTTCCACAGCAAGTCCTTTTTGTTTTTCAGCAGCAATAAAGGCACTCAGAAGTTTAGAGTACTCTTTGAGACTAGTGTAAGAGAACTTATACAGGGGAGTTAAACTATATAGAGTCCATTGTTTATGCAGAAGGAATGCAACCTTTTGAGGATCAGCATCTTCCTAAAAAAAAAAAATCAGAACAAAAGAAGTTTAAGAATGAGGAAACTTTAGTAAATGAGAACTTAATCATTGTTATTTTAAGTATTTAATACAAATCCATGGCTGGGTGCCTGGTCTTTGCACTCCAGCCAAACTGGTTTCAGGACTCTGAAGATCCTGGAGGCAGGCCTGCACTTTTGCTGTCCCTTCCTTCTGGACTGCTCTTCCCACAGGTGTTCACATGGTCTGTCCCTCTCCTTCAATCAGGTCTTTGCTCAAATGCCACTCAAGAGGCCACCTTATTAAAGCAGCACCTGCACCCACTCCAACTTTGTCACTCTAACTCCTTAACATGCTTTATTACTATCTGATATTATATATTTGTCTGATTTTTACTGTCTATCTTCCCTACTAGAGTATGAGTTTGATGAAATCAGGGATTTTATAGATTTTATTCACTGCTACCTTTCTAGCACCTAGAAGAGTGCCATCTAGAACTGGTGTTCAATAAATATTAATGGATAAACACTTATGTATCACGTGTAGAATCTTCAAGTTACAGATTTTGAAGATAGCAATTATTCTTAGAGCAACTAATTTGACTGGTTTTAATTAAGTCACTTTTTATTTATTTTTATTTTATTTTTTTATTATTATTATCATTTATTTTATCCTCACCCGAGGACATTTTTCCATTTTTTTGTTCAGATAGAGGGGGAGGGAGAGAGAGGAAGAGAGAGAGAAATATTGATGTGAAAGGGACACATCGAGTGGCTGCCACCCGCATGACCCAACCAGGGCCGGGGACAAACTGCAACCGAGGTACGTGCCCTTAGCGGGAACCGAACCCGGGTCTCTCAGGACCGCAGGCCGACACTCTAACCGTAGAGCCAAACCAGCCAGGGCTAATTAAGTCATTTTTTAAATTGCTTGGCAGTAAATCCACTCTATGACACAGTGCCTAATTCAATAGAATAAAGAGATACCTGTGAGTATTTCTGCCACGCTTTATTAGAACCACAGACTGGTGTTAGCCCTCTGGCATTACTGAGCATCTTCATAGACGCCTCCAGCCTCCTAGTTTTACCCTGAATTGAATTTTTCTATATAATCCATACTTCCTCCCACAGTGTCACAGCTATCTTTTAGAACTTTCACTACTTGTCTACTTACAAAAACATCTGCTCTGACTAAATTACTCATGAAAATAGTTACAAACTTTTGTATAAAAGTTATAAATTTTTAATTACTATCAAAAGGTATGGCAAAATTACCTGTATCACAGACATAAGAGAACACTGAATCGGACATTCCAAACTTTAATTTATATACAATATCTGTTTGCTGGTTAGAAACCATCACTGTCAGTACCAGCACTAGTAATTTTCTGTAGAAAAGTTTTCACAAAGAAGCAAACATTTTCTCATATCCAAAAGACACCATGCACACAACACTGACAAGAAAACAAAGTCACAGGAAGGTGTGAGTGACAGATCCACCAGGCTCCTTGTAAGTGACTCAAAACCACACACCAAACTTGTATTGCCTAGGACTTCATTTCACATTTCAGTAAAATCCCCAATTACTGATGTTGCATACCTCAAGCGTTGTTTACAAATGATCAAACAGAGCATGATGCCACCAGATAAATCCAGGCCAATTTAAACACCAAAACAATTTGGTAATGAATTACAAAACTTTGCAAAACTGGCATTCATGAGTTCATACTAATAAATAAATGGAGGGGAAATGAGAAAGGCTTAAAATAGAATGCCAAAAGCTGGTTGGTAAATATGGAGTAAATGAAGATGGAAAATATTATTTTGTAACCATCATGATAAAGATGGGCTCAGGCAAAAATTATCAATGGATGTTAAGTCTATGGGAAAATTCTGACGAACATGACATTTGCATTATCTTAAAGTGTCTCCCCACAGACTACTTATTAGTTACAGAGAAGACTACAACAATAATCATTGGGCAACACCTTGATAGGGTGATCAAAATTAACAGCACCTTTGTGGTACCAGATGTCATTCCCCAAGGATACAATAGCAACTATATAGTATCCCAGCCAAGAATACATAAGTTCAACCTAATCGTGAGAAAACAGCAGACAAATACAAAATGAGGCATATTCTATTTTAAAAGGGGAGAGAATTACTGTCCAACCAGGGACTGAACCCAGAATCTGGGTATATGCCCTGACCAGTAATCGAGAGTATAGAATTACTATACTCTTCAAAAATGTCAATGTCATAAAAGACAAAGAAATATAGTGGAAATGTTTCAGATTAAAGGGGTTTAAAAGACATAACAAAGGAGGTACTGATAGTGTGAATAACTGTTTCTTTTAGCTGTTTCTCATTTATTTTATTACCTAAAAATTGAGATGTTCTGTTCACATATAATCTCAATTATTGAGGAATAGAGAGGAATGCAAAAGGCATACCTGCAACTGTGAACACTGGGGAATTTTCCTCTGAGGTGACGGCGGGACAAATGAAGTCTGCTTCCTGACTGATTCTAACCGCTTCTGCAGAGGGGTGGCGCCTATAAAGTGATCGTTAAGCCTCGATGATGCGCGTTGTCTGGGAGTCCATTCTGATGTATCATGAGAATCCATGGTCTACATAAAAAGAAACAAAACCAGAATTTTAAACACTAAAAAGGTAATTCATGCTCACAGTTTCAATGAGTCCTGTCCTCACCATAAAGAAATTCTTTCTCTCCCTTCCTCTCCCTGCCCCCAGTTTTGACTTTTCAACCGAGTCCAGTATTTCTCATTGTCTACAGGTTTTTTTTAACCCTCACTCGAGGATATATTTTTAGTTTTTATTAATTTTAGAGAGAGAGGAAGGGAGAGGAAGAGAGAGAAACATCAATCAGTTGCCTCCTGTACTCTCCCCAACCAGGGACTGAACCCAGAATCTGGGTATATGCCCTGACCAGTAATCGAACCCAAGACCTTTCAGTGTACAGTATGATGCTCCAACCAACTGAGCCACACCAGCCAGGACGATGGGTTACTTTTATGAATATCTGACAGATAACTCAGTCACAGTATCCTCAAAACTAAATTCAACTTCTTCCCATCCTCTTCTTCCAAAAGCTAGCTGGTCCATTTTTAAATTTCTGTCAATTTTCCAAGTTAATTTAAAATTATTTATGTTGCCTGGCTGGTGTGGCTCAGTGGTTGAGTGTCGACCCATGCACCAAGAGGTCGCCGGTTTGATTCCCAGTCAAGGCATATGCCCAAGTTGTGGGCCAAATCCGAAGTGGGGGTCATGCAGGAGGAGGCCAATCGATGTGCTCTCTCATCAATGTTTCTATTTCTCTCTCCCTCTCCCTTTCTCTCTCTCGAAAATCAATAAAGAAAAAAAAATTTTTAATAAAATTATTTAAGTAGTCCACCACTTTCATTCTTTAACATGCAGTCCTTAAGCACATTCTGTTGAATTTTTCTTCAACATTCTGTAACCTATTCCCAACGCTACTTCCTTAGCCAGGTTCTTATTACCACAACTAAACATTTTCTTCCATATCTAAGGGTAATCACTTCAGAAATAGCACTATTATTAGACACCTGTGCAAAACCCTTTCCAGTGAGATGGAGTCTACTCTTCCTCTCTGTACTGAAGATCTTTGGTAACTCAGCCGTCCTTATCCTTCGACTTCCCTAGACTTACACACACTCTTGTCTCCATGTATTTGCTTGTCAACTATATTCCCTATCTCAAGTTTCCTTTCCCATTCCACCACCTTTAAGACCATGCTTGAATTCGATCTGATTTCAAGTAATTAGGGTTTTATTAAGCATTTTTCCCAAAACACCTGCTATACACTTCTTTCTGTATTGGGGGCTCATGGGGGGGGGGTGTACATAATGAGATATCAGTGGTAAATGTTTTTTAAAAGCCCCAAAGCCCTCTAGATGGGTCTAACAAAATCCTTCAAGAATGTTCTATAAAATCTTTGGAGATAATAATAACCCACCCACAGGGCTCTAGGGGATCACCGGTCTGGTGGCGGTCATTTTGGCCCATCTTCATATACTTCCTTGTACTCGCACTACGGCCTGGAACTTCAGAGGGGCAGAACCCCTCCCCACTCCCCACGGCGGAGAACCTGGTAGAGGGGCTGGGAAGCTGCAAACACACAACAGTGCCAAACATCCCACCTCTCCACACGCCCCGCCCCGCAGAGCCCGGAAAAGTAAAAAACACAGGGGCAGCGGGGGGGGGGGGGGGGGGGGTAGTTGTGGGAACTCGCAAAAAAACAGTCCACTACCACCCACCACATTGCCCCACCACAGTGATGATGCCCCATAACCGAAGCCAGTCGGTCACAGAGGGGACGCCCAGCTCCGCAGCATTTCCTAGCATCATGCTCCACCGAAATCCCGGAGGCGCGAGGAGAGCAGATTAGGCAAAAAACAGGAATTTACGCGATGGCACCACCTACTGGGGCGAAAAGGCAGTACCCTACCTATCAACCTGCTGTCCTAAGCATTCACCTGTGGGAACGGCTATCGTCAACAAACCAACAAAGTGCAGGTGAGGGTGTGGAGAAAAGGGAAACCCTCGTGCACTGATGGTGGGAACGCAGACTGGTGTAGCCATCGGAAAGTATGGAGGTACTTCCAAAAACTAAACACAGAACTACTATACTACCCACAATCCCACGTCTGGGCATTTAGCCAAAGAAAACGAAAACACTAATTTGAAAAGGTACCTGCATCCTGCGCTCACTGCAGCATTGTTCACTATAGCTAGGATCGGGGAGCAACCTAAGTGTCCATTAACAGATGAATGGATCAAAGTGGTGCATATATACAATGGAGTATTGCTCACATGGAATAAAGCTTGTCATTTTCGACAACATTGATGGACCTAGAGGATATTATGCTAAGTGGAGTAAGTTGGACAGCGAAAGACAAGTACCATAATAAACAAACAAGCAAACAAACAAACCAGAAACAGACTCATAGAAAGAAATCAAGCCGATGGTTACCAGAGGGGAGGGGGAAAAGGTGAAGGGATTCTAGTCAATAACATTGTGATAGATTTGTACGGTGACGCCGATCACTAGAATTAGTGAGATGACCACAATGTACGGCATGCAAATGTCAGATCACTATATTGTACACCTCAAACTAGCAAAATATTGTATATGCAATAAATAAATAAAACTTAAGACCCAAGTGATATATATTTACTAAATATTTTCGTAAGCGTTTACAAGTAGCTAGCTCTGCCGCCAAGTCCTCCTGCACGGTGGCTGTTTCTCGTGCTGTCTGCGAAGGAAGGAACCCTGACTTCGATCGCGGTCGGGGATCGCCGCCAGTCCCCGCAGCCAACCGCCCGAAGCGAGGGGAGCGGGGCAGTGAACGAGCCGCGATGAACGAATGACCGGAACACAAGACTGGCACCGCAGCGACCACACGGCAGGACGGAATACCAAGTCCACTGCCAGTCCTGGGCCAACAAAAGCTCTTACCAGTGAAGGGCCGAGATGACGCCGTCAGCCACGCCGGCTTCACGAACCATTCTTCAAACCGGGCCCCCAAACCCCGAGGCTGAAATCCCCTGGAGCCAAAACGTGCCCAAAGGGCGGCTAAGGGCGAGGCCGGAGCAACACCGGGCCCTCCCAAATTCCCACGCGCTCCACGACAAGCGGGCTCACCAGGGACACGAACGTCCCCGCCAGGGAGACCTCCGCTCCCTCAGACGCCGGGGGAGCCCTGCGACTTCACCCCGAGGGACACTTCCGCGGACCCAGCCACCAGCTCTGCCGAGTCGGCCTCGGCCCGCGGAGGGGAAGGGCAAGGGACAGTGTGTCCCACCTCGCGGCCTCCACCTGAGTCCCTCGGGTACCAAGGCCGGCTGCCAAATCCCGCCGTTGAGAAGCCGCAACTCAGTCGCTAGCCGCCGCCCCAGTTTAAAATCGATTCCCGACTCGCTCTGCGGCCCGACGCCGGAAGCCCCCCAGGCGCCGATGCCAAACCAGTGAAGCAACTACGGTCGCCATTTTTATTGAGGGCACGCTCGAGGGACTTGACCACTAGCCTGTTTTCCTAAGCGCGCGGCGGCAGTTCTACCACGCTTTCCTACCGGCGCGAAGCTTTCCTTCCAACTTCCGGCCGCACTAAGCATGGCGGCGGCGCCTCTGCTCTGATTGGTTGATCGCCTGTAGTGTAATCTCTGGCGCTCCCGGGGCGCTCTGAGAAGCGCTTGGTGCCCTGGGCGACCTGCGGGTGGGCTCGGACCCTCAGGACGTTTTGGATTTGCCCTCGTCCTCATTTTGAACATGCGAGGTCGGCGCCAGGAAATTTGAAATGCGAGGCTGAGTTCTCCCTGTTTTCCGGTACTGCCGCGGGAACCTTCGGGGAAGCGTAGACGGAAGGGAAGGGCGTGCGCGTGATGACCGGCCCCTTCCGTCTCTGCGTGATCGTGGGGTCCCACCTTGAGTTGCTGTGTGGACGCCTTCTTACACATCTGGCCGCAGCTGTTTGTTAGAAGTGGAAACTGGTGCATGGAAAGGAGAGAAAAGGTCTTCTAGCTACTCCCCAAGGACTCCGAAGACCTTGCAGATCGGTCTGGTTTCTAGACACGTGTATTTGAATGTTTAGCGGAGAAGCGCTCAAATATCGGAGCAGAGAGTAGGAACTCCTAGCATTTCAAGGGGTTCATGTGTATTTCCAGGAATGACTGTTGACCACCTTCCTACACGGGCAGTGTGGGATTCGTGAGCGCCTCTCGTCCTGCGGCTGCAACATGTTCTCCAGTTGGTTTAAGCGGCTCGACAGGGGCTTAGCCACACCCGCCGGAAGGATCGCCCAGCTGATCTGCGGGTCTCTCTCCAGAAGTCTGGTGCTGAGTGCCCATCGGAGAGTTCCAGGTGAAAGCAGTGAAGGCCTCGTGTCCTCTGGACAGCACTTCCTCCTGTTCTCCGACCCCCGCTAGCTAGATGGATGGCCTTATGTGTAGAAGCAGATCATTCACCCTCTTACTTCTTACAGGTTTTTTTTAGTCCTGGTACTTAAAAAAACTAGCAAAGTAGCCACAAAGATAGGCTGTTCTGCTTTTAGTTGGTGCTTCTAATAAGTATAAAAAATTCTTTCCACTTGACAATACTTTAAGTAGTGTACATATCAGTCTAGGTTCACAGTACAACTAGCTACTGCACTACCAAACTTCATTGATTCCTAAGATCCTTTGTGATTTGGGAATGTCAGATTTTTTCATCTTGCTTTTTCTTTTCTCTTTTTTAAGAACTCAGTAGCTTTGTTGCCCGGACCAACACGTGTGGAGAATTGCGTTCTTCTCATTTAGGCCAAGAAGTCACATTGTGTGGATGGATTCAATATCGAAGGTAAATTAAGGCAGACGATTTAAGAGTGCATAGTATTGATTTTCCAAGGCAATTCCAAACCTTTATTAATTTTCAGCCAGTCAGAAGAATAAAAGTTTTGCAACTCCTGCAAGACTCTCAGAATTCATTGAATTTTCCATTTTGTTTTGAAAGGCCCAAATAGTGGCACTCTCAGTAACATCTGTTGAAGGACGTAATAATGAAGTGTGATCCACCAATGGACTGAAATGTCCCTTAGCTTACGAAGGTTGAAGAGTCCTGACGAGAACATTCTGAAATGTCCTAAATTAAATTACTGCAGGCCAGAGAGTGGAAGGAAGAGACAAAGGGATTAATTGGTTAACAGCTGCAGTGCAAATCCAACAAAAGACTGCTCACACTGTTTAGTGTACATTGGAATTAAAATGAATATCCAGGTGGTTATTCTGAGATTATTTAAAATGAGCAGAGAGCCAGGCCTGTGGAACCCCAGGGGCCTCTGCTTCATGTTCACACATGGGCTTTACTGATTCTGCTGCTGTGCCTGCCCACGAGTAGCCCCACTGCACCTTCTCCCGTTCCCTTTGTTTACAGCTAATTCTTTCAGAATTGCTCACACTTTTCTCTCCCTACTTCATGTATGAAAATGCTTACAGAACTCTGGGATGATGAGCATGCTGTCTTTTCTGTCTAGCCATGTTGCTGATTTAGACCCCATACCCCAAGACCAGTCTTCTTTTTTTTTGCTAGCAATGGCCTAATAAACCCTTTATTTTAAAAAGACTTTCAGCCATGAAAGTTAACATTTTTGTTTAACAGTCCTTAGGACCAGTAATGGAATGAGCCAGGTGGTAAGCTCCAAGAGCATGAAAAAGCTTATTTTATTCTAAATTTAGTTAGAGAACAGTGATTCCTTAACATTAGAGCCCATTTTTTTATTGCTCATCTCTGCATTCCAGAACATTTCTGAATAGTACAGTAATTCACAATGAAGAAATCTAAAATACATAGATTGTTTGACCTTTCTAAAGAATACATTTCAAACAGGTGGACATTTGACCCATAAATTTGTTGATTTTTATCTTCTTAATTCAAAATTGGAGGAGGCTTTCTAAACCTCTTCTTGGTATTAAGGACACTATGAGCAATGTAGGTTGAATGCCAAAATGTTGGGGTTTGGGGAACCTTATGATGGTTTATAGAGAGATTAAATTAGTAGTTGAACCTCTTCTAGAAAATTTTAGATTGTATCTTTTTTTTAGGGAAAGACTTTATATTGCTGTACTTCAAAAAAGTCCAATCAGATCTTTTTAATATCCTAAAATATTATCTTGGATTTTAATATGTGGAAAGTTTCCAAATTTAATAAAATTTTCTTAAAAAGACTTAAGCCAGTGAAAATTCAAATTTTTTTTTAAATCTTCCTTTTCATTAATAAGCCATCTGGATAACATTAGTAAGCTTGAATATATAGCCAATAAAAACTGAAATTGAAAATGAAAAAATTTTTTTTCATTAATAAGCTGCATAGAAAATGTCATGACTATAGCTAAAGCACATATTTATTATAATAAATGTAAGAAATTGTATGGATCTTTTGTTTGTTTAATTTGCTTTGCCTGCCTAAATTTTGGGCTCAGAGATATTTATCCTAACATGTTCATTTTTTCATTTATCAGGCAAAACCTCTTCCTGGTCCTAAGAGATTTCCAGGGGCTTGTTCAAGTTGTCATTCCCCAGGATGAGGTAATGGAAGTTTTCCTACTGTTACTGAAAGTTTCTTTGATGCCCCAGTCAGGGTAAGCTAAGTATATTTGAGCTTTGAAATTCAGAGGTTAATGAAAAGTAAAAAAATACAAGCAACATTGAGACAAATGACAAATGGGGGGAAAATATTCACCGCAAATACACCTATATAAATATAAGTGAGACATGTTGATGAGCACATCAAATATAAAAGGCTAATTTCTCTAATATCTAAAAAGCTACTACAAATTTAAAAAAAAAACAAAAAAAAAACAGTGACCCAGTAGAAATATGAACCTAGGATATGAACATAAAATTCTCAGAAAAGGAAATATAAATGACTTACAGACCTATGAAAATGTGCCCGACGTCACTCATAAGTAGAGAAATGTACATTATAATGCAGGGAGGCCAAATGGCATTGGTTCCATAGAGGGTGGTTTGATGGTATCAAAACTAGAAACCATCTAGCCTTCCAAACATCTCTTCCACTTCTAGTCAGTTATCCTACAGGTATCTTACACCTACACTTACACAGAGGCCAAATGACATAAATTCAAGGTTTTTGGTTGCAAGGTTATTTTTAACAGTAAAAAAAAATTGGCCCTGGCCAGGAGCTCAGTGGTTAGAGCATCAGCCTGAGGACCAGAGGTTCTTGGGTTCGATTCTGGTCAAGGGCATGTACTTGGGTTGCAGGTTCGATCCCTGGCCCAATTAGGGTACGTGCAGGAGGCAACCAATCAATGTGTCTCTCTCACATTGATGTCTCCCTCCCTCCCTCCCTCCCTACCACTCTTTCTGAAGATAAATGTAAAAATAACTTCAGGTGAGGATTAAAAAAAAAAAGGTTTTTTTAAATTAAAAAAAAAAATGTGTGTATCCTGGCAGCCATAGAAAAAAGGTTACAGGAGCTCTTTATGAACTGACATGGTACATTGTTAGATGAAACAAAACAGGATGCAGAAGAGCATGTGGAGTGCTGTTCTCTCTATTAAAAAGGGGGTGTATATCTTATGACATGTCCCTGGAGGGATATGTGAATATCTGGTAACATTGGGTGCCTCTGGGCTGGAGGACAAGGATAGGAGGCAGACTGTTCACTATATGTCTGTTTGTTGCCTTTGAATTTTGAACCATGTGAACGTACTTCCTGCTCAAAAATAATTACCGTTGAGATTAGATACAATAAAGCCTTCTCATCATGGTTGTTGGGCAACATTGGTTTCTACTGTAATGTTTATAAATGCTTGTGTGCCTAAGAAAAATATGATATACTCAGCTCTTAGTGTTTGAAATAAGAGCAATGAATTATCTCAGGACCCAGAGATGGGCCGAGCTAACCTTTGGACTCCATTATTGCTGTTGGACTTAAATGCCCCTAAGACTAACCATGGAAACAAGTTGCCTTTCAAGTACGTGGGACTTGTTTGCATTAATCGTTCTTTTCCTTATAGGAAAATATTTAAAACTCTTAACTGAGAGTTTGACTTGCTATATTAACTGCAGTCAAAACAGGGGTGCAATTTATCAAATTCTTTAATAAAAGACATGAAGGGCAGCCCCAATATTTACAGCAGTTAAACCCTATGAGTATTACCATTTTTCTAAACCATAGGCCTAGAGTTAGTTCAGATTTCTTTAGGTTCATGTGTTTCTTGGAACTGGTTTTCCCCTCTTTTTCTGTAGTCAGCTGCTTCCGTGAAGAAGATACTATGTGAAGCCCCCGTGGAATCTGTGGTGCAAGTGACTGGGACAGTGATTTCCCGACCTCCAGGACAAGAGAACCCAGTTAGTAGTTTAGATACTATACACTCTTTTTTTAACCTGTATACACTTGCACTGTCTGTCTACACATTCAGACAATAGAGCTGAGCACCTGTTGGACATCAGGCACTAAAGTTCTGTAAGTTCTATGAATGAATCTGAAGATTTCAAAATCTTCACTATAACATGATATAAATATGCATGTTAATATATTTGTTAATGATCACATCAGCCACGGGTATGCATAAGAATGTCAAAAACATACCCAGACATTTAGACTACACACTATAAGCACTGTGCATTTTACATATATAAATAAAGCATGTATTTTACAAATGTTCTCTGTGTACATGTCCTGATGAGTGAATTTTAAAATGGGTCTTTTCTTTCTCTTTAAGAAAATGCCAACAGGTGAGATTGAAATCAAGGTTAAAACGGCTGAACTTCTGAATTCCTGCAAGAAGCTGCCCTTTGAAATGAAGGACTTTGTGAAGGTACCATCATTTAGAGAATGTTGACCAGTAAAGTGTTTTCAGGGTTTTGTTTTGTGTTTTTTTTTTAAGAAAAATTTAGACTTCCACAACATTAAGCATTGTGTTAATAGATGTATCATGAATTGTTCTGTTATTTTTACAATTTCTTGGTGAACCCTTTTTAGTAACAATTCATTAAGTTGTTGCAGTTCCTAAATACCTGGACTGTTTTTTCAGACAGCCTGACACATGGCTCTGTCTCTAAGACTTGGGCTGCTACTGTGTGTCAAGTTTTTCTGTTGCTGTTTTACATTTTGAGAAGAAATTTATGTCTAGCTTGGACATGGCCAAATGGCCTAAGAGATCCTGTGTCTATTAAATTTAAGCCTCTAACAGTGATAAAATGTTGGCTTCACTTCCCAAACATATAAATATCACTGTAACTCAGGATGTTCTTTACCAAAGCTTGAGGGTTTGATGAAGCTAGACTGCACTGGGTACATACACCAGATAAATCTCACAGTTATCTACTGTTGTAGACCTGCGTAGTCCTAGTTTATAAACTGATCTGTAAGGATTAAGTTCCCAATACTTGATATTTTCCTTAGAAAAGGCAATATAGTTACAGAGTTGGCCTTTGGGGAAAAAGGAAATACCCAGCTAAGCTTTCAAAAGAGAAATGACTGTTCCTCTGTTGCTAGTGTCAAAGAAATAACTACACCAGGAAAAGGGCTTCCGTAAAAAGTTGTCAGCAGAGATTTACAGCCTACAAAATAAGCAAACATTCTCACCACTAAGACCATCACCGAGATTCCCTCTGCTGTTCCCTTGCATTTCTTAGTCTCAGCCCCACGGATAACATTGTAGTTGTGTTTTATTTTAAAAGAGCTTTAAGATCAAGACTCAGCTACAGGCTTAAATAAAGGGATAAATGTTTAGTATGATAGACAAATTTCAATCAGTGGAGGGTCATATTAATGATCATGAATAGTAAAAAATGTAAAATCCGGACCAGTAACAAAGTTAGCAGCGGGAGGAATTAAGGATGTCAGTGTACACCCACACGGCAGAAGCTGAAGATGGAGCCAAAGTTTTTGTAAATTCAAACTCTGTATGTAAAGTTAATATCTTCTTAATATTTGAAAATAATATTTAAACATAAAAATCTTTCCATTTGTTTAGAAAACAGAGGCTCTTCGTTTGCAGTATCGCTACTTAGACTTGCGTAGCTTCCAAATGCAGTATAATCTCCGGCTGAGGTCCCAGATGGTCACGAAAATGCGGGAATATCTCTGTAATCTACATGGTAAGGGAGATGCCTGCGTGTTCCTTGGAGCTTTTTAGCAGCTCTTCTGTTTTATTCAGCAGTTTAACTGGATCCCGCCTTAGCATCATTGGATCAGATGCTGCCCGAGTCTGAAGTTCACGTAATATGTAAAGCAGTTTTTGTAATTTCTAGGTGTTTTGTCCTGGAGCATAATTTAGTAATTTAGAGCCTAATTTAGTTCTCTTCTGGGTCACAAATACAGCCTTTGAAAAGGTGATCGAGCCTGCTACGTTAAGTATTTCCCATCACTGCTGGAGGTCGGACAGCCCTTTGGTTGTTACATCTGTACATTTTTTTAATTCTTTATCATGCTTTAAAGTAGCATTGTTGTGAGCTCAGAAATGTCATGGGAGTTGGATTTGACTCTTGAATCCGTCCTAGGGTTTTTTCCTACTATGTGTTATTTTTGCTACACGAGCAGAATATTTTTTAAAAAGAACAGTTCTGTAAACAAGAATCCATTAAGTAGTTAGAATTATTTCATGACAAAAGTATCAAGTTCACAAACAATAGGATTTTGTGAAAATCTTTGGGCCTATAGAAACCAGCATCAGTGGGGTTGGTAACTGATTTCAGTGAAAATTCCTAATTCAGGGGCAGCCTCAGATGTGTTGGACTGTACCATAGACATCGTATTTGACAAATTCCTATCTATTCAAACATTTCTCTCTTTTTAGGGTTTGTGGATGTAGAAACACCGACATTATTTAAGAGGACTCCGGGGGTGCGTACCAGCCTACTATAATGTCCTATTAATTAGGAAACTGGACCACTTTGCATTTATATTCACTTGATTGTATTTTTTTTTACTTATTTTGGTGCCTCAAGATGGTCACATTAGCTAGATTTTCTTAAGAGCTGAGCAAATGGACACTGAAGCAGAGGCGCAGAGGCAAGGCTCCGAGTCCCACCTGCTCACATTCCATTTCCTCTCGGGGATGTGAGTGGATCCTGTTGCCAAGGCCCTGCCCCGCCCCGCCCCCCAGTGCCCCGCTGTGTGTCCTTCCCTCAGCGAAGGTGGACACCTGAACACCCTGAGCCCTCCCTTCTCACCTGCAGCTAGCAGGGTGGCCTGGCCTGCCCAGGGCAGCCCCTCCACCAGGCCCCGAGGAACTTGGAGTTGGGGTTCTGCCATCCCTGGTCCATGGGTCTAGGAGAGAAAATAGGACTTAGGGCTGGGCAGAAGTCACGCCTACTGCTTTGGGTGCAGCAGCTCACTGAACCAGGTCTCACCATGCCTTGTAGCCCTGTGTTCTCTGGGTCTCAGAGTTATTCACTTAAAAGAGGTTCATGGGCTACAGCCCCCAGGACCCGACACACTCCTAGTCCTTGAGTTTGCATTGGGGTTCCCATGCATTTTAATTCGGGATGAACCTTTTCATGCAGAAAATGCTAAAAGAAGTGTAGTAACAAGTAAAGTAGCATCTTCCAGCCATTCAGTTCACAGTGGTGGTGAAGAGTTGAGGTGCACAAGGGGGTTGACGAGGTAGAAGAAGGTAAAGGGAAGAGACAGTTATGGAAGGTGACTTGGCTTGGGGTGGTGAACACACAGTACAGTATACAGACGATGTGTTATAGAATTGTACACCTGAAAGCTATATGATTTTCTTAACCAGTGTCACTCCCAATAAGTCCAATTTGAAAAAAAAGAGTTGAGTGCAACAAAGGTGACGTTGATGAACTAATCCGGGAACGGTAGGAGCAGGCGAGGGCAAGGCCACTCACATGTCTGCAGGATGACTGGTCTCCTCTTCTATTCTTCTCAATGTCAAAACTACGAGGAAAACACAGATGGGATTTTGATCGAAGTCCTTGTAATGAGGGTATCATTGAGATCTTCCTTTAGATCTTTTCATAAAATTGTATTTTTCCTTAAAAAGAAAGAGTTGAGAGGATTATATGGGCCACTGTTTTGAGACAGAATCCTTTTATTCTACATGGGTTTTCTTTGAGGTTTATAGATGCAAATCAATAATGAATTGGTTCCTTAAACATAAATCCCTTGTTCACTAAGAACTGACCTTTCTAAACCTTGATATTTCATCTATTCATACAATCTGTGAACTTATAAAACTTTAATTTAGAAAACAAGTTAGGAATTATGTGAATAGGAATTGATGCACAAAATTCCTTTAGCTGGTAACAAAATTGAGAATTCATTTCAACAAGCACGCATTTAGTACCTGCTGTGTCCGAACATTTAAAGCCTATTATGTGCAAGCCTTTGGGGGACTAACAGATGAACAGGAAATGATCTCTGTCGTCATGGGGATTTTGCTCTTTAGTTAATTTAATGGACGAGCTGAAGTATCAACTTTCACCAGTTTTGGGTGTTTTTTTGTTTTTGTTTTTATAATGTCTCCTCTCTCTCTCTCTCTCTCTCATTGAAAGGGCGCAAAAGAGTTTGTAATACCATCCAGGGAACCTGGAAAGTTCTATTCTCTCCCTCAGAGTCCACAACAGTTTAAGCAGCTTTTGATGGTCGGTGGTTTAGACAGGTGAGCTTCCTTTATGCTGGTAGTTGTCAGGAAGGGAAAAGTGGGGAGGGGAAGGGAAAAAGGCAAAGTTGCCTGAGCTCTTAAAAGAAGGTTAGAAAATGTATGAGAATTTTTAAAATATGTGCAAAATACCTTAAAAATTTGTAGTCATTTCTTTTTTTTTAGATATGTTTTTATTGATTTCAGAAAGAGGAAGGGCCCTGGCTGGTTTTGCTCAGCGGTTAGAGCATCGGCCTGCAGTCCAGAGAGACCCGGGTTCGGTTCCCGCTAAGGGCACGTACCTCAGTTGCAGTTTGTCCCCGGCCCTGGCTGGTTGTGCGGGTGGCAGCCACTCGATGTGTCCCTTTCACGTCAATGTTTCTCTCTCTCTCTCTTTCTTCCTCTCTCTCCCTCCTACTCTATCTGAACAAAAAGTGGAAAAATGTCCTCAGGTGAGGATTAAAAAAAAGAGGAAGGGAGAGGGAGACATAGAAACAGCAATGACAGAGAAACATTGACCGGCTGCCTCCTGCACACCCCCTACTGGGGATCAAGCCTACCACCTGGGTATGTGCCCAGACTGGGAATCGAACTGGTGATCTTCTGGTGCATGGGATGACGCTCCACCAACTGAGCCACACCGGCCAGGCTGTAGTCATGCTTTCGTAAAGAACTCTGTGCCAGGCAATGTCACAGGGGATTCAAAACAAAACGAGCCCTGGCCGGTTTGGCTCAGCGGTTAGAGCGTCGGCCTGCGGTCCGGAGAGACCCGGGTTCGGTTCCCGCTAAGGGCACGTACCTCGGTTGCGGTTTGTCCCCGGCCCTGGTTGGTCGTGCGGGTGGCGGCCACTCAATGTGTCCCTTCACATCGATGTTTCTCTCTCTCTCTCCCTTCCTCTCTCTCCCTCCCACTCTATCTGTACAAAAAATGGAAAAATATCCTCGGGTGAGGATTAAAAAAAAAAAAAAAAAAAAAACGAACAGGTTTTGCTCAAGGAGTGACTGCATCTAGTAAGACAGAATAGGATAATAAATAAAACCAGCTATGATGTCAACCAAAATTAAATGCATTGAGAGTTGCAGAGTAGGTATTAAGAGGCTTGAAATTACGTTGTTTTGGGAACTAGGAAAAGCTTTGAGCTGGGCCTGCTGGGCAGCTGCATTTCAGCAGGTGGAGATGGCTCGAGTGTATCATGAGCAACAAGCGGTGCAAGTTGGCCAGAGCCAAAGAGTCTGAAGGAGAGGCACAGACCACCTTGCATGTCAGTCTGCGACATGAATATCCAAAGGGACATGAATATCCAAAGGTGCCATTGTATATTTCTGAAACATGGTATCATTAAGTTCTCATGAGTCAGCTCTGCGTCTGATGAGATAAAGCATTGTAAAGAATTTTTAAATTTCTTATATGCCCTTTAGGTATTATAATTAATTTATCTCACAGCCTGCACTACCATAAATTTGGGGAAAACGTGTATGTCTTATTAGAGTCGTGGCTCAGTTAATGCTATTTTTCAATTGTAGGTATTTTCAGGTTGCCCGATGTTACCGAGATGAAGGTTCGAGACCAGACAGACAGCCCGAGTTTACTCAGGTACAAGCTGCATTCCCTCCTCTCACTCAGGCAGCCTCGCGACAGCCACGTGTTTCCAGACCAGGACAGTAGTCACGCAGACTTCCCATTACGTTTTTTCCATTATTTAATTTTTAACCTATTTCATGTGTCCTTTTGATAAGGCTTTTGGCCATCAACTAAGGGATGCCAGAGATCCTACAGCATTTTCATGGTCTTAATAAAGTTCTTAAAACATCTCTGGTACTTTAAGAACTAATGGTTCCGGCCCTGGCCGGTTTGGCTCAGCGGTTAGAGTGTCCGCCTGCGGTCCGGAGAGACCCGGGTTCAGTTCCCGCTAAGGGCATGTACCTCGGTTGCAGTTTGTCCCCGGCCCTGGTTGGTCGTGCGGGTGGCAGCCACTCGATGTGTCCCTTTCACGTCGATGTTTCCCTCTCTCTCTCTCTTCCGTTCTCTCCCTCCCACTCTATCTGTGCAAAAAATGGAAAAATGTCCTCGGGTGAGGATTAAAAAAAAAAAAAAAATAACTAATGGTTCCGTATGTTGGTATTGAATGTCTGGTCTGGGGACTCATCAGAGCGTTATGATTTGGCTTCTGTGTGGTAGCATATGAGTCAGTGTGGTGAAGGTGGACAGCCCCGGGGTCAAGTGTAGCTCTACTGCTTATAGCTGCACATACACGAGCAAGAGACGGCCTGTCTGAGCCATGATCCGTGGGTCGTCCTGGGAACTAAACAAGTTGATGATGTATGTAAAGCCTTAGCACACTGCCTGACATAAAACAGATGTGCAGTGGTATTTATTCCCCCCGTGTATTAAGTATTTATGTCCAGAATCCTGTGGTCACTTAAAACCAGCAAAATATATGAACATGTGCATAGAGATGTTGTGGCTGTTCAAGTTAGTCTCCATGTTATTTGGTTTCAGATTGACATAGAGATGTCTTTTGTAGACCAGACCGGGATCCGGAGTCTGATTGAGGGTTTGCTCCAGTATTCCTGGCCCAGCGACAAAGGTCCTGTGGGAGTCCCTTTTCCGTCTGTGACTTTTGCCGAGGCACTGGCCAGCTATGGAACTGATAAACCCGACACTCGCTTTGGGATGAAGGTACTTAACTCTTCAATTTTCCCGGTCTCTGCCCCCAGATAGTCCCACAGACTTTTGAACCACTTGGAAGTCTACAACCAATTACACACAAAATTGTGTCCTATTTTTTGTTGTTCCCTTCATTGTTTTGGAGCTACAGCAAGACAGGATAATAGGGTGTTAACATTACAACACTTTTTTCTCTCTACTGTGTTCCAAAACCCATTTGGAAAGAGCAAGGTTCTTGCTGTCAAGTTTATATTACTGATAAGTTATCAATCATATGGACACAAATGATAACTTGAAATGGGAAAAAAATAAACTATTTTTTCCTCTTCAATTTTTCTTAAGCTAAAATGGCACTTGGCCTTGGCCGGTTTGGCTCAGCGGTTGGAGCATTGGCATGCGGACCAGAGAGTCCCGGGTTTGGTTCCCGCTAGGGGCACATACCAAAAAAATAAATAAAATAAAATGGCTCTTGGAAGACAAATGATTAAAAATTCTTTATTCTTTTTCTGTGTTTTTTTTGTTGTTGTTTTTATCCTCACCCGAGGACATTTTTCCATTTTTTTGTTCAGATAGAGTGGGAGGAAGAGAGAGAGAGAGAAACATCGACATGAAAGGGACACATCGAGTGGCTGCCACCTGCTCGACCAACCAGGGCCGGGGACAAACTACAACCGAGGTATATGCCCTTAGCGGGAACCGAACCCGGGTCTCTCTGGACCTCAGGCCGACGCTCTAACCGCTGAGCCAAACCGGCCAGGGCTTTTCTGTGGTCTTTAAAGAGCTCAAACATATGGAAAAATTTATTCAATTATTAAGATCAGTATGGCCCAGCCATTGTGGCTCAGTGGATTGAACATTGTCCCATGGACTTAGAGGTCCCAGTTCGATTACCGTTCAGGGCATATGCCCGGGTTGTGGGTTCGATCCCCTGTGAGGGGCGTGCAGGAGGCAGCCGATCGATATTTCCCCCTTACATTGATGTTTCTATCTCTCACACCCTTCCTCTCTCTCTGAAAAATCAATAAAAACATTATATATAAAAAAAAAGATTAGTACATATGTAACCAAGGGTAAGGATGGAATTTACATGAGCAGTTCCTGTTGGTGAGCCTCCCATTATTTGCTCTTAGAGAGCGACCGCCCTCTGTTTGTATAAACCTGGCGACATCACTGTACCTGTTCTCAGTGCAGATTGAGTTCTGCCTGGCGTATGAATAGGCAGTGCTCAGCTTAGAGTCCTGCCTGTCTGCTCACTGCTGCGAGCTCGCCTCCTGCTGGGACCCGGGGCAGTGGCTCCAGCCACACTGCGTCAGCTCTGGCTCTGCCACTTACTAGCTGTGTCATCTTGGGCGAGTGACTGCCTTCCCTGTGCCTCAGTTTCCTCATTTGTTAAATGGGGATAAGAGTGCCGCCCTCAAACTCGTTTTACGGATGAGATGAATTAATGCTAATGAAAAGCTCACGAACACGAGCCATTGTGTGAACCCACGGGAACCACTGTATGAATGCACTCTAGAGATGGTAACAGGAGCTACTTTCTTTTCTAAAATCTGGTTTGTAGAGTGTTTTAGTTGCCCTTTTGTTTTTACTCATTTTCCAGATTGTAGATGTCAGTGACGTGTTCATAAACACAGAGGTTGGCTTTCTTCAAGATGCACTGAGCAAACCCCAAGGAACCGTCAAAGCCATATGCCTCCCCAAGGGAGCAGTAAGTGAAGCAGTTCTGTTTCTCTCTAGAATCCGCCTGTGGGAAGTAAACACGTTCAACGTGGGCACATCTGAATGTCAGAGAGAATAGTTCTCTTTAAAAGAGATTATGTGTCTTTTCAAATACATTCATAAAATTGTCTGTAAATGAAGAATATATATCTCTATGTGAAGTCTAACAATGTCCCTAAAACTATAAGTAGAGAACAATAAAACCTGACGAATATGAGTTTATACTCAAGATCTAGAGCCCCCCTCTCCCCCTTAAACAATGCTATCAGGTACACCTGAGCATAACGTCGTATTCACATTGTCTCCAGCCTACGTTTCGCCAAAGGCTCTCAGCTCAGCCCAGCGTAACCCTTGCATGGTTCTTGAATAAGATTACTATTTTGAAAGACTACTTATTAGATACATAAGTATATTATGTATATTCAGAAGGGGGATAAGAATTCAGTCTCATATTCGCTTCATATGTCCAGTGGAAAGTAATTTGCTCTGTAGAACATGCATTGCTTGTGGTTATTATTGACCCCAGTATGGGGATGCCCATTCTTCCCCAAGTAGATGGTAAGACCTGCTGGGTTGTGAACCCCGTTTCCATCTTTGTGTATCTCCACACCTAGTTAAGTGGCCCGTGAATATTAGTTATGATGATAGTGTCTCACTTAGAAAGACATTGAGATAATTTACAAAAAGTGAGATATAAAGAATTTTAAGAGACCCGAAATTAAATTTTTGTTAAATCCTACTGTTGTGATGTAAAGGCACAAAATTATCATAAACATGTTTATGAAGCCAAGTGTGATATTAATGAGTTTACTTTGATTTTATTCCATCAGAAATACTTAAAAAGGAAAGACATTGAGTCCATTAGAAAATTTGCAGTGGACCATTTTGATCAGGTAAGGAGTTAGAGCAATTTTTTTCCTGTCTTTTAGGGATTCAGTATTTTAAACTAATAATTGCTTGAGCTTTTTCACTGTCATTAGTTTTGAAGGTCTGGTGATTTCAGATCATTCTTCTACTTTTCCTTTTTATTTTTAAACTTAATTTTACCCCTGGGTGTAATTCTAAGGCTTTAACTTAGTCAAATTTACCACTAATCAGAATGTAAGTTCAACCATCACCTTTAAAAATAAACAATGGTCCCTTTGCCCTGGCCGGTTTGGCTCAGGGGTTGAAGCCTCGGCCTGCGGACCAGAGAGTCCCAGGTTCGGTTCCCACTAGGGGCACATACAAAAAAACAAACAAAAAACAATGGTCTTTTAATCTGGTTAGGAAAATAAACAGAGCCCCATATGTCCAAGATTTAAATGAAACGTGGCAGTTGTGAAGGAAAGCCTGTATTCATCATTCTTTCCATGCCCTTTTGTAAAATTCTGAACACAGCCCTGGCTGGTGTAGCTCAGCGGGTAAAGAATCAGCCCACACACTGAAGGGTCACCGGTTTGATTCCCGGTTAAGGGCACGTACCGGGATTGCAGGTTTGGTCCCTGGCCCCAGTGGGGGCAAGTGTAGGAGGCAGCCAATCGATGTGTCTCTCTCATATCGATGTCTCTCTCTCTCCCTCTCCCCTCCTCTCCCACTCTTCCACACTAACAATCAATGGGAAAAATATCCTCAGGTGAGAGGATTAACAACAACAAAACTCTGAATACACCTCTGATAGACACGTCTTGGTTCGGGCTTGGTTAGCAGCAGAACTGAAAGGGCATTCTTACACTGTCACTGGAACTGCCTCGGCCATTTTTGAATCAATTAACTTTAAAAATAGTCATGTTTTTTGAGTCATTAATTTTCGGTGATACTTTAAAGAAAGGATCCAGCCTGGCTGGTGTGGCTCAGTGGTTGAGCATTGACCCATACACCAAGGGGTCACCAGTTTGATTCCCGGTCAGGGCACATGCCCAGGGTGGGGGCCCAGTCCCCAGTGGGGGCATGCAGGAGGCAGCCAATCAGTGTTCTTTCTCATCTGTGTTTCTATATGTCTCTCCCTGTCCCTTCCTCTCTCTCTAAAAATCAATAAAAGAAAAAAAAAAGGATCCAAAATATGAGACTTGATGCTCATCACAGTATCATTTACAACAAGAATACAATGAAATCATATGGGAATGATTAAAATTATAAGCGAAAGATTTACTATTAAAGTTTCTTTCTAAAACTTTATCTCCCAAGAGTTTGTAATATGGGGAAAATATTCATAAGCAAAGGAGAATACAGAATTACATATACATTGATTATAACCACGTAAACACACTATTTGTGCATTAAAAATGGACTACCCACCTATACCACACCACATCCCAAGCCTCCAATATCAAGCTCAAGGGAATTTTTCAATAAGAAAGAAAGATTAGGATAAAGGGTCAAGGCAAAGTGGAAAAGTTAGGGAACTATGAAAAGCTTTTCATCAAGTTAATTGAATTTAAAGAACTCTACTTTTTGTTCTTATACTGTAGAAATGTTCACTTTTATGAAATGATAGTAATAGTAGGCAATATTGGGGTTTATTTTATGCCCTTGATAAAATTCAAAATGAGCAACCCCCACCCTCTCCCAGGTTGGTTTATTTTCATTCTGTTAGTGTGTGATCCCTGCCTCTAGGAACCCACAGCCAGGAAATAAGCCTGCAGGGTAGCTTGGCAGCCTTTAGTTGGTGGGACTATTCCTACCTTTTCTCCTTCTTTTACTCTTTCTTCTCTTTTACTTTCCTAATATTCTAAACTTTTATATAAGAAATGGGTACTACTTTTTTTTTTATTATTCCTCATGTGAGGATATTTTTCCATATATCTTCAGATAGAGTGAGAGGCGGGGAAGGAGGAAGAAAAGAAGAGAGGGAGAGAAAGAGAAACATCGATGTGAGAGACACATTTGTTGCCTCCCACATGTCCCCTGATCAGGGCTGGGGATCAAACCTGCAACCCAGGTAGGTGCCCTTGATCAGAAATCAAACCTGAGACCCTCAGGTGCATAGGCCTATGCTCTAACTACTGAACCAAACCAGCCAGACCAGTAATACTTATTTTTAGCTTATTAATGTTTTAACTTGATTTGGCTTAAATTATTTTTAGTCTTTAGCAATACGCTGCATGCCTGTGGTAGAAAAAACAAACAGTAAAGAAGGATTAACAATGAAACAGAGTTTGCTCTAGCTAGAGCCACTCTAGTTCCATACAAGAGCGTCTGTTTTCAGAAATGTCTAAATACTACCTTTTTAACAAAACCTATTTTAAATTTCATCTGTTGACTTCCTGCAATGAGAGATGAGGCACACAAATGCAGGCCTTACCTAATTGCTGTGTACCTTCTGCACAGCTGGTTTCCCAGACCTTTTCTTCATTCCTCTTCTGAGTCAAAGCCAATCTTCCTGGATCTCAGCTCTTCTTCCTTCTTATTTTTACAGGAGTACATCCTCAAGTACCTCCTGAGAAATATGTGAGAGAGAAACTTTCTAAATCTTTACAGGTCTAAAAATGTCTTTATGTTCAAAACCTCACACTTGGTTAATAATTTGGCTCAGTATAAAATTCTGAATTGGTGGTCACATCCCTTTAGAACAGTGCTGTCCAATAGAACCTTCTGTAATGATGGAAATGTTTCCTATCTGCATTCCCCAAGATGGTAGCCAGGCCCAGCCAGTGTGGCTCAGTGGTTGATCATGACCCAAGCACCAGTTTGATTTCCAGTCAGGGCACATGCCCAGGTTGTGGGCCCGATCCCCAGTGAGGGACATGCAGGAGGTGGCTAATCATTGTTCTTTCATCGGTGTTTCTCTCTCTCTCTCTCTCTCCCGTCTCTCTCTAAAAGTAATAAAGAAAAAAAATTAAAAAAAGAAAGATGGTAGCTAGTAGTCAGTGTAGCTCTTGAATGCTTGAAATGTGGCTAGTAAGCCTGAAGAATGGGATTTCAATGCCATTTACATTTCAATGGCTGTGTAAGCGGTGGGCACTGCCTCAGCACAGCCTTAGCTCAGGAAGGTGTGGCTTTAGTTTCTCCTTGTGCCACTGTTATTGATGAGAAGTCTGGTGCTTGTGAGAATTTATTCCTATATAGCAAACCTAACTTTTTTTCCTTTGGACACTTTCAGCTTCTGGATCCTTAATGTTCTGAAACTTCACTTTGTGTAGCTTTGGATCGTTTGTCAGTGTGTTGCCCCCTAAAGGGCCCTTTCGATACGCTAAGGCTTCTGTCTTTCATCTGTGCAAACTCTTTTTATCTCATTATTTTGACCTTGTCATTTTCTCTAGTGTCTCTTTTTGGCATTTCTCTTAGTTGTATGTTAGACTTCTTTTTGTAACTTGTATGTCTTTTTTTTTTTTTCCTGTGTTCTTTCCCATCATTTTCTTTGTGTTTATTTTTCTGGGAGAGATATGTTCAACTCCTCTGTTGATTTTTTTTAGCAATTATATTTTTCTTTCCCGGTAGCTCTTTCTTGCTTCTTTTCATTACATTTTATTCTGGTTTTATTGATAAAATATCTCTGTGAGTGCCTTTGAGTTTCAAGTCCTTTTTGGGTGCCTAAATTAGCTCTTTCCTCTTGGGTTCTTTCTTATCTTGATTGTGAGATATTTTTATATACTGTAGAGTTTTCTCAGGGTATAGTGATTGTTGATTATACATATTTAAGAATGAGGCATTTAGAAATCTGTTTGAGAGCACAGTGTTCTGGGAGGGGCTTTGTAAATGGTCAGGTTCAGATTAGGGTGAGTAGCAGGGCCATGGCCATTACCCTGGGGACCCACAGTTTCTGGAGTCCTGAGTATCTCTAGGATTCTGCAGGGTAAAATCAGTGCCTTCTTATGCTGCGGCTGCTGCATTGTTCTCTGGGCCAGAGTGCTCTGCATCTTGCTTCTTTCATCAGTCCTGTTCCATCCACTTGCGGTGTGCCAGAAATTTGCGGAAAACTTTTATCTGCTGACATCCCTCCTGACCCTTCATTCATTCTCTGTTTTTCATTATGATAAGATTGCCTTTTATATTCCTCGAGTATCATATTGAAGGGGTTCAGGAGGGAATAGAGATAATCTCATGTAAGTTCTCTTCTATTGGGAACAAGAAGTCTTTGTACAATAAGAAAAATAAAATAACCCTGCTTTTTAAAAAATGGGAATGTCGCCCTGGCTGGTTTGGCTCAGTGGTTAGAGTGTCGGCCTGCGGTCCAGAGAGACCAGGGTTCGGTTCCCGCTAAGGGCACGTATCTCAGTTGCAGTGTGTCCCTGGCCCTGGTTGGGTCGTGAGGGTGGCAACCACTCGATGTGTCCCTTTCACATCGATGTTTCTCTCTCTCTCTCTCTCTCTCTCTTCCACTCTATCTGAACAAAATATCAAAAAATAAATAAAAATGGGAATGTCTTTTTCTTTATCATAGGAAGTCTTACCTGTGTTCCCAAAAGCCAATAGGAACTGGAACTCTCCGGTTGCTAAGTTTGTGATGGAGGAACAAGGATTGGGACTGAACAGACGAATGGAGATCCAGGAGGAGGATGTGGTCCTGCTGACTGCCGGAGAGCACAAGACAGCAGTAAGAAAAGTCACTGCCAAGCTCCGTTCTGTTGGGGCTCAATGAAGCTCTCTTCTGTGCATATAGTACATATTTGATATTGACTGTTAATTTCATTAAATGAAGTCTTTAAATGAATGAATACCTTTCAGCACTATACACCACCCTGTATAAAACTAGTTTTTTCCCCAGCAGTGAGCCTGCATTGGCACCGCTCACACACGCTGGCTCTGGCTCTGATCGGGAAGCCACTTAGGTAGCGGGCACTGGCACTCAATGCACAGCTGTGAAAAATGCTTTCACCCAAGGTTTTACAAATTAAGAAAGTCTGGTAGTCACTACCTTTTGCACATACTGCATTCCTGACAATGTAGAGGACAGATCACTGCTGGGGGGCTGCTGGCTGGCAGGGACCCTGGTCCTGCTTGCTGTGGCAGGACCCTTTTCTGCAGGGCAGCCACTGGGAGAAGCAGCGTGCTCCAGGGGGTACCCGAAGACTGGGCGTAGCTGTAGAGATCGTTGTCAAGTGTACGAAAGTGGTAAGAAAGCCTACGAAGACAGGAAACACACTGTAAAGGTCAAGAAGTACCGAGACTGTTACTATTGCAAAGATAACTGAGGCTCAGAGGTTAAAAGTTTGCTCTCACACAGCTGGGAAGTGGAGGAGCCAGCTTTTTTTCTTTTTTTTAATGAGCTTTTTCTTTTTTTTTTAATATGTTTTTATTGGTTTTTTAGAGAGAGAGAGGAAAGGAGAGAGAGAGAGAAACATCAGTCGGCTGCCTCCTGCATGTTCCTTGCTGGGGATCGAGCCCACAATCCGGGCATGTGCCCTGACTGGGAATTGAACCGGGACCTCTCAGTCCGTAGGACGACACTCAATCCACTGAGTCACACGAGCTGGGCCAAATTTGTTTCTAACCCTCAAAGTCTGGCTCCCAAAGTGGCACTCTTAGGCTGACCCCAATCCACCCTGCCTTTCTTGTGGCCGCCAGCATTTGCCGAACATGAACTAGCGCCAGGCAACAGACCCTCACGCTCAGGGGCAGTGAGGAAGTAACCATCGGGATAGGTGCCTGTGCCCTTGCACCTCACGTCTTGTCACTGATCATCACTGCAGCCTTTTGGAGTAGATGCTCTGGCCTCTACTCACTGGCAGAGGATGCAGAGACAAGGAGCAACCTGGTATGACAGTCCTTCTCAGACTTGTCTCCTGAAAAGCTCAGAGTGTGTCTTCTATTGGCTAATCCTTTCTCAGAGGATGGCCTGGCTTTGGAATCCAGATCGTGTCTTTGCTAACTGCTGTGTCCCGGCAGTCACCTCGGTGTCCGTGTCTTCTGTCTGCAGTGCTCTTTGTTGGGGAAATTGCGACTGGAATGTGCGGACCTTCTAGAAGCAAGAGGAGTGGTGCTTCGTGACCCGGCTGTTTTCTCCTTCCTCTGGGTGGTGGATTTCCCACTGTTCCTTCCCAAGGAGGACAGCCCCGGAGAGCTGGAGTCGGCCCACCACCCGTTCACGGCTCCCCACCCCAGTGACGTCCACCTCCTACGCACTGAGCCTGAAAAGGTACCTGTCTGCTTCCCCATCAGAGGACGTGTGGAAACCAAAGCAGAGAACTTCAGATTTCAGGTTCTGGACGCCCCAGAGGAAACTGGCGGGTTCAAGTCCATAGGGGACATTCTCTAATGCGGAGACTCTGAATCTTCTAGGTCCGCAGCCAACACTACGACTTGGTTTTGAATGGCAGTGAGGTAGGAGGCGGCTCTATCCGAATCCACGACGCACAGCTCCAGCGCACCGTCCTGGAAGTGTTCCTGAAGGTAACGCCTCCACCTGGCCTTTGCGGTGTCAGCCACGTTTGTTATGAATGGGGGACTGCCCAGGTGCAGGGCAGCATCAGCTTATCTTCCTACCTTTAGTGTAAGACTGTGAGGAGTACGTAACAGCTACTTACTAGTGCTTTCTATGTGCCAGGCACCGTCTTAAGTATTTCATAGGCACTGACACGTTTAATCTCAGTCACTTTTTAAGTTAAATACCCTCACTCTGCCCATTTTACAGTGGAGAACCAGAGGCTGCTTCATTTGCCTGAAGTCATGTCAGCGCAGAAGTAAGCAGAGCCAGGACTTGAGTCCAGCCAGGGTGGCCCTTGACCCCAAGCTTCCGTCCTCCCCAGTGATGAGACTGAAAACGTTGATCGGGCCAGAGAAAGAGGGAGGTGTGAGCGGGCTTTATGTCACTGAGTGGTACTACGTTAGTTGTACTTGAGGTCGGGGAGGATTTTAGTGACAGAGACAGAGGGTACGCCACATTCTGAAGGGGTCTGCAGACTCAGGGCTGAGACTCTGCAGTTTGTTCGTGGTTCTGTAGGAGGCTAGGGCGGGTTTCAGGAAGATCCAAGACAGTCTGGTCCTGAAAGACTTTCGTGGACTGACTCGGGGTGATGCAGGCTGGAAGAACTGGGTTTTGAGAGCAGCTGTGGAGAACTCAGAACCCCAGACTAGCACTAAGGGCATGGTGAACTGCCCTAACTTGGCTCCCCCAAGTCAAAGCCTCCAGTCATCACTTTGCCAGCCCTTTTTTTTTTTCATTCCTTTCACTATCAAGCTTCTCAAAAGAGTCGGATGTGTTGCTTCTGCTTCTCTGCCACACACCAGCGGCTCCCAACTTTGCTGCACACTACAATAGAATCAGAACACCCCCTGGACGCAGACCAGTTAAATAAAAAGTGCCCTGTGTAAGGCTTTGGCGTTTGCTCCTGAAAGCTCCCTGCTTGGTTCTGATCTGTGGCCTGGTCAGCAAACCACCTCCAGATGCTCCCAGAGTTTCTGCACACATTGCCCCAGAGTCCCTGTGGTCACCAGTCCAGTGGCCTCTTCCTGGCCCTCAAGCTCTCCTACCTCCCAGCATTTGACACTGTCACTTCATGTCCTCCCTGATTCCTGTGACAGGACAGTCCCTGCTTTCATCCTCCCCTAGGGAGCCCACACCTCCACATCCTTGCTCGGTTTACTCTGCATTCAGTGTGATGACAGCTACATTTACTGAGCGCCAGGCATTTCTCTGCACGTTTTAATATCTGTACACGTCACATTTTCTTGCTCAACTAACTGTAAACCTCTTGAGGTCTTTTTTTAACTCACCTTCATTTGTGCTTTCGCACCTAAGCACACTGTGTGGACCAGGGCATGTATTTAAATGGAATTATCTTTTGAATTTCAGGAAGACGTGAAATTGCTCTCCCACCTGATCCAGGCTTTAGATTACGGGGCGCCCCCTCATGGAGGAATTGCCTTAGGTAAACAATCTGTCCTTTTACAAGCCATATTTCATTCCACTGTACTGTCTCAAATTTGGGCTCCCAGCTTCAAGGAGCAGTGGATGGAGGAGTAAAGAAGGTAGGGGTGAGAGCCCAAGGGTTCTACAGAATTTAAGTTGGGTTTTCATTTCAATAATATATTTTAAGAATACTTTTTACCAGTTATAAAGTTAAAACTTAACTGATAACTTGAATTGGAAAGATTTTAATAGAATGGAAGTGACTATTGCTCAAATCCCTGGGGGCTCAGACACATTGATAGGAGTCTGGAAAGCCCGCTCCTAGCCGCCAGCTCGTGGGAAAGTAGGAATGTGCCAGGGCCCTTCTGATGGCCGAGGATGCTCACCTTGCTTCTTTGATCAAGTAAGGAAGTGTGAGAAAGGCTAGCATGCCCACCTAGATGGGGGACCCTCAGCCACAGGGACCTCCTCCTATGTCCTGGAGCCCTCCAGCACCTCCCTTTGTTCAGCCTTTAGTCAGCCCCCGCGGAAGGGCAGCATTACCTACTGTCACTGTCTGTCCCAGTGGATGTGAATAGCAGCCCTAAGCATTTTTCTAAAATGAGAGAATAACCTCACAAGTTCCCTAAAAAGGCAGGGAACTGTGCTTGATTGCAACTTATTATAGGGAACTGATCTATAGTTTTTATAGAAAAACTGAGTCACGCCTGGCCAGTGTTGCTCAGTGGATTGAGCATTATCCCATGGACTAAGAGGACCCGGTTCAATTCCTGGTCAGGGCACATGCCCTCATTGTGGGCTTGATCCCCAGCAGGGAGCGTGTAGGAGGCAGGCAACCGATGTTTTTCTCTCACATTGATGTTTCTTTCCATCTCACCCTTCCTCTCTAAAAATCAATGAAAACGTATTTTTTGTTTTGTTTTTGTTTGTTTGGTATGTACCCCTAGCGGGAACTGAACCTGGGACTCTCTGGTCCGCAGGCCGACGCTCCAACCACTGAGCCAGACCGGCCAAGGCAATGAAAACGTATTTTTTAAAAAAAGAAAAACTAAGTCACCCTCACCCTCAGATTACATTCTCATCTGTTAACTTTGTACTTGACTCACAGGGTTAGACAGACTGATATGCCTTGTCACTGGAGCACCGAGCATCAGAGATGTCATAGCCTTCCCCAAATCCTTCCGGGGGCAAGACCTAATGAGCAATGCCCCAGATTTTATCCCTCCTGAGGACCTGAAGCCCTATCACATTCAGGTCTCCTGGCCAACAGAGTTAGAAGCAGAAAAGAACTCATTGAAGCATCCACACCGTCCAGAAAGTTGAGCTTTGGAAAAGTTTCCTCCTCTTCGCTCAATCAGATCCGGAGTTCTGCCGCAGACCTGACACGTCCCTTGGTGGAAGGGCTCCAGGCCACATTCTTCACCACAATGAAGAAACAAGTAGAAGGTGTCCAGTCTTGACTCGATAACATGCAATATTAGGAACTCTTTGTTTGGGACTTTGTTGGAGTTTCTTTTTACTTGGAGAGGTCTGAAAGATGGCTCTTTGTTGGAGTAACATAATGGCTAAGTGTTTTCTAATCATGCTTTTCCTACCTGGATAGTAGGTTGTTCACTTAGGACAGAAGTAATCAGATCATGTGTGCAAAGTGAGACAATATTTGCCCCTTTAGACTGGTGAGTTAATGATGGAGGAGTCTGTTTAACCAGCATCATCAAGAGAATCCTATAAATTAAGCTGGACAGTGACATTTCAATTATCAACATAATAGTGAGAAGAAACGTAATATAATGCAAAACATCACTGAACTGAAACTCACAAAATCTCAGCCACTGCTTCACCTTGAGTAAGTCACATAGGCCACACTTCTCCCTCCTGCTCATGTGAAATGCCGACGGTACAGGCTCTTCCGGCCAGAACCACAGATCATGTGAGGAGATGCTCTGAGAAACTAAGGCATGACACCAGTGTATGACTGTCCATTGTTTGTAAACAGACACAGGTATATCTATGTACTTTATAATTTAAGATTAAACAAAACTGATCATCTGTAGTAAAAGAAACACAGTAAACTTATTTGTCAGTATTGTTTATATCTCTATTTTTTAAGTAATCCCTGAGTAACTTTTCCTCTACGGTACTAAAAATATTGACCTTAAACCAACCTCAGATGTATAAAAAAGTGAACACTGGAGCTCATTGTGATTTTCTTATATGTTCTCTTGACACAAATAAAACCTTATGATTAGTGCCCTGGCCAGTTTGGCTCAGCGGTTAGAGCGTCGGCCTGTGGTCCAGAGAGACCCAGGTTCGGTTCCCGCTAAGGGCATGTACCTTGATTGCAGTTTGTCCCCGGCCCTGGTTGGGTCGTGTGGGTGGCAGCCACTCGATGTGTCCCTTTCACATCGATGTTTCTCTCTCTCTCTCCCTCTCTCCCACTCTCTCCCTCCCACTATAAAAAGAAAAAAAAAAAGAAATTAAAAAAAAAAAAAAAAAAAACCTTATGATTAGTAATTACAAATGGGAACAAGGCTTTGGTTTGTGCCGTGTGAACACCAAGTAGTAGCCCGCACCCCTGCCTGGTTTTCTCAGCTCTAAGCAATCTTGTACTTGAAAACAGCAGCTGCTTCACCCTGGGCCTCAGGCTGGCTCACTGGATTGGGAAGAATGTCAATGTCCTTCACGACTGCAGAGAACTGTTCCCCGTTAGACAGAGTGTCCCCTAAAGTCGGTCCTTACCCAGTCTTTCCCATGTGTGGGTGCACCGAGGGCAGAAGATCCTTGCTGGCAGGGCTCAGTGGAGAGATTCTCTTGAGAACGCCCTTTATTGGGCAAGAAAATGCAGCTTTACATCCATTTATCCTGCTTGGCTGTCACCTCATTTCTAAATATAATAAAGTCACTATTCACTGTGTAGGGCCTCATTCTGACCAAAATACTGTCTTTTTGTGCTGGAATTGAGTTACAGAAAACACCCCAAATCTGTATAATGTTTTATGGGCTACAAATACCAAAGGCCCCAGGTCTTCAGAGGTCAAGCAGTCCTGCATTGGCATAGAGATCTGGTCACCTGGTGTGTCACTCAGCTTTTCTTTAGTCCAGCCTGTCAGAACACACACACACACACACCCATACACACAAGCTTATTCTGAGATTCAGGGAAACGTCACTATTTTAGATCTTTACCACTGAGGTTGAGTGACATTTTAAACATTTGCTCAAAAATTAGCCCTGGCCGGTTTGGCTCAGCGGTTAGAGCGTCCGCCTGTGGTCCGGAGAGACCCGGGTTCGGTTCCCGCTAAGGGCACGTACCTCGGTTGCAGTTTGTCCCCGGCCCTGGTTGGTCGTGCGGGTGGCAACCACTTGATGTGTCCCTTTCACATCGATGTTTCCCTCTCTCTTCCTCTCTCTCCCTCCCACTCTGTCTGTACAAAAAATGGAAAAATGTCCTCAGATGAGGATTAAAAAAAAAAAAAAAAAAAAATTAAGGAACTATTTAGTAATAAAGTTGAAAATGACAACCAAGATTTTGAAAAGCAAACTAAATTGTAAATTGGAAGTCAAGTTTATTTCAAATCCAATCCCCAACCTCCTAGGCAATTTAGTACCCTATGTTGCATGTTTTAAAAACAAAGGAGTCCGGCCAGTGTGGCTCAGTGGTTGAACGTCCACCAGGGGGTCGCTGGTTCGACCACCAAGGGGTCGCCGGTTCGATTCTCGGTCAGGACACATGCCCAGGTTGTGGGCCCAATCCCCAGTAAGGGACCTGCAGGATGTGGCCAATCAGTGTTCTCTCTCATCGATGTTTCTAACTCTCTCTTCTTCTCTCTTCCTCTCTCTCTCAAAATCAATCAGTCAATCAAAAATAAAAACAAAGGAACTGACTGCCAGCTACAACATCAGTAGTTACTAGCTTCTTATGAACAATTTCTCCATGTTGAGATGTGTCAGGATGCTCTTGGACTGTGCTTGAATAAAACAAGGCATCTATTACAGCTGCTGTCTTCTCCCAGAATTCCATCTGAAGAACCAGAATTCTCTGTAACAGTGATCACATTCCCTGCTGCTGATTTTTATTCAGCATAACTCATCCTAAGGATACTGCCGTAAGCATACCTTTCTTCATTTCAAGACTGTTACTCGTAACATGAGAAATAACCAGGTACACAGTGAAAATATTAGCTGTCTACATAACTGCACACATAAGTCATGCAATAAGCGCACACCTACGTCAGACTTCTGTATTCAAGACAGTGGACTCAGCAGAAAGAACAGTGAGCCAGAGCTACCTGGATTTAACTCCCGGCTTTACCACTCGTTACCAGCTGTGGTCCAGTCACTTAACCTCTCTAGTCTATTTCGTCACCTAAAGCTTCTCAAGCTTTCTGGTTTCAGGATTCCTTACAGTCTTTAAATTACTGAGGACCCACAGAGCTCTGGAGAAGTCTACTACTATAGTAGGAATTCAGGTTTCTTGCATAGATATCCATCCATTACATTAACACAAATAGCATATTTTTATTTAAAAATAATTTTCTAAAACAAAAATTAGTGAAGAATGACTTTTTTTTTTTTAATTTCTGCATATCTTTTTTATGCCTGGCTTAAAAGAAGACACTGGAGCCCTGGCCGGTTTGGCTCAGCGGTTAGAGCGTCGGCCTGTTCAGCAGTTAGAGACTGGGGTTCAGTTCCCATAAGGGTGCATACCTCGGTTGCAGTTTGTCCCTGGCCCTCGTTGGGTCGTGTGGGTGGCAGCCACTCGATGTGTCCCTTTTACGTCAATGTTTCTCTCTCTCTTCCTCTCTTTCTCTCCTACTCTATCTGAACAACAACAACAAAAAAGACACTGGATTCTCTTATCTGCTTCTGCATTCCATCTGCAGGGACACGTTGTTTTGGTTGAAATAAATGAAGAAAATCTGGCATCATGCAGATATGAAGTTGGAAAAAGTAGGGGTATTTAACAGCCTTTTCTGGTAATGGATGGACATTCTTCCTTGATACTACACCAAAATGTGACAAGTTCCTTCACGGTTACTTGCAAAGCGGCATCTGAATCACGCAGATGAACTTTCCTAAAAGTCCTCTGGCCCATCTATTCTGAACATAACTTGTCCCTATTTGTAATTTTATGATACCACATGCTCATCATTTTGTAATTATTTCTTCACCAAGTGATGCAAATCTTCATTTCATTATACAGTTTCTTAGAAATCACAAGTATTGATACCACCACTGAGCCCATCACAAAGTCGTATGGAGAAGCTGAGAATGTGGTGACAGGTGCAAGCTTTTCCAAAATTCTAATTTTCATTCAACGGCTTCACTCAATATTATCACCGGCAACAAATACCATCAGTTTTCTTCCACACTTGTTCATTTTTGAGAAAATATCTGCCAAATACCCAACGCTGTGTTTAAGGTGTTACCAAAATTTGTAATCTTTAAATATGTCTCAAAACAGTTCCAAATCTGAAAATGGCACTTATGTAAGAGGAAAGAATAGATAAACTTGATAAGCAAGAATGTACAGAATCCCTTACCCCTCAGCAGTACATCAGGGAAGGTCGACCAGATGCCACTCAGGCTCAGCACGCTCCAGTGGTTTCCTATCTCAGAGAAAAGCCAGTCTTTATGAGAATATCGAAGCCATGCACGGTACCCCGCTTCCTACCCGACCATGTCCCCCCATACTCCAAGCTGTCTGCTCCACTCACTGGCATCCTTGCTTTTCCTGTTCACCAGGCACCAGCTATGTCCAGGCCTCTGCCCTAGCTGACCCTGGCAACTCCTCCAGATACTGCATTGTTCACTCCCTAAAACTGTCTGCTTAAATGCCTCTCGGTGAAGAATTCCTGGACAACCATGTTCAGAAGAATGTGCAGTCTCCCGCCAGCACCCTCTGCCCCTTTCCCTGCTTTTTTTCCCTCTGTAGCACTAGTCACATCCTCTGATACACTACGTTTTACTTTGCCCCAGTGAAGGTAAGCTCCAAGAGGGCCGATTTTATTGCATTGTTCTCTGCAGTATGTTCCCAGCACCTAAAACACTACTTGGTGTTCAGTAAATAGGTTGGGTCAATTATTAAATGAGTAATTGACTAATACATGCCAACCTCTGGCTAAGAGCTGAGGGCATGAATATGGATAAACTGTGGTCATCCTGGGGCTTTTAGCCTAGTAGGGGAGAGATCAACGGGTCATAACGATATGATACAGCGAATTGTTAGAGGCCATGCAGGGAAGAAGCCCAGAGACCAGCCTAAGCAAGGCCTCTGTACTCAAGTGCTGGTAGCTTGTTGCTGGGCTCGCTTTAGTCCTGACCTTTCAACGTTTAGGGTAAATCGCTCACTTAAAGAATTCATTCTCAGCTTCCTCATTTGTACACAGCAACAACCAACACTTACTCCAATTCTGTGCCTGGAGTAAGCATAAAACTTGACTTCCAAGCCCAGAAATGTTAAGGAGCTTGAGATCCCTTTAAAGATGCCTTGGCCAGTTTGGCTCGGTAATTGGAGTGTCAGCCCTGGTACCAGAGTCTCAGGTGCAATTCTGGTCAAGGGCATGGACCTAGGGTCGTGCCTGGTCAGGGTCGTGCAGGAGGCAGCTAATCAATGTCTCTCCATCCCCCCTACTCTGAAGATATATGGGGAAATATCCTTGAGTGAGGATTAAAAAAAAAGAAAATTTTATCTCAAAGCTGTGACATTTTGAGAACAAGCACTGGTTTTGAATGATCAAACCCAGCCTTCCAGCTTGAGTGTAATTATACGAGACCCTCTGAATTCTTGGCAGGACATGCAGGAATTGTCATGTTAGAATTGCTGTGATGGGGTTGAGGTCATGTGTTCCTCCAAGGAATTACATGCAATCTCCCTTAGTAAATGGTTATTTTTCAGGAGCCCTAATCAAGTATATTTAAGTATACACCCGGGAGCAGTGATTCGAACTAGTTACCAGTGCTGTAACAGCACCTCCTACACCTCCCACACAGGTGACAGGTTACAGAATTACAGGTTCCTAAAACTTGAGGGCACACCTGACATCCTAGTCCAGTTTCCCACTGGTGCTAGTCAGCTTTTTAATCCGTACAGCCCCACGTTTGGATACAGGGTGTTCCATAAAGGTCCCCAATCCTTTCGTCAGCTTGCCCCTCTTGCAAATACACCACTGGGACTTTTTGGTAGTCCTGGGCTTTGGCCCTTCCCATCCCGAGATTCTTCAGGGTACAGTTGTCCCTCGCAGCTTTGCGCTGACTTTCGCAGCTTCACTCGTCGCGGTTTTTTGGAAGTGGGGAGGGACGACTATAAAGAATGCTACTTCGCAAAAATTCATTTATCGTGGTAGAGTTTGGAACTCATTAACCATGATGAATGAGGGCCAACTGTATTGATTCTGCTAATGACAAATCTGTTTCCTGGATTCTGTAACTTCCCCATTTCAAAACCAGGGTGTTTTACCTTCAGCCTTGAGTCACCAAAACTTAAAAGATTTTACCTGATCACACCCAATTTGTTCAGTAAATATAAACCACCTACTGAAAAAACGAGCTTGGAAACACTGCAATGCCAAGACCAAATCCCTTTCATGGAGTTACATTTGAGCAGGTGAAAACATGGACAGATACATAACATTAACTAGTGCTGGTGGGGATGGCCCCATTTCAGGGTCAGGGCCTGTGGGAAGACATCTGAGTAACGAACTGGAACCGAAAGCAATGTGGTCACTTGAACTGTCCTGTAGAACAGCAAGCATAAAACTTCAAAGTTTTATGTGGCCAGTGCCAAGTTGAACCAGTATCTCTTCATAACTTGAGAGGACCAGAACACACTTTAACCAACAGCACTTATTATATGGAGAAAAGGAATGGCCACTTTCATCTAGATTCAGCTTTGCAGCTCAATGTTCCAACTCCAAGCACTAAATTGGAAATTTGATCGTCCTTCTGGACTAGACATCAAAGCTGCAAGCCAAGTTAATGATGTCTTGGAGTAGTTAACAAGGCAACCTATGAGCTTAACTAATACTCTCATTAACTTGATCTGAGTACATGCCTCCAGAATTGTTATTTGCTAAATCAGCATTTCTAAACTGATCTTCTAAAGACAAGGACATTGTAACTACTGTACCAATGACCTCAAAATTGTAAACATGCCCCATTGCTAGTTTTACATTTTCTTTCCTTTTAATATGCATCTTTTGGGGGCAAGACCCATCCCTAAGATAACCAGTCACTCCCCTTCACATGTCAATTTTGGCCAAAGACCCAACACCACCATGGTGTTTACAGCAAATGGAAGTTTTCCCACCACTAGTTGACATTAAGAGCACCTGCTTTTCTTTATCTGCATAAGCTCGTGTTTTGATTGATGGTTCACTTGCCCGGTTTGGATGCTAAAGGGGACCACCAAGGGGAGGACTGTTTATTCCTCAGTATAAACTGCACTTGCAAGCCTAAGACATCCTATGAAATACAAATGAAAATGCCAACTGGCTATCTACTGCCAGGGGGGCTCATGTACACCCATGTCCTATTTTCCTTCCTTCATCCCATTAAGTAGAAATAAGAAGACTTGATCCGATGGCTTATAAAAAATTTATTAAAATTCAAAATGGCTTGATCTTCTACCTCATGAGCATCCATCCAGCTGCCTGCAAAAAAGAGCCATTTTTAGTCACGATTCCTTACTTCAATTCTGATGGTATTTGAAGTACAAAGAATATCAGATCTTCCATTTTCATCAAGCAATCAGTGAGAGAGTTCAAGTTGGGGTGAGATCATCATGTATTCTGGAATAAAACAGCACTGATATTTCCGAGGCTTACCTTCCAGTGGTCGGCCAGCTGCATGACGGCCGCAATCAACGCCTGAAAGCAAAGAACACACGTTAATTGTGGTAAAAAGAGCTCGCCTGATGCTTGCTGGTAAAGTAACCTCAGAATCAAAATGGAACGGTTTTATGAGTGATATCATCCTATTTCATTTGGCAGAATCACTACATCACTGGTTACATTCTAACTTCATATATATACACCAAGAACTGTCTTACCTGGACATCTTCAGGGTAGCAGGTCTTGTCTGCCTGTCTGAAGATGAGGAGGAAAAAAAATTTCATTACAAATGTCCCCTATTTTTAATTTTTGGAAAAACATTTAGGGAAGTGAACCTATTCTGTATAATATGATGGTAACTGTTCTATTATACACTTATCCAACACTTACACACTTATTCACTGTGGTGTCACAGTGAACCCTAGTGTAATGTCACTATGGGCTTCTGGTGGCAACGATGTGTCCTTGTAGGTTTGTAAACTTAACCAAAGGCCCACTCTGGTAGCTGGATATTGACAGCAATATCCTGTGTAATTACAGGACATGTGGGAACTCGGTACTTTCTGTTCAATATTGCTATAAATCTAAGCACACAATAAAACAAAAACAGCTAAACAATTTTGTAACCTACAGATTTATATGTATGACATAAAAACTTGTGCACAAACTGTATCATTAACCTGTACTTCTCCAAATAGAGTTCTTAATCCTTCAATTAATACCCGTGAGAATGTTATGGCACATTAGTCATGCAAACCCCTGAACATTTAAGACAATGGCCTTTTTTGAGGTTATAAATGATGGTCGCAGCCAGATACATCAGATAGGAGCGAAAGACAGTACTGCTCATCACTGTTAGTCTGCTGAACTATGTTATCATCATTGTATCGGCTTTAAACCACTTCACATGGAAGCCCAACTCAAAACTACTATACCTTTACTTAAAACTCTTGACTCCAGGATATGTAGTCAACCCCACTCTTCACACCTGCAGAAATTAATTCAAATTTAGTAACAGATAGTAATAGGAAAATGTCTAAAATTCCCCAGGTACTGTTTCAGTTACAAAAAAATCTTCACTCTTTTTCAGAGAGATTCCCATCTGTTTTTAATTTCAAAAATCATCACTAACAGCAACTTGCTTATTATGTAGCTGAGATTCATAATAATACATACCTTTATTTTAAATGTCTCCGAAATCCGGGTCTGAAAAAGAAAGTGTTTCTTTAGACTGTATTTCCCAAAACTGCCCGAGGCTTTGCACCACCAGAAAACACTAGCGGTCAAGTACGAAGACCAGGACATTTCAGCAACAATAGGAATCTGTGTACCAGGAGCCAAAAGCTGTTCTTCCGTCTTACCTCAAGCATGCCATCCAGATATAAATGTGCATTCAACAGCTAGAAGGGAAAACAAAACATCTTGTATTAATGTTAAATATCATTAAAGTCTTTGCTCAGTGTTACTTGTCCCAGGGTTCTTCAGTGTTAAATTTGTCTACATGCTCATTTCAGGTCAGACATTTGATCAACATCATTATGAAAACCCCATTCGAAGCATGCGTAACATGCGTTAACTGACCAAACACAGGGCATAAGCACTAGTAGCTCAGTAGTTAAGTACTAAATTGTACCAGCATTAACAGTTTTGAGTCTATCAGGATGTTAACAATGGATACTTACCAAAAATAATAAAGCCAATTCAGACATGTCAGAGACTCAAGTCCACCTAAAAAATAAGAGTGGTTTTACAACAGCCAAAGACCAACTTTCTCCTCACCAATTAAAAAAAAAACCGCCTGAAATCAGGTAGAGCTAATAATTAAGACCTTCACGTTTAGTCAGTAGATGCTTATCATCATACAGGCTGCTTTTACAAATCAGGACACCTTAGGAAGGGTAACGGGACAAGGAATTGGCATTTACTTAATGCACTCAGCACACCTCAAGCACTTCATGGTCGGTGCTAACCCTAAAAAGGCACAGGTGGCACTGTCCTATTTGTCCAGTCACCGATGTTTAAATTCTAACTTTACTTACCATTCCAACTTCCAGTTAGTTCTTTTTAGTGCCTAGACAAAAGGAGAAGCCAGATTAATAGTGGTACTTTGCTTATGCGATTACCTGCAAAACAGCTTTACACCAGACACTTCAGACAAATGGTACATCTCTTCAGGATTCAATCTGCTGAACTATGCAAACATCATAGTATCTGTTTCTTCAGGTGTCCCCCACTTTATCAGAGTGCAGAAGTTCACGTTTGAAAAGGGAGGGGGGAAAACCCTGAGTATCAGCATGGATTTGGCAACGTGCAATCCCTCAGAAAAGGGACTGGAAAGTCCTGGGTAAGTACCAACTATTAAAAGGTTTCTTACCTGTCTTCCCATGGCTAGAGTGTGAATCTTGGACTTTAGGATCTGAAAAGGGAAGGTGAGTCTCAGGTCAACTTAGGTGCAATTTTTATTTTCTCTAAATCACCATTTTGTGTGCCTCAGTTAGGATAATGGTGGTAATAATTCTCGTCATTCTTACAGTCGAGAGTAGCAAATATAACTCATCATTGTGGCACATCAAGTAGACTTCCAACCTAACCTCCCTTCTTCAGGGAACTTACCCCAGCGGCAGCCATTCTCACGCCTTTGGCACAGAACTAGAAAACAAGACATAAAAAATACCCAATAAAACATCCTGTGCAGCCACTGTAAACATCGATGTCATAAATATTATTTAAGCCTCAGAATAAAATTTTCAGAAATCCCTTCTGTCCACTACTCTTAAACCATCACGGGCTTAACAAAAAGACCACATCTAAGCAAATTTTTTATTCCCACTATTTACGTTTCTTACCTGTCCATCAGTCGCCAAAGAAAAGCCACATTGTACTCGTACCTAGCACCATTCCTAGGGAAAAGATTAGTTTTTATTTTCAGTTCATTTGGTTCTAAATTAAGCAGCATTAGATCGTTTTTTATCACCCATGCTAGTCGTTCACACTACCCGCACTTTCTAACTGTAATGGGTGCAGTTAACGTATCATAAAGAGCACTTAACAGCTAAGGTTCAGAACTACTGACTGAAATAATGGTGCACTGCGGAATGCAGCCAACCACGTGGACTACTCGATCGCCGCCTTCCTGGAGGAAGTGGCTCCGGCCGAGGTCAGTAACAAAGACCGCCGGGCGACTCGGCATGCACCGCCATCAGAGCTGTTGGCATTCATCAACCGTCTCAGATGTCCCTACCAACATAAGCTTCATCAGAGGCCGGGCACGCGAGCCGAGGCTTTTCCGCAGCTCAGCCTAGCGACCCGAGTGTTGACTTAGGTCGAGCGCGCACCCAACGCGCAATCCTCTACAATCCTCACCCTGCGGGCCCCGCAAAGGCTTGCGACTAGCCCAGATATGCCAGCCAGTTTAGGGCGACTTCAGTTACCAGGACCTGGAGGCCTCGAGCCAAGAACCCATTTAGCATCCGCAGAAAAGAGGACACATACCAGGAGCCGACTTCCATCCACGAAAGGCCGAGATGGCGTCCAGGTGCCCATATATAAGCATGGCGTTCCATGACGTCATGACGCACTTTCCCTACCAGCGTCGGCTTGAGCTCCTCCTCCTCCCCTCCTGAGCTCAGTCTCCTCCCTCTCCAGCCACACCTCCTTTCCGTCCTCTATGCCCGCCCCTTGGCCCGCCCCCTCGGTTTGTGGGCGGGGTCACGGCCGCCCGCGTGACGCAAGGCTCCCACCCTCCTACGGACCGAGGAGGAAGACAAGAGAGGGGAGGGGGCGCGAGGGACGGAAAGCGCTGGGGAGGGGGAAGGGGGACGGTATAAGGGTGAGTGATTTCCTTCCGGCACGTCGCCCGCTCCGGGGGAGGGGGCGGGGGTTTTCACTTCCGGGACGGTGTTCCGGCCCATTCCGGCCCATTTCCACCCCCGGAGGTAGGTGCTGCTCCTTGACTGGGCTGGGGCCCCGCACACCGGTCCCGCTGCCCTGCCCCGGGGCCGCCCTGCCCGGCGTCCGCCGCAGCCTGCTCCTGGGGTGCTCAGCCACTTCCCTTCACCCCCACCTCAAGGCTCCCGGAGACCTTCCACCCCCTTGGCCCCGCGCCGGGCTGAGCTGCCGGACCCGCCCCCTCGCCGGGCCCCTCCCTCAGGACCCCGGGAGGGGCGGCCCCCTCCCCCACCGCAGCCGGCCACACCCAGACACACACACCCACCTCTGGGCAGCTCCCCGCCCGCCTGCACCTACCGCCTGGCCCGGGTCCCGGGGCGCCGCCCCCTTCCCGGTCTTTTCCCGGCACCTGACTGCCGGCTCCCAGGCCGCACGCCCTGCTCCCCGCTCTTCCCTGCTCCTCGGTGACACCGCGGCGCAGCCAGTTCCCCGTCCCCACGCTGCCGAACGCAGGCGGAAGCCACTCAAGTGCCGGAGTGGCCAACCCCGTGCCGTTCCCGACTCTCCCCCTTACAGCTCTCGCCCCTCCGGTGCCGACGGTAGAGAAAGACCTTACTCCAGGGGCCTCCTCCTCGCTGGGGCATTGCCGGGAAGAGCAAACAAAAAAGGCGCTGGTGTAGGCTCCAAAATAGACACATCTGAATTCAGGATGGCATCGACAGAGGCTCTAATTGGATTAAAAGTTTGCAAACAAACAAAAACGCTTTGGAAAAAGGTCAGATTGGCTGAAGTCGGTTCATGAAAGCAGTGTATACACTTCCCTGTGTATTGATAAGCGCGTTGTGAATGCCGGGCGGTCCTGTGAGCTTGTCAGGATAAGTTCCTGAAGTTTCGGGTCTCAGGCAACTTTGTAATGTCGTAACTTGACAGATAAATGGAAACACATTGGGCTCAAGTCAGTGTCTTCCTAGTGGGGTTTTTACAAACTGTACTTTCACCATGGAAGGCTGTGGGATGCAATTATGGACTGTTTCCACTGGTTTTTAAAAATCTTTTAATGTCAAAATATTGGCCATACTTGGTAAATCCTCTATTTTTTTTTTTTTTTTTTTACCACCTTTGTGGAACTAAATGTCAGAATCAAAGGATCACCCCCACCCTGAAATTCCTAACTTGGAATTTACATTATTTAGTTACGGGCAGGTATACCTACCCTTCCCTAATTCTGAGTGAACTTCAAGTCCCACATCTTGATTGAGTCCTTTGGCACCTTTCCTAACTTAGAAGTCCTAAGCTCCAAGCCTTTTGATGGAGGCTGTGACTCTTACAGCTAAAAATAATGGCTTAATTTTTGTGGAATAGTAGTGACTTTATAAAATAAAAAACTCACACAACAAGTAGTAAAATATTAAGAAGAGGCACATCTAATTGACCTAACTGTATAATTACATTGATGCAAAAAACATTATTTTCCTTCAAAGTTGTCACAGGATTTTCTATTCATTGTGAATATCTTATGATTAATGCTTTAAAAAACAAAACAAAAAAGAACAACTGCTCCTCCCTCTTTATTCTGTTGAACTCTGTTTTGATGTTGCATAGCTTATCATTAGGAAAGTATGGGCATAGCTTGAATTTTAAGAAGTCTAACTAATAATCATGTTTTGGTTTTAATGGTGTCTTGGTGCGTAACCTACTGAAAAACCTGTTTGGTACTTCTATATCTAAACATTAGGCAGTTATCTATTTTTACTGGGAGATTTTAAAATTTTGCCAAATGATGTTTTAAAATAGGTTTGAACTGGAAAGCATGAGGGGAGTACAGTTCTAATTGTTAAATGAGAACATGGTTTCCTCCTTCAGCAGGGTTGAATGCCTGCCTACACCCTCAGGCCCCACCATGGAGAAGGGTGGTAACATACAACTGGAGATCCCTGACTTCAGCAACTCTGTCCTGAGCCATCTCAACCAGCTGCGCATGCAAGGCCGGCTCTGCGATATCGTGGTCAACGTGCAAGGACAAGCTTTTCGGGCTCACAAAGTGGTACTGGCCGCCAGCTCTCCCTACTTCCGGGATCACATGTCCTTGAATGAGATGAGTACTGTCTCCATATCCGTCATCAAGAACCCCACAGTTTTTGAACAGCTCCTTTCTTTCTGTTACACAGGGCGGATATGCCTGCAGCTGGCAGATATTATCAGCTACCTGACAGCTGCCAGTTTTCTGCAAATGCAGCATATTATAGACAAATGCACACAGATCTTGGAGGGCATTCATTTCAAAATTAACGTGGCTGAGGTCGAAGCAGAATTAAGTCAAACGAGGACAAAGCATCCAGAGAGACCTCCAGAGTCTCACAGGGTTACACCAACTCTAAATCGCTCCCTTAGTCCACGACATAATGCCCCAAAGGGAAGTCGGCGAGGTCAGGTTAGTGCTGTGCTGGACATCAGGGAGCTCAGTCCTCCCGAGGAGTCCACCAGCCCTCAGATCATTGAACAGAGTTCTGATGTAGAGAGCCGGGAGCCCATTCTTCGGATCAACCGAGCAGGACAGTGGTACGTGGAGACAGGAGTAGCAGACCGAGGGGCACGGAGCGATGATGAAGTGAGGGTTCTTGGAGCAGTACACATCAAAACTGAAAATCTAGAGGAGTGGCTGGGGCCTGAGAATCAGCCTTCCGGAGAAGATGGGAGCAGTGCTGAAGAAGTCACAGCCATGGTGATTGACACCACGGGCCATGGTTCCGTAGCACAGGAAAATTACACTTTAGGACCTTCAGGAGCCAAGGTGGCTCGGCCAACAAGTAGTGAGATTGACAGGTAAGTTTTGTTTTGTTCACCCATCTAACGGCTGTTGTAGAGACATTACTAATGTGGTTACCCCTGTGTGGTACAGAGAGCATCTTCCCTCCTTGATGCTCTTAGCCAAAATAAGTTGATGTTGGAGAAACTGCAGGTGTGGCAAAAGACTTGCATTCTTATTTTTTTAAAGCAGGAAGCTCCTTACCCTGGCTGGTGTGGCTCAGTTGGTTGAGCATCATCCCATGCACTGAGGCCACTGGTTCCATTCCCAGTCAGGGCACATGCCCAGGTTGCTGGTTTGATCTCCATTAGGGGGCGTGCAGGGTCCAGCCAATTGATGTTTCTCTCTCCCTTCTCTCTCTAAAAATCAAAAACATATGGAAATAAAAATAAAACTAGCCCTGGCCCTTGGACTGAAGTGTCTCAGGTTTAATTCCCAGTCAAGGCCATATATGTCGGTTGTGGGTTCAACCCCTGGCCCTGGCGAGGGTCATGTGGGAGGCAACCAATCGGTGTGTCTCTCTCATATCAATATTTCTCTCTCTCTCCTTCCCTCCCTTTCTCCCTCCCTCCCTCTCTTATCTGAGGAAAATCAATGGGAAAATATCCTCAGGTGAGGATTAAATAAATAAGTAAATAAAAATAAAGCAGGAACCCTGGCTGGTTTGGCCCAGTGGTTAGAGTGTCGGCCTGCGGTCCAGAGAGACCCCGGGTTCAGTTCCCACTAAGGGTGCAGTTTGTCCCAGGCCCTGGTCATGCGGGTGGCAGCCACTCGATGTGTCCCTTTGACATCGATGTTTCTCTCTCTCCCTCTCTTCCTCTCTCTCCCTTCCACTCTGTCTGAACAAAAAATGGGAAAATGTCCTCGGGTAAGGAATAAAAAAAAAAAAAGCAGGAAGCTCCTAGTCCTGAAAGTTTGATGTTGTGAGAACTACGGTAAAGTTAGACACTTCTGTGAATCAGAACAGCATCTGCAACCACACTAGTGTCAGTAATTGGCAGGGCTTCCTGGGAATTCCAGGCAGGGGGCCCGGTCATCAGCTGGGAACCTGGCAGCTTTGCCCTTCCTCCCTAGGTTTTCACCCAGGTAGGTGGTCTCAGTTTTACTTGCCTTTGTAGTGCTGTTGACTTTTCTTTGCCCCTCACCTCCCAAGTTAGAGGACGTATGGTACCAGCACTAATTGTTCTTTTTAAATTAGTGTGATCCCAGTCCAGTTACCCCAAAGAAAAGCTTTGGAGAGTTTTTATTCCTTTTTTCACTTGTCATTTTATGTCTTCCCTTTTTCTTTCTCTGGTGACTGCTGCTACCACAGGCCTGAGGGTCTGTTTTTTCCCCACTGCTACTAGGTCCCATCCCATGACTCCCTTGTCTCTTTCTAATGGCAATTAGAGCATTTCTTTTTGGTGGAAAGTAAATTGAAAGAAGGAAGTATTATCAACTTAAATTGATAATATTTGGTTTTTTTCCTCTGTTAAAAATAAATTAAAATTGACTGCATGAACAATGAAAACTAAAGAAGCTATTACTTTGGTTGATACCTGGTCTTGAGAGACATGTGTTACAGTCAGAAAGTATATACTGTATCCATTTCAGGCGGTCTTGATTTGAGTATTTTCCTTCTTGTGTCCTTAATAGTTAAAATATTCTTGAGCACAATACTTATTGCCCCACCCCCCATGTTAGCACTGTGTCAGAAGTAAGAGCCTTAGTGCACAGACTTTGAATCTCCATGGTCGATGTTATATCAACAGTCTGAAATATATAACATGTTATGCTGGGGCCTGGAAGAAGGAACAACCAAAACCTAAGTTACATAGAAGAAGCAAAGTTACAGACCCAGTTTTAATTTATTCTTTTATGGTCTCCCAATACTTACGGAAGAATAGAACTTATATTTAGCCTTAGCTTCACCAGGTCATATGGTCTGTTTTGTATTTCTTAAATTTATAAGGCAAACCTTTCTTGTCTTATTTCTAATCACTTCCTATATATTAACTCCCTGAAAGTATTTCTTAGTCATTTATTGTTCAGTTTGTTTCCCCTGCATCAGCCATGGGATAAAGAGGGTAGACATCACCCTTTTTTAAGTTCCTTGACACTACTTTTCTGTTAGTCCCCTTTTTGCTCCTCTTCCGACAGATTTAGCCCCTCCGGCAGTGTTGTCCCCTTGACGGAGAGACACAGAGCCCGAAGTGAGTCTCCTGGGAGAATGGATGAGCCTAAGCAGCCCAGCTCCCAGGTATGTAGTTGTGGGGCTGAAGAAATTGCCACTGTGTTGAATCCGACAGGAAAGATGTAGGAGAGGGAACAGTGGCCCTGTTAAGTACTCTACTTGATTACTTTTGTCTTTATTCTTATTTGCAAGCACACAGGAAATGCACTTTTGGTGTCAGCTGAGTTTGGGAAGTAGAAAAGATGAGATTGCAGAACTCTTTTCTGAGCCAGTCTGTAGTCCTGAGTAGAAATAAAACAGTAACCCCAAAAAAGTACATGCAGGCAGGGTAGGACCTGGGATGGAGGGCCTGATGCTGTGCGTGTGGGGATAGCACTAGTGATTACTACATGGTGTCGTATACTGTATTTGCAAACAGTTTCTTTTGCATTTTTATGTTCGTATCTTTTATTTCCTTCCTGAATCTTTTGTTAGACTAAAATGTTCTAGAGAGGATAGGAACGATGTCTTCTATTTTCTTTGCAATTCTCCTTAGTAAGTAGTAAGTAGTTGGTTGATAATGTTTGTTTTTCCTCACAGGTCTCTGTCATTGAAGGTTGATTTTTTTTCAAAGGATGTTGAACTCACCAAGTAAACACTTTAGTCCTTTAAAAGGAAACACTGGTGGATTTAGATTGCATAGCTAATTTTTTTAGCTTCTGCATTATACTAATAGTATCTTGTTTAGTTTTTACTTAAACCTTGGATGTTTATTGTGTAGGCAGTATACTAACAGCAGCAAGACATTGTTACAAACTATATTTACTTACATATTATCATGCCAGTTTTCCGGTACCAGAAAAGGACTTGTAGCTATTTTAATAAGATGTTACAGAAAATGTTAGGAGCTTGGAGGAAAAGTAAGTTTACTCATATAATTAAGGCCTCTTTTCTTCTCATCTTTCAAATAGGATGTGATACCTATGTGAAGGTGACTATTATACAAATAAACACAACAGTGACACAGACCTTACAACTTAATGGGGGCAGAGGGCTGGTTAACAGATACACAAAACAGGTATAGATGAGACTGTATAGACCTCATTCACAGTGTTATAAGAAAAGGAGTGCTTAAAAGGCAGTTACTGGAATCAATAACCACTTAAAGAAAGTGTTATTCAGGAGGGTCTAAATGCAGTACGTATTTAATGAAGCAGCTAGAGATAACTTACTGTGTATGTAGATGTAATGGGGATAACAACTGGAACTCCACAGGTGTTTTCCCAACTGAAGCAGAAGGTGCAGGCGATAAAGAAGCAGACAATAGCATTGTCTGGAAATGACATAGAGAGATGAGTTAATATATGCCTTAACATGTATGAAAGTTTATTATGGTGAATCTACTCACCAGTTATATTTTCCCTGCCACAGAGTACCAAAACAGGACACTGACTTAATTACAGTGAGAACAGATTTCAATAGACTTGAAGAGTATCCTGCTCAGAAGGGTGACTGTCCTGGAATAGACTGCTACGGTCACCTATTTGCTCAAATAACTTGCTGTGGCTTTTTCCCTTTTTCTACCATGTTATGGTTGAAACACTTGGCCTGAAATTCCAAGTAATTTACCATCTTTCTAACAGAGCTTCCTCACCACTCATCAGCATTCGCTGCCTGCCTCAAGCAGGCAGGCTTCCTCTGTGTGTCAGGACCACGTCAGATATGGTCAGCTCCTTGAGTCTGGGATGCCCTGTCCTTCCCAGGTGTCTGGGTCCACCCCAGACCCACCTCCTAGTTCATCTGCCCTGCCTAGCCCAGGCCTCCCTGATCTCTCCTTAAACCACTGTAGCACTTACAGGGGCTATGATATAATTTCCACTCTTCTTTTACTTGCATCAGTTTTGTGTCTTCGTCTAGGTTGACATCGCCTAGAGAGAAGCGTCCACATTTTCAAATTTTTGTTTCTGACATTGTCTTCTCCAGTGCCCCCCAAAAGGAGTTGTTTTACCCCTAAGTCATTTTGAATAACGAAGGTTACTAAGTAGGTGCCCAATAAAAAAGTGATTATTTAATTGCCTGTGAAACCCTTCGTTTTGGAAATCTTTAAGTAAAGTTAATAAACCAAATCAGATGATTTTTGAAGTCCTTTCATTTCTTTAATTCTCTGATTAGTAACTGAAGATTAGGAGGGTGGACAGTTTTGAAGGTCATGTCAAGAATCTAGACTAGTTTTGTTTTGGATAATATGGACATTATTGTCTATATGGAATTTATTCATTATAGAATAATTTATTTAAAAAATAGTTCTTGAACACCTACTACATACCAAACACGGATCAAGTTCCAGGACAGTCCACAGTGTTCCTGTGCTTACAGAGTTGACAGTCTAGTAGGGAATTGCCAAGTGGGAGGAGTGGAGTGATCCGCCTCTCGGTGACAGAGAGGAGGCGGCCAGTTTGTCCTTGCTTCTTTTTAAAGTTCAGAGGATAAAACTACTGAAAGTATTGTTGCCTTTGACAAGGACCTAATCTACATTTTATGCTCATTCATTTGCTCTTTTATTGCAACTTTACTGCAGTGATTTTCTAAGATGAAATTGATCGTAATGTTCAAGTTCTGTGATTATAGTTCATCACAGATAACTAAAATATATTTATTTCCTGACTGTGGACCATACTGGTATGACATTACTTACCTTAAAGTTAGGCAGTTGTTTGTTTAGTTTTGTTTTTGGTTTGTTGTTGTTTTAGGGAATAGGTACCCTCAAGATTATAAACAATATTGTGAGTTTGTAATGTTTAATAACAGTTAACATTTATTGAGCCTCATTAAGCACTCTAACTCATTCAGTGCTCATAGCAACTTATGAGGTAGATGCTGTTCATTTTACAGATGAAGAACTGTCAGATGAAGTAGTGAAATAACTGCCTCAAGGTCACATAGTAAAGAGGACACAGATTTGAACCTAAGGTTCAATAAAGCATCTGCTAACCTTTCGTTTTATGGATGGGAAAACTAAGCCTCAGACAACTTGTTCTGCACTTTGTCCATGGTCACTCAGGACCTTTTAGTGGGATCATTCCTCCTTCATGTTTCTATTATGCAGGGAATCGTAGCAGAAAGAAATTTTATATAAAACAAGTCAGAAATCGTCTCAAACCTCAGGCTTACTGTTGAACGCGTAGCATCATGTGCTGCCTCCCACACCGCTGAGACCTGCGTCTGTTCTGCTGGAGGTGCTGAGCAGCACTGCCAGCCGTCTGGGAAAGGAGCCGGAACGCATTTCAGAAATTCAAGGGAAGGCATGAGATTAATTGCTAATTAGATAACTTTCTTTGGTTAATCCATAGTCAGCTTTTACATTTTCTCCTCTTCGCACTGATACTGTAGCCTCTGCCAAACATACATAATTCCCTCCTACATATGCTTGTATACATATACGAGCTTTTTATTCAAAACATGTTATTTATATAAATACATATAATGACTTCAGAAGCCATTAAAAAATGGCTTTAAAAATCAAATTACTGAATTTTAATATGAATTTAGAATCAAAAGCATTTATAAATCTAAGATTTTTTTAAAGTATTCATTCAAAGGTATGTATTATTTCTACTCCCAGATTTCAGATAGGAGGCACCCATGTTTATCTCATATTACTGGGGTATTTTAGGTGTGATAGTATTTTGGCTATATTAAGAAAGAATATCTCTGGGTGAAACTGTCTGGGATTTTCTTCAAAAATAATATGAGAGCCTGGCCGGTGTGGATCAGTGGTCGAGCATCGTCCCAGGGGCTGAGAGGTCCTGGTTTGATTCCTGGTCAGAGCACATGCCTAGTTTGCAGGCCCTGTCCCCACTGTGGGGCAGGCAGGAGGCAGCTGATCAATGTTTCTCTCTCACACTGATGTTTCTCTCTCTCTCTCCCTCTATCTCTGAAAAATCAATAAAAACATATTTAAAAAATATAATATGAGAAAGGAGAGAAACAGGTGAGGGTAAAGAAAAATATTGTCCGTGGTTTAATTGTTGAGTGATGGGGATTTAATATATATTCCATCTAAAAATTTTAGTAAAAAGTTTTAAAATATATATGTCATTTGTCCTTAAAAAAGAAAACAAATTAGAGAAAAGGAAAGCATTTATTTTGCAATAACTTAAAGGGTTATCTAATTAACAACAGCAGAGTTCTAATGCTGCTTTTATAGTAATTGCTTTGTTAATGTCTTAAGTAAGTTTATTGTCACAATATAAGAAAGTTAACTTAGGCGGGGCAGATACTTTATAAACCAAGAGAAATTGGAGAAATCGTATATAAACCACAGATTGTTCTATTTACTTTTAATAATCTGTTTATATTTATGTAAAATCACTACAAGTAATAGGTCTATAAACTCAGATGATACTGTGTCTACTCACTGTATTTCAGGAACACTTACCTTTAGTATAAGCAGGTAGAAAATTGAATTAGCAACATCATTAGGAATGTGGATTTCCTGTTTCTCTTTGTCTATTCGTTCAGACTCTTACCTTTTGTTGAGAGAGCAAAATGAGAATCTAAGTCTTGTCCTTCTTTCTCTGTGATACCTGTCGTTGTATTTGGTGGACAATATCAGTAAATACTGAGTACTAATTGTTGGAAGGCTCATAGGAAAGAAGAACTAAGTTAGCTCAGTCTAGTTTTCTTTCCCAGCTCTTCGCCCATTTGCTCTGAGCTCAGTTAACCCTTGAGTATGCTTTAGAATGAAGTTAGTATGTTGGTATGGTACTAAGATACTTCGGGATAAAAAGGAATACTGTCACCTACAAACTGTACACATCTTTATAAAGCTAGTACTGCTGGATTAAGTTTTGGTATTAATGATAATGCCATAAGCGTAATTTATAATATGCTTGCCACGGTGTATTCTTTACTGTCAGACGTAGTAGCCATTAGCCACATCATGTGTGGCTATTTAAATGTTAATTAATTGAAAACAATTAAAATTAAAAATTTAGTTCCTTAGTCGCACTAGCCATATTACAGACACCCAGTAGCCACATGTGACTAGTGGCTACTGTATCCAGTGGTGCAGATAAACAAACATTTCCATCATCACAGAAAGTTCAACTGGACCAGTGCTAAGTACCTACCTGATCATCTAGATATCATTGTAAATTAGAGTCCAAGTGGATGGTATGAGTGGGCCCAGATTCTCCTATTGCTGTAAAATAGAACATTCGCTGGGGGTTTCATGGGAAGCGTGCAGTTTGTTGGCCAGAAGTAACTTGACTGTCTTGTTCTTTTATGGTAATGGGATACAGAGTCTTTGGTTTTGTTTGTTTTTTTTAATTGTTATGTTAACATCTTTACTTTGGGATAGTAATTTCCTGTTTGGATCTCTACTAAAAATAAGCTTAAAGCTTAGTACCTGGTAAAAGTAGATTTGATCATTATACTATGTCTGTTCACAGTACCTGTTTTTCTGTGCTTATTTTCCTCACCTGGCACAGGTAGAAGAGTCAGCAATGATGGGAGTAAGCGGCTATGTGGAGTATCTCCGTGAGCAGGAAGTATCTGAGCGGTGGTTCCGGTACAACCCCCGTCTCACCTGCATCTACTGTGCCAAATCTTTCAACCAGAAGGGGAGCCTGGACCGGCACATGCGCCTGCACATGGGGATCACACCGTTCGTCTGCCGCATGTGTGGCAAGAAGTACACCCGCAAGGATCAGCTGGAGTATCACATCCGCAAGCACACAGGCAACAAGCCCTTTCACTGTCACGTTTGTGGCAAAAGTTTCCCCTTCCAGGCCATCTTGAATCAGCACTTTCGCAAAAACCACCCTGGCTGTATCCCCCTAGAGGGGCCTCATAGCATCTCCCCTGAAACAACTGTCACGTCTCGAGGACAAGCCGAGGAAGAGTCACCTTCACAAGAAGAGACAGTTGCTCCCGGGGAAACCGCCCAGGGCTCAGTGTCCACTACTGGGCCAGATTGAAACATTGAAGGGGAGGGGGCAGACCCTCTTCCCCTTTGGGCCGTAAGCAGCCAGCATCGGGGCCATGGGCTGGTGCTTCGATTCACAAAATGCCACATCACTAGATCGGAAGATGCTCCCAAGATGTTGCCAAACTAGAGGATCAGCAACATACACAAAGTACTAGAGGCTTTCCCCCTCCTCCTTGCCACCTCACACTTTGAAAATAATCAAGCAGATCAACTTTCTAATTCAGGGATCAACAGCCTTGGTTTGTTAACTTTATAAGAAAAAGATTTTTAACAAAACAATGATAAATGATCATTTATCTACCAGTCACATTTGAACACTGTCCTTTGGTCCATATCATCCTGGTGGCTGTCACTTGCCCAGATCTAAAAAAAACACAGCAGGAGCCTTGGTCCTCGAACCAGCTGACCACAAGAAAGAAGGCAGTAATCATGATGGTGATGATGAGGAATTTCTTTTCTTCCTTCCTGCCGGAATATGCAGTTTCGCATTTTGAGGGGGGGTGAGATTCCTGGTGCTTATTGTTTGGAAAGGTTAGATCTTCTCTCTGCCTGCCCAGGCCTCTGGTTGCTGGTGGTCTCCTGTGGCAGCCGTGCTGGAGCACTTTAGGCAGCTGGAGGTGAAATGACAGCAGTTGCAATAGGTACCGCTCAGCTGGGGCTGGAATGCCGGGGTGGGGGAGGGGGAAGCAGGGAGGGGAGTTCGGGGTTTGCAAATGTGGAACAGTACGGAGCTACTGCAGCTTACTGACGCATTTGTGAACCACAGTGCTTGAAGATCTTTGGGTATTAGGAAATGGCTCTAGTCCAGATGAGTTAATGTGTTAGGCTGACTACCAAAGTTTCATCCAGTCTCTTCAGCTCCTAGTTTCACATAACAGCAATATTATACATCAAAAATGTCACTTTCCAGTGAAATGAGCCTGGATTGTATTTTTAAATCTACAGGTCTCCCTGTTTGATAACTTTTATATGAAGTTTTAAACACATTTTTTTCTGCAGTATTCTGACAAGAAATTCAACACTATGGTTCTTATTGCAAACCACAATTCCACTTCCTTCTACATAAGTAATAGTTTATATTTTCAGTCCAAAAGAACCTCACTAAATCCATGTCTCATGTCTGCAAACCTAGTAATTCATAAACCAACCATTGGCAAATTGCTGGTGACTCCAAGAACTTTGCTTTTTAAATACAGTACAGGGCATTTACCAGAAAACATCAGGCACAATCATGTTGCAATAAATTGATCAAGGCATCAATTTTGATCAGGTTTGGTTACTTAATCATTCCTAAGATTAATTTTTAAATTTCAAGAGACCTTTTTGGTAATTCTGAGATTCTTAATCCAGCGCTGAGAGTCAGAAAGAATTTACCAAACGTGTAGAGCTTTAGATGCCTTGTCTTGCATGCAGAGAAGGAGGGAAGATTCTTAAGGGGTGCAGGCAAGTAGACACAGTCACAGTGCAAATAGAAAAGAAAAATCTCGAGCTTCTCTTAACGATTATTAAAACGTGCAGAGTCTTTACATGTGTAGTGGTTTAAGAAACTCTTTGGTGCAGAGGCGTAGATGATTGTTACAGGCGTCTGGGAGAGGCTGCTCGGCCTGCACTGGTGAGCTGTTTGTGGGAGTGGGAGTAGTGCCCCCTCGTGAGAATGCTTCGTGATATGTGGAAAGGGGGATGGAAAAGGGGGCATTTCTTTGATGATGGGATGTTAGAATGAAAGGGTAACTTAAGCAGTCTGAGAATTTACATGTACATACAGCTGTGCTGTATCACTAAAGAATGGTTATTTTGTCTCTCCTGGAAAAACAGAAATGTGTCATTTAATAGGAATGTAATAATGCTACCATTTGTTAAGAGCCTACCCTTCAACGTGCTGTTGAAGCTGTATTTTATCTCTAGAAGACAGACCGGGACACCACGGTAAGGTAAGAACTCTTCCCTAGGGCCGTCTTAGCACCGGCGAGGCTCTGTGGCCTAGAAAAAGTGGAGTCGGAATTAGACTGAAATCGATAGGGAAACATTTCAGCTGGGAACTAAGGCTTTCAATAGACAGGTCTTGCCATTACTACGTCGGGGAGAAGTACAGAATATGCTGCTGTAGACGGAGCTTGTAAGCCTACCAAAAATATTAAGTCCATCATACTTTTGAGAAGTAGTATGCTGCAAAGTTTTTAGTGCTTTGTGAGCTTTCTTAGATTTTATGTGAGAAAGTAGAGCTTTTTAAACTATTATCAAATTGTAAAGGTGAAGTGCAGTGCTTTCTGCAAGGAAACCTTGGCAGCGTGTGTCAGTGCTCCCTCGGGCTTGGCAGCAGCACTGGGAGTGAAGCAGGGACTGTGAAAGACGCGGAAGCACTAGCGTGTTGGGTGGGCTCCCCGCCCTGTGCGTTCACTGCTGATACTGTGAAGAGGGTGTCCGGTGGCCGGGACCCCACCCGCACGGTCATCTTTGCTGGTTCTCTCCTCTTCACTGGTCTAGCCCAGAGCTACAACGTGCATGAAAATTCAAGTTTGCGAAAGCAATTTTCCCATTTTAGCTAGGAGAGATACTGTTATTCTAAATGACTGTCCAAGAGTCTTCTCCAGGTTCACTGTGACATTGCCCGAGTTCTTAGCTAACATCACTGTAGGGTCATCGGGTTAGTAGTGTTCTGTCCGCATCAGTGAATAGCTGTGCTGTATGCACAGAGGATACCTCGCTTAAGGGTGTACTAAATGGACTTCAGCTAATGCTAGAAACTGTTACCAAATCTCAACTTGCACCTGTCGCCTTGTGAAGGGGACTGCGTTGGCAGTGAGAGCTAAATTGTCATTCCAAACTTTGATGCCGAGGCATAGCAGACACTGGGACTGTTTTATTCACTGAGGGGCTCTTCATAGCAAAGGAGCTACCCGGTATTCTCAGCAAAGGAGAGATGGCACTAGATCAGTGGACTTTCGTTCTAAGAGGTACCTGGCATTCTCTGCTCTCTGAACCAGTACGAAACGCAGCCGAGGCGTGAGCTTGGCCACTGTGAGGCAGAAAGGCTCTGATGACCTGTCTCTACTCGGAACCATGTTTACCTCTGCACTGAGTTGAGTTTTATTTTCTGTAAGTTGCAAGCTACCCCCAAGCCATTCCTGGTACCAGAAGGTTAAATCTAATTTTAAATATGTGAAAATATTACTAAAGGATAAAGATCGTGAAAGAACAGAGATGGCAGCTAAGGAAAGTTTTCTTGCTATTTTTTTTTAATGTTTCCAGTTCTATGTGTATCAGTGAAACAGGGTTTTCCAGAGATGATTTGACAATAGAAATAAACCATTTTCCTCTGAACTTCATAGTTGAAATTTGGCCTTGGTCGGAAGGGGTCTGACCAAAGAGAGAACAAGGGAACTTCATCCTTGATAACTGAACAGTCTTTGGTCAAGAAGTAGCTTTTTAAGTGTTAGCTATTACTTGACACTAATTTTGTTTATTTTAACTGGTAAAAACTACATGTTGTTTGACTAAAAGATGTAATTTAAAGAAATGAAAGCAATGGGTAACAAAGGAAATTAAAATAAACAAAGACAAAAGCCTTCTGAATCATAGTGGAAAGCCATTGGTCCGGAAGGAGTTGGACTCCTGGAGGTGTTCCCTTTCTTGGATACAATAGCCATGTGGTCTTACCTCTTCCTCTGATGTCCTCCTGTGTACTTACTTGTTCAAGGATAAAGCCTCGCTAAACTCAGTCTGTGAAAGTGGGGCTCTTACGCCCTGTGGGAAAATGTGCAAAATAGTGAAGTATTTTAGTTCCTGCGATTTAGAAAAGGGACAACAAGCAATTAAGTCAGGTTAATCCCTAAATTTGAGAGGCTGTCTCTTAGCCAAGTACATCCCTAGGACTATGAATTAGATCCGGGTTCAACAAACTGCAGCCCTGGTCAAATGCCAGAGGCTACCTGTTTGTGTAAAGAAAGTGATAGTAGACAGGGCCACGCCTGTTCATTCTGGGCTTGTTTGTGCTACTTTCTACTATAATTCCAAGTTGAGACCAGATGGCCTGCAGAGCCTGAAATACAGTATTGACTGTCTGGCACCTGACAGAAGTTTGCCAGCTCCAAGTTTAATTAGAAGGAATCACCCCCCCCAATTTGTCAGTCCTGCCATTTTGCTTTTATAAATTCATAAGTTAAAAAGGTTTTAAATTCATATCGCCATATCTGCATGTTTCCCTGCAGAGTTGGCCATCTTTCCCTGGCTCCCTCTCTGTGCTCCTTCATGATTCCTGTTGCTTGAAGAGCATTTAGAATAGTCTTTGGGATTCGACCTTGCCTTAAAGGTGCAGGTAGGTTAAAGTTTGTTACAGATATAACAAAGTAATTTTTCAAAGTAATTCTCATGCATAATAATGTAAGACTAAACAAGTACCATGTTTACATAAAATACTGTAAAAAAAATAATGTTTTTATAAGTAAGTTTTGCCATTCCTCTGAGTTAACTTGAACTGGCTTGCACAATGATGGCAAGGATGGATTTATTCCCACTAGTATTAAAGTTTATTTCTGTTATGCACAAGTGGTTCGATTCTTATCCAAAGTACTGTTTTTCTAGATTAGAAACCTCACTTTCCCTTGTACTATGAATTTTCATTCTGATTTCGTCAAGTAAACTCATTCTGTTCCATGTGGAGTACTAAAAGTTAAATCTTCCGCCCTGGCTGGTTTGGCTCAGTGGTTGGAGCATCGACCTGCGGACCAGAGTCCCTGGTTCAGTTCCCGCTAGGGGCACGTACCAAAAAAAAAAAAAAAGCTAAATCTTCCTTTTCTCTCTTTAACGAATGTTTAAAAACATAACGAAACATCTGAGGATTTCAAAATCTTCTTAGACCTATCTTCCAATTTCTGTTACTGTCTGTAATTTTTCTCAGTATATATTGGGCCTTTATATATTTGCTTTGTGAATGTTTGTTCTTATTGTTCAAATAGCTCATTTATGGTAGATGTGAAAAAATTGGAAAATGTTAGGATAATAATAAGCAGAATTCCTTGCAAAAGCAGCATTTGGTTCCCCATTTGGAAAGAATGCATGGTCTTCTGAGTTAAATGTACTTGTCAGAACAAAGTGTTCGAGGCCATGCTGACACAATCCTGTGAGTTTGCCTCTCACTTTGTGGTTGTCATTCTCCCACACCTGCGAAGTTCGGATGAGTGACCCGGCCTCCCATGGGGCACTTCACCGGGCATTTTATTCTTCCAGTTACCTCTTTCTAACTCGGGTATTAGTAAGTTCTATGTAATAACCGTCTTAGTGATAAATAATCTTCACCTATAATACATGCCAGGTTGGCTCCGCCTTGTCTTAGAGCGTTTATAGTTACAGTGGGTTCTGCAGATTTGGGGCTGTTCTGCTATAAGTCTTCATTCCGATTTCCTCAAGTAAACTCATTCTGTTCCATGTGGGGTACTTAAAAGTTAAATCTTCCACCCTGGCCGGTTTGGCTCAGCAGTTGGAGCATTTGCCTGCGGGACTTTAATCTGGGGTTTGGGACTAGTGAAAGAAAGTTTATTTAGATACCAAGCTCAGTGAATCATCTGCATCATTTCTGCGTGGGGTCTTGGTCCTAGATGTCATTTTAATATAAATCTGTTTAAATATGAGAAGCAGTGGCGTTTGCCAAGCATT